GCAAAAAAGTAAAAATATTATATATATTAATTTTTTTATAAGAATTACAAGAAAATAAATAAAGTAAAATTTAATTAAAAAAATAAAATATAGCTAGTATTCTTACATGGGCCTAGGCTATTAAAATAGTTATAAATTTTAAATAAATATACCTATAAAAAATTAATAATACTTATAAGCATGCTTATATTTTATATAAAATTTTAATACTATTAAAAAAAGGCTCCGCGAAATAAGACCTAATATATTTAAAAAAAAGTATTAATAAAATTAGCTATGCAAAGGAAAGGTACAGGCAAGATATACCTTTTTTTATTATATATAATAAAAAATTTTTTATAAAGGTTTTTTATATACTAGCAAGGGTTTTTTAAGAGTATCTTATAAACTATATATATATATTTATTTATTTATTTATAAGGCCTTAAGAAATCAAGGCCATAAAAAGGGGGGTAGTTATAAGGCCTATTATACTATATATAGCCCTTTTATAAAACTTAAAAATATTTATAAATAGCTTTACTTATAAATAACTAAGTTAGCCTTTAGGTGCTAATTTAATATATATTAAAAATATTTAGCCTTTGCAAGGCCAGAAATTTAAACCTTAGTATTAATCTTAATATTCCTACTTTTTTAAAATTATTATTTATAAACCTCTTTTTTAGGTATATTACACCCTATCACACTATTCGCAAATCCCTAAGGCCAAGGACCTTATAAATATAATTTTAATAGCCTAATAAAAAAGGATTAATTATAGCTGTACCTAGTGCTTTATAATTTAAAAAGTTAAAAAATAAGTTAGTTTTTAAAGCTATTTAAAAAGAAAAATATAACATGTACTATTATAATATTAGCCTTTTAATTTTTTAATTATAGCTAGAAATAATAAATAAGCTTTATAATAAAAAAAAGGTTTTTTAAATTAAGCTAAAAGCTAGGTATTATAAAAAGTTTTATAACTAACTTTATTACTAATAGCTTTTTAAATTTTAAAGCTATAATAATTTTTAAAAGCAAGGTTTACTAGTAAAAAAATACCTAACTTTTATACTAAGTATAAAAAGTTAAATTAGGTTTTTTAATAAGTAATTACTAGCGTGATAAGCACTTTTATACTACCTTTTTTTTATTTAATAGTTATAAATAGTGGCTAGTTATTTTAAAGCATTATAAAAAAACTAATAATATTTATAGCGCCCTTAAAAATTTTATAAGGCCTATAAAAAGTAAAAATATTTTTTATTAAAAGTTAAAGGCTACTCGTCACTTTGCTGAGCCTTTGGCAGACCCACTAGGCCGCCCCGGGGCCTAGTGGGTTAGCCACATAGTAATAATAATTTTAAATTAATAATAATTTTAATTAACATAAAGTTATTTAAACCACTATATTTTTACTAAATAATAAGTTTTTAATATTTTAAGTATATAAAAATAAAGCTAAGCTAATAGCTAATTTATAATTATAATATTAAATTATTAACTTTAAAACTACGCAAATAGTCGCGCCTTAAACTTTTTATAAAAATTTATTATTAAGGGCCACCTAATAACTTTAAAAAGTAATAATTTAATATTAAAGTAAAATATAAAGCTTTATAAAACGCTTTTATAATTAATAATAAATAATAATTTATTTAGTTTTTTTTTTAACTTTTTTAAAAATAATTTTATTATAATAACTAGCTTTATAATTATTTAAAAACTTTTTTTTAATATTTTTATATAATCCTAATTATTTTTTTTAAATGCCGTGTTAATTTCCTTAACTTTTTTTTATTATATTTTTTTTTAAAATTTTAATAATATAAAAGGTCTTGGTAGCCTTTTTTAACCTATTACTTTATTTAAGGTTTATAATATTTTTTAAAATGTTTTTTAAAATAATTATTTAACTTAATAATTTTAAAGGCAAGATTTACTACCTGGTATTACACGCCCTTAAAAATAGCTTTTATACTTAAAAAAAGCTTTAAATAACACTTGTTTATATTAGTTATTATCTAGCTAGTTATATAAGCCATATATAAAGTTATTAATAGCTTTTTTAAAAAAGTTTTTAATATTAAGTTTTTAATATTTAGCTTTTTACTAAATATTAATTCCTAATTTTTTTAAACCTTTGCAGGGTTTTTAATAACTTTATTTTTATTAAATATTTTTAAAGGGGTTTTTAGGTTTTTATAAGCCTTAATTACCTTTATTATTTTATTTATATTAATATTTTTTTAAGGCTGGTTTCCTCCTATCCCTTTATAATTATTTTAAAGATAAAAGTTTTGGCTTAAATAAAGGTAATATTATTTAAAAAGTAAACTTTATTATAATTATATTTATTTATTTAGGAGAGCTTGTTAACTATATTTATATAGTTTTTTTTAGTTATATAAAAGGGATTAAATTAAGCAGTTAAAAAATATAAGTTAAATAAGGTAATATTAAAAGTAATAAAATTTACTGCCTTTTTATAAACTAAGTAAATTTAATAATTATATAGCTTATATATTAATTAAAAAAAAAGGCGCCAGGTTTTTTTTTATTAAATAATAAAATAAAGGTTAAAATAATAAAGCTAAAAATAAGCTAATTTTTTATTAATATAGCCTATTTTACTAGTTTTAATTATAAAGGTATTATACCCCCTTAAAATATTTATTTTATTAAATTAATTTTTTATTTTTACATTTTTAGGGAATATTAAAAGCGGAGGAAGAATAAAGCTATTTTTAAATATATACTTAATAAAGGTAACTAAAACTTAAAATAATATAAAGTTAATAAAAAAAGTAAAATAAGAATAATATATATAAATAATTTTTATATACCTTTTTTACCCTATTTTAAAGCCAGTTTTATTTATATTATAAATATTTATATTTTAAATTTTTTAGCCTTAATAAGGTTTTTATAATATTTTATTTATTATATAATATTTTTAGCACGCTCTGCCTTAGCTTTTTATTAGTTTTTTTAAAAACTTATTTAATATAAAAAACTTTAAATATTTTTTTATAAAGTATAGCGCCTATATCTTGCTAACTAGTAATAATAAAAAGCCTTTTTTAATATAACTTATTTAAAAAATAGTATTAGCTATATATTTAATTTAGGTAGGATTTAACAAGGCGCGTAATTTATTATACTAAGTAATATAGGCTAATAAGACCTTTTTTTATATATTAATAAGGTGTTTTTTAAATTTTTAACATGTTATATAAAGCCTAGTTTTTTTTATTTATTTTTATAAATATTAATAATTAATCTAAAATTTATTTATAATTTTCCGTATATTTAGCTTAGGTTTAAAAATTTTTATAAAGTAGTAAAAAAAAGCGCTTTTTATAGTTTTAATTTATTTTTATTAAAATATGTTATAACAAAAATTAGTAAAGTAATAATTATTTAAAAATAGTATATATAATTAAAATTTATAATTATTATTACTTTAAGGTTATTATTACTATGTGGCTAACCTACTAGGCCCGGAGCGGCCTAGTGGGTTTGGCCGAAGGCTCAGCGGTGTGACAAGTATAAAAATTATAAAAAATAAAATATATATAAAAAAACTTAGCTTTACCTTAAAATTTTTTTTACATATTTTTTATAATATTATAAGCATTTATAAAAATTAAATTAATTTTTTTTAGTTAATATTATTAAGGCGTGTTAAATACCCTTTTTTATTAATAAGATATTTTTAAATTTAATCCTAAATTTATTTTATAATTTTCTTGCTTTTAAACTTTTTACCAGTATTTTTTTAAAAGTATAAAAAAAAATTATAAGTAAATATATTAAATAATAAGGTAATAACATGTTTAAAAAACTAATTTATAAATTTATTAATAATAATATTAAAATACTTAAAATTCTTAAGTTTTTTATTTACTATAAGGCATGTTTTATTATAATACTTATTTAATAAGTTATTTTTAAAAGTTTAATAATTCGCGGGGGCCTTAATTTTTTACTTTAAAAATAATAATTAAAAGTATAGGTTTTTATAAATTAAAAATAAAAGTTTACTAGTATAAATAGCTATAAAAAAAGTTTTTTATTTTTTACTTTTAATATATAATTTTAAAAAAGTTATTATTAGCTATATTACTTAGTGGGAGGCTAATTTAAATATTTTTTAAAAAAAATAGGTTTATTATTAAGTTATTTAAGGGTTTTAAGCCTTGCTGTAATATTAATATTTAATTTATATTTTTAAAAATTAATATAAAATTAAAAAAAATAAAAATTAAAAAAATACTTTGCTAGTTTAATATTTTATAAAGGTTTTTAACTTATAAATTATTATTAATTTAAAGCATTACGGTGGTTATAATTAAAAAATCTTAAATATTAAAGCTTTAAAAAAATATATATATTTATTATTAAAAAATATAAAAATATTAATATTTAGTGTTATTTACTTTTTTACTTAAGTAAAATATTTAGCACTTTAATTAGCTATAATTTAGGCTTAGCGTATTTTAATTAATTAATTAAAATCCACTTTTAATCACGTGAATATTAAATCTAATTATTAAGAAAAACTCTAACATTTTGTTGTGTTGGTCATATTTTATTTTATGACGACATTTTACCATCCCTACTCGCAACTTCACCAGTTACCAACTTACCAATTTCTGACGCCCGCAGTGAATCGGTGTGGTATCTACCCCATATCTAGAAAGCTATGTCAGGGAAGACCACGCAAAGTTCTTTGCTAATGCTAAGTGTCAATTTACTTGCGAACTCCTTGAAATTTAACAACATGCTGGTCAGTTTGTGGCGCCAAGATCATCTACCTAACTTACATATATATAAGGGTAACAACGTACTTCATTTTGAGGAAATCTACAAACTGTCTACCTTGCTTATCTAAACGGTATAGATTTTGAAGGCATACCTCACAGTGAGCCGATACCACGACCGTATCCCATTCATCTTTCATGAACTCCTTCTTCTTAAGAATGACGTACCGCTCATCCATGTTGTTCGCGAAGATGTCAATCATCGTAGCATTATGCGGCATAAGAGTGCTTAGCGAAGAGGGTTATATGATACCACCCCAGTATCCCCTCAATCACGAAGTCTCGAATGTTCAGTTCTCAGAGGAGTGGCAGGTCCTCGGTCCCTTTCAATGTGGAACAAGAGGTTCGTCCTTATGCAATCCAGCTTACTCTGTGGAGCAATAATATACCAACTCCAATTTGTATCCGATCCACAGAAGCCATATGGGGAGCAGATCCTCTAGAGTACAGGGGTGGATTCCGAAACCTGTCTTTTGATGAAAAAGCTGAATATGCAAGCCCCCTCTCGACTGACGGAAGGGTGAAATGGGGCCAGGCCTGGGCCAACGTCACAAATTCTCATGCCGGGCAGAGCAGGGCTGAACTGATGGTGGCCTTCCCGGAAGTAAATTGGCCATTCCTCCAGTCCGTCTATGGATGGTCTGCGAAGCAGTATCAGGCTTGGGCTCGCGGCTACCTGTACTTGCATGGCTCAAACCGCCAAGCAGTTGCGATCTTCACAGATGGTATTTTGGATTTATCCATCGACGGCAAACGACATTTCGGTGGCGATTTCTACAGCTACCGCAGGGCGCCTTTGGTATTGGACATTACACCTGGGGTGCATCTCGTCGAACTACGGCTTATCCGTGATGTTCGGGCTCTGGGTGGTCAAGGTGATCCAACGATCCATGTGGTGGTCGAATTGGAAATACGCTATGGTACGTTAACTATCGATGAGCGAAGCCTTCTGATACCTGAAGCTACTGAACAAAAACTTGGGAGCTCCTGGGCGTCTATAAACGTTCAGAACAATGCGCGCGAATGGGTAGAGATACTTTCACTCTACTCTCCTAATGTTGGTGTCAATATCCTGCTTGACTTCTGGATGCATGGTGACAGTGCCATGTACTTAGTTCTCCTTGGTGATCGAGGCCCCATTGCACCTTGCACCGTATCAGACTCGCCCACTGGCCTTTCGATTCACTGCTGGCAATCCGTCGAGCTTCGCGTCTCCATTCGAAGTTCGCTACAGGGTTGGCCAACAGGCGGCAATCCGAATTCAGTCATTTCCAGTCAAGTTTACCCAAAAACAGTTATTTCAGTCTCAGAGAATTACGTATGCCCACCCGGCGGGCATCATTTCCTATGCTATTCTACGTCCGCCTCCATTGCATTCTCCCTGTGCATCCATCAAGACCAACGCGTCTTTGCCCCTAATCATAGGGCTCCATGGTGCCGGTCTTGACGCTGATAGTGTGCAAGCCCGCGGAATGCTGGATGCTGCATATGGCATCTGTGCGTGGATGCTGTTTCCAAGCGGTGTCACTTCTTGGAGCGGAGATGACTGGCGTAAGTGCTTGGTTCCATAATTTTTTTTTGGCAACTTTGTCCCCGCATCATGCGACGTCTGAGCTACCCGTCAAAATGCCATTTTTATTAATTGCCTCGTCCTTAGATATATGGGGTGTTGGTGATATCAAAGCTGCTGTCAAAGCGATCCCTAACTGGATGAAAGCCGTTGGCTGGAGTGGCCCCGGCGCCTTGGTTGATGATTGGATGGTTATTGGGCATTCAAACGGAGGTAAAGGCAAACCTTGTTCTTATTTACCACTTCATCAGCTCAATTGACTGCTACCAGGGCAGGGAGTCTGGTATCTCATCACCCATTATCCGGATAATGTTTTCGCCGCTGCCCCTGTATCAGGGTACACTTCCATTGAAAGTAAGCCCCCAAATGCCATCTATCCCTGCTCGGGAGCACGTTCTGATGTTGCAGACTACGTGCCATATAACATGTGGCGGGACTCTGAACCACTGATCTCTTCCATCCTTCATCAATCGCGAGCGAGTTACAAGCACGAGCTTTTACTGGCGAATGCTGCAGGCATCCCAATATTGCAACAACACGGCTCACAAGATACAAATGTTCCCGCCTATCATTCGCGGCTCATGCATGCACTGCTCGAAGAAACTGACTGGTTATCTGAATACGTTGAATTACCCAATGCAGGCCATTGGTTTGACGGTGTGATGACAACTCCTCCACTGCTTAAGTTCTATGAAAGCTCGCTGCACTCGGCCAGAAATCGGATACCACCAACGTTCGCTATATATGTCCCACCCTCCGGAGACATGTCATCTAAGGGGGGAATATTCGTGGACCAGCTTCAGTCCCCCGACAGGCTCGGCCGATTGCATGTCACAATTGACGCCCAACAAAAGAAGTGGCATCTACAGACGCAGAATATTCACCGTTTTCACCTCTCAGCGAATGCATGCAATACCAAACCGCATATTGTCCTGGTTCTAGATGATATGAGCACCCACTTTGCAGTTGATCCAGCCCAGTGTGACTCCACATGGTATATAAGAGGTGCTGACGGTAACTGGATGCGCTCGAACCAGACTAGCTGGCGGTCCATGTCCCAAAGATATGGGCGCCAGGTAGGTGCGTTGGATGCTATTTTGCGCACTAATGGCCCGTTCACTATAAACATATGCTCGGCCAATGTCGAGAAAACGGCACTTCAAATTAGTCGCAACCTTCTACAATATTTTGCTGCTGATTCTCAGATTATAAAACGATGCGATCCATTTGACTCGGGCTACCCTGGCAATGTCATCACCATCTCGTTGGGCAATGAACTTCCGGCTCCAGTGATATCGTCATACCCCCTACGTGTTACTGATAATCGCATATATTTACATAGGTGCTTTCCAGCTCCAAGCAGCATTTACGCGTCCATGAATTTGACTTCTAGCATCAATTGCGGCAAATATTATATCAACCACGAACCTGCCATGGGTGCCTTGTTTCTCCGTCCTCTCTCCGACGAGAGACTGGAGCTGGTTGTGTGGGGTACTGATAGGGATGGGCTTGAGCAAGCTGCGCGCCTTGTGCCGACACTGACCGGAGCTGGCCAGCCAGAATTTCTAGTCCTTGGTGAAAGTTTCCAATGGAAGGGTCATGCGGGACTCCATGCTGCTGGTCATTTTGATAAGTTCTGGCAGATATCAGCGGGGTCATATATTGCCAATGGTATATAGAGCTCATGACCCCCCCATGCAGATCATGGGTCAACACGTTTGGACTGAGCCTAGTGCTCTAAATTAATAGTCGCCATCGAAAAATGCTCACTTTTTCTTTAATCACAACAGGACCCGTACATATTGTTAAGCCGGGGAACCACTCCAAAAATTGCTGGCTCTGCTTCGAGATGTGCCAACTATGTCTGTTTGACAGACTCGGATACGATGCCAAAATCCATTGGGGTGCATCTATCTAGTGGGCACAGAACTATTCTTCTCTTCGAAAGCCGTAGTCCACGTAGGGGTCGATCTATCGGGACAGTTTCCAGTTGAGCTCAATTTCTCCTTCCATTTTCAAGGCTCATCATTTTCCGTTCAGCTCTACCCCATCCGGCAGTCTCTATCCTTCCTTCTCTTTCGTTGCTTCTGTCGTTGCTTCCCAATTGCCTACCAGTACCTGCTTCTTGAATCTACCGTGTTGCTCTATCTGCTTGAATCTCTGTATCTCACGCTTTCTGATCTTTTTTCTAGATACTGCCATATATCCTCTGCTGTGCCTCCAGCAAACAGCAGTAAACGGCCCTCCTCTTCTCTGCATTATCTTTGACACATCTTCTTCAAGTTGCCATTCATTGCATGTAAGAGTGTTTGGATCTTGTGCAGCGTGCTTGTCTTTTGAACAACCTGATCTCAAGTTCTTTCTTTGTTTACTTTTCCCCAACCGTCAACTGGATTGACGACAACCCTCTGCGCCTGCCAACTCAATATGTCCTTGCTTTCAGCCGCCTCGCCCGAAACCGGCCGCAAAAATCCTGAAAGATCAACTTCCAACAGCGGGAATGTCGAAATCCACACATTATCTGTTGGGCGCGAAGTACCAGTAAGTCAATATACGCAGTAGACGGGTTCGCAGCGGACTGGACAAAGTGCCAATTTGGCTGACGAATAATCCTCAAGGGACAAAAGCATTCAAACACATGTATCAGTTCCCCCGACCCCCTTGCGACCTCGAAGCTTGGGAACCTTCAGTCTTCTGTCGGCCAGAAAAATGACAACCCTTCTAATAAGGTCAGGTTTTTGCCGCTCCTTTTCATCCATGGCAGAAGATGTCTGACAATCCCAGAAGCAGAAGTTGGAACATCCAAGCAATGCCGTGCCTCTGACGGGGAACTCCGAGATGGAGAGACTCCTGGCAAAACTCTCGCCGAAGCCACAGGTATCAGACACCAGGCCGACTGTGAACCAAGATATACTCTCAAAGCTGTCCGAGCAACAATTCCTTCTTGATCAACAAAAACATCTCATCGCAAAGAACAAGTTGGGTCCAGGAAGCTACGAGGAGCTTAACAAATATTCCAGCTTGTCACTGCTTCCGGATGCCAAGCAGGCTGCTAACTCAAAGGATGTTGCGAGTCTTGACGCTTTTGACCCCGACGCTTCCGAGCTGCTTCGCTTGAAACAAGAACTTCAGGCTGCTAATTCGAGAATCGCCCTACAGGAGCAGGAACTAGCACAAACTCGTGTTATCAAACACACTCTGGACCAGGCGCTTGGACCTCCATCAGAGGCTGACTTCAATGGGCGCGACATAAGCGAACAAACAATCAGCAATTTGCAAAGTGCTTTCAACGCCTCCATACCGACATCCCACCTACTCCAGGACGGTTGGAATACGCAGGAGGATTCACAGTCCGATATCTCAGATGCTCTCTCAGCTGGCGCGTACAATCGAGCTAGGGGTTTCTGGGGCCCTCATGCTCAGCAAGCTTACGGCGTGGGACTTAACTCGGATAAGGCTTATGTTGATAATAATTTATCCCTGCCTGGCACTTCTTTTGGTCAAGACTCGAGCAGGTTCTGGGGACCTTCGCCTACGGCTCCCGCTATCCCAGCAACCAATTCTTTCCAACCCCATCGTGTGCTTTCAGGCCCTTCTACGGCGCCTTGCAACTTTGACGGTCCATTCTCGGAAGATCAAGGTAGATATCTGCAAAGCTCAGGGTTTGGACCACGCCCTCCGACAGCTCAGCCGAGTCGCATCGGGTCATGCTTTCCTGGGGCAGGCTCTCCTTGGGGTACATTTGCTCCTAGCTCAGCCGACAGCCAGGGCTCTCGATCCCCGCCGAGTAAGCCGAACAGCACTTATCAACAAGTAGGATTATATCCTTTGCCCCCCTATCATCAGAGGGCTGTTGCACCTCCACTCTCCCCAACGGCGACCGAGTTCTCGACACCAAGTGGAAACTCAGTTCCCTGGGCAACCTCATCTGTGAGTCTTGCTCAACTATACTTTTGTGCACTCTGACTGACAGTTCAAGGTCGGTGGAAGCTCTATTCAAACGTACATATCGCCACTCGAACCACTCAATTATCGGCGACTGCTGGACAAGAATGTATCTTGTGATTGGAAATATATTGTTGACAAGATTGTTTGCAACAATGACCAACAAGCCTCGATATTCTTGCAGCAAAAGCTCAAGGTCGGCACAACCGAGCAGAAATTTGACATCATCGAAGCCATCATACAACAAGCGTACTCCCTCATGGTGAATCGATTTGGAAACTTCCTTGTCCAGCGTTGTTTTGAACACGGGACTCCTGAGCAGATCGTCGCAATTGCGAATGCCATAAAAGGCAACACTTTGAGCCTCAGCATGGACCCCTTTGGCTGCCATGTCGTCCAGAAGGCCTTCGACTGTGTGCCCGAAGAGCATAAAGCGATCATGGTACAGGAGCTTTTGCGCAGGATCCCTGAAACCGTGATCCACCGGTATGCGTGCCATGTATGGCAGAAACTTTTCGAGTTACGCTGGAGTGGTGAGCCTCCGCAAATTATGGCGAAGGTCAACGAAGCTCTGCGTGGGATGTGGCATGAAGTTGCACTGGGTGAGACCGGGAGTTTAGTAGTTCAGAATATCTTCGAGAATTGCGTGGAAGACGAGAAGGTATGTGAACGATTTGCCGTCACGTCCACACCTCCAACGACATAAGCTGCTGGCAACTCTGTGTCATTATGGCGGACCTCGAGCTGATTACTGCGTGTAGCGTCCTGCCATAGAAGAGGTTCTAGCAAAGATCGATGTGCTCGCTCACGGTCAGTTTGGGAACTGGTGCATTCAGCATATCTGCGAACACGGCGCTCCCCATGACAAAAGCCGCGCCATTGAACATATTCTTCTCTGGGCGGTGGATTACAGCATGGATCAATTTGCATCTAAGATCGTGGAGAAGTGTCTGAAGATTGGCGGCTCCGAATTCCTGGACCGCTACCTGTCTCGAGTATGTACCGGTCGTACAGATAGACCAAGGATGCCCTTGATTGACAGTAAGTCCATTTAGCTTCTTCCCCTCTCACGGACATAGCTCTGAACTCAGCAGTTGCTGGAGACCAGTACGGAAATTACCTCATACAGTGGATCCTTATGAATGCTGCGCCTCACCAACGGGAGCTGGTTGCAACTCATATTCGGTAAGTTTCCCTGTCGCAGCGGTTCTTTCCAGTCTAACCTTTTATTTAGAAAGCACATGGTTTCTTTACGTGGATCTAAATTCGGCTCCCGTGTGGCAATGCTTTGCTGCAACCTATCCCATACCACTCGCCCAGGACCTGGGACGGGCGTACAAATCGGTCGGTTCAACAACTTCAACGATGATCGATTCCAGGCACCCAGCCAACATGGAGGTCGCTTCAGCCGTGGAAGTCAGTGGAGCCCTAGCTACCCACCATTTCGTTAGAAGAGATAAGCAGAGACAAGCAACCGGAGTGTCGCACGATACCTGAAACATCTTGAAAGTACGAACCGGCACGACCGATCCAAGACATAGATTCGATCTTAGATGTGATTTGTGTGCATGAATGCCTCTCGAAGCAGACTTCGAGTTTTCCAGATTTACATGGTTGGTCGAAGCTGAAAGAGCCTGGCATCCCATGCCTCGGTGCTCATCTCATACACTCATCTCGTTGAACTCTTAGGCTCTTTACTGTTAATTTCCAGTGTCCACGCTTTTCATGTTCCTGCCCAAAGGGTGTTGACGGGGCTGTACTATTTTTCCAGAACGACTGTCTGCATCTTGAGGTGTACAGGGAAGGACGTACGGAAAGTCTACGTACAGCAGCCATATGCCCGCGTGGCACCTTGTTTGTTCTAGACAGGGCCGCTTGCCTATGCATATCCCTATTGACCAATTCTTCGTATTCATACACTCGGCTCTCTCTCAATACGCATGCTTTGTATCCAGCCCGTAAGTCATACGGAGTATGTTTTTCAGAGAATAATTTCATATTGCATTAGTCTTAAGCCAGAATGGAGCTACGTAGTCACAGCATGGTAGGGTAGCCGAAGGTTCAAGCGCCCTTTCGGTGAACTTAATGTTATAATTATCAAAATCCTCGTTCCTAATCAAGTGATTGAGATTAGACATTTCCCTCTTTCTCCCAAGGTTTCAATCTCCTGGGCTCCGCATTTGCAGCACCTTGACCTGTCAGAAGAGTGTTTGGTATCTGTTGGATTCCCGGGATCGGCTGACCAGTCGTAATAAGCTCAACGATATGAGCGAACGAGTTGGGATAGGCTGGCTCTTGTGAGGCGGGCGTTGATACTGGTCCTGCATTACCCGGCAAGGGTTGCGTAGGTGTAGTCGATAAGCGTGTTTCTCGCACCTCATTTATAGAGACATCCGAAGCAGGTCTAGATTCAAGCCAGGACTTGTAAGTCGCCCCGTTCAGCGGCGACGCGAGATTGTTCTTCCTAGTAGAAGAACCTCGGATTAACATGGATCGTGACATTCTGTAGGCCCAGGCTAGACAGGCATATAGTAGATAAATGGTATTTCCTCATGTTTCATACCTAGTAAAGTAATAACACTTCGCTTGCAGAACCAGATCATCATTGCGGCCTATCTCCTCTTCTGAGGCGGGCGTTCCAGAATGACCGAGTATTATGGCAAGGCCGCTTGCAAACTCACGGTCTGCCGCAAATGGATATGTCGTCAATTGTTCAAAAATATCATCTGCCTGCGGCTGTTGCGAGCCTGATTGCGCGCTGGGGGTGCCTGCGCGAGGAGGCGGGGAAGATTCCTCTAGCTCTGTGGCGGTATCCATAGGCGGTGCCCGTCTAGTTCTCTTGCTTTCTTCGATAATTCAGAATAATTGTCCTTGAGCGTCGAGGACCGATCGCGGGTTGTTTCAATTAACTGGGCTCTTGAAGATTAATATATAGGAGGTTCTCTAAAATAGTGGATTTGAAGTTCGCGGAGAAAGCTAGAATTAGCCGAGGTCCTCTTGACTGGGCTCAACAGAGCATCTCAAATGGGCTGTGTTGCTTGATGGTTATGTGATCTTTTTAAATGGGTAGAACACACGTCCCGAAGAAGAATTCCTGAAGATCTTAGTGGTCATTGATGCATCGCTGGAAATCGGTGGCATCAAAGCACCCAGTTTCGGATTATATAGAGCTTCTTTCAGTCGTATTGTATAGAACACTTTTACCTTGAGGTATCCATTTGATCTAGGCCGTCTTGGCCTCTAGGTACATCATCCTGGAGATGGTGTGCAACCCTGCTCTGACACCCAGGACAATTGTGTACCACTTCATGAGCAAAGAGGTCACAGTCAATACAGAAATGGTTGTGGCACACTGTGCATTCGTAACGGCTGCTTACACTCATTCCCTTGGCGAGGTTCTCAGTTGCCTGCTGTTGCTCTTCTGGAGGAACAGCAGGGAAAGGGATACCGCATGCGAAGCAAGTCGTGCTGCGGCTTGCACGCCGCCAAGGAACTTCAACCCAGTTCATTAGAGGGAATAAATGGTGGTACGACCGAGCGAGATGAGTTGATAAAATCAAAGTAAGACCGCAAGATGGGCACTCAGCAGGAAGACCACAAACTTTGCTGTTGCACCGTGAACATAGGTACCCCCCGGACATGGGATTAGAGTGACATGCGCAAAGAGAAGGGAAAGGTTCAATAGTACGTGATGGGAATCCCATCATCAGAAGTGAGCTTGTGGATTGTTTTTGGGAATATGTGGCTGGTGGAGTTGTTACGTCCATCACTAATTCTCGAAAATGCTGCTCATTAAGGGCCACGCCGTAGTAGATGTCATCGCCGCCGTTTGTCTTTGAGCATAGCTCACGGCAGATTGCCACCTGGGCAGCAAGACCCACTACTGAAACCCGAATATTGTCATCGATCAGTGTAATAATTGTTTGGTGGATGTCACCGGGGTCGGAAGAGAGCAATGAGCCGAAGACGATGAGTATTTCACGAGTCCCGTGGCTGGGGGTATGACTGCAGGAAGACAGCGGTCAGTACTTGGCACAGAGTCAGGCTAGCCGTGTCTCCAAATCTGGAAGAAACCTACAATAGTGCGCCTCTGGCCATTTCAAGCCCATTCTGCAGACTTGGAAGGCCTTTTGGATCTTGACTCCTCAAGTCCCGTATTGCGCTAATATGCTCTGTGGGATTCCCGCTCATGTCGCTGATCCGTAGTGCAAGGCCATCTCTCAAACCTATAACACCAATTTGAGATATGGGGTTCTGCTCAAAGAACTCCCTCACGAATTCTTGGGCATATCGTAGAGTCAGAAGATACCGTGTCGGCCGTAGGTCTTTTTCCATCATTGACTGTGATAAGTCCAGGATCAGGATTATATGGCGTATGATACCACGTTGGAGCGGTGTTGTGTCCTTTAGGAGCCTTCATTACAGGGAATCAGCACAGCGTCTTGAAAGCCAACCGCCGTGGCAATGCCGACTTTGACCGGAGACCAAGACCGACTCACCTCTTTCTTTTGCTAGCTTCCAATAGTCCTCCCACTGTCGAGCTGATCGTGCCATCTGCACCTTCAACCAAGGTCTCCCACGTTCGCGAAAGCTCAAACTCCGCTCCACCCTTCTGTCTCCTCCGCTTTGAGGCCAGGCCTCCCGGGTCTCGTGACCGTGAGACAATATTGTCGTCGCCTTCGTCCTCTGAGATGCTGCCAATATACTCATCATCAGAATCTGCCATTTTGTGTGGGAAGCGCTATGCGGGAGGCTTGAGTTTCGCCTCTGATTTTCAATTGCCCTGAGAGTACGGAGTAGGATCGGCAGAGAAAGGTCCAAGCTCCTCCGCCTGACGTATCTACCGTGGATTTTGCTTTCAGAAGTACGAAGTACATACAAACGAACACAGTAAGAAAGTCAGTCTTATGCGCTCTTCCAATGTGCGACATAATAGTGAAACTCTTCTTCATATAGCTTTTGGAAAAATTACTACTTTTTTTCCGACGATAACCGCTGAAGTGGTTGACTAGATGTGGGGGAGACGCAGCATCGCGTCAACCAGATGCGCTGGGCTCCATTGCCTGCCTGTGCCTCGAGTTTATCGACCCTTTCGACCAGTATCGTCTCTCAGCCGACCCCTCTCCCCATCCCACCCGATTTCTCGCTCCCGCCTCCATCTTTCATCCCGCACACTCTTGGCTTGTTCGCTCAGGCCAGTTTTATCAATAACCACGACAAGACACTGCTCTTCTGAAGTTCGCGCAATGGCATCAAAGGATAGGGATACCCTTCCCAGCGTGTGAGTTACAGTCGCCGATTCGGCGGTCTTGAGTTAATCGTAACCATAGGGTCAAACCTGCGCATTATGGTATCTCTCTCTTCGACCTACAGCTCGGTGGCTCGTGGCGCTACAAGGGGGTTGTCAAAGTTACCTCCAAGGTCAATGGTCTCACCAAGGAAGTAGCACTCAATTCAAAAGAAATTGAAGTACAACACGCGGAGGTTCTAGGATCAAATGGTACGTGGTGTTGCAATTCCACTAAGCTTTGATCTCCTGGCGATTTCCACTGACGACGGCGCTATTGTAGGCGTGCAATTGGCGAAATCGTCTGAGATTACCTACGACCGGAAATCGGAGCGTGTGATACTCAAGTTCCCCGAGGATCTCCCCCAGTCTGAAATTGTTATCTCTATCGCGTTCACCGGCACCATGAACAATGCTATGGCTGGGTTCTACCGCTCAAAGTATAAGCCCGCCACCGAGCCGACTCCTGATACGCCCAAGGAAGGAGACTTTCACTATATGCTGAGCACTCAGTTTGAGTCTTGTGATGCTCGCAGGGCATTCCCTTGCTTCGATGAGCCGAACCTGAAGGCTACGTTTGATTTCGAAATCGAAGTACCCAAAGGTCAAACGGCTATCAGCAACATGCCAGTCAAGTCTGAGAGAGAGGGTTGCAAGCCCGAGCTCAAGGTGGTTTCTTTCGACACAACCCCAGTGATGAGCACCTATGTTCGTATTCATCTTTTCTGGAAACCGGCATTCACTAACGTATTTTCCCTCCCAGCTCCTGGCCTGGGCGGTTGGTGACTTTGACTACGTTGAGGCCCTTACCGAGCGCAAATACCAGGGCAAGAGCATCCCCGTTCGTGTCTACACAACAAAAGGACTCAAAGAACAAGCGCGGTTTGCTCTTGAATGCGCACATCGGACTGTTGACTATTTCTCGGAGGTGTTCGAAATTGAATACCCTCTACCTAAGGCAGATCTCCTAGCAGTTCACGAATTTGTAAGTGTTTCTCTCCATGTCATGCTGATTGCCGACTATGTAGCCTTTCTAACCAATCTAGGCCATGGGAGCTATGGAGAATTGGGGTCTTGTGACATACCGCACCACTGCTGTTCTGTTTGACGAGGGCAAATCAGACACTCGCTATAAGAATCGGATTGCTTACGTCGTAGCGCATGGTGAGTTTTCGGTTAGCCTAGTGAAGATGTCAGAGCCTAGCTGACCTAGGATGTACAAGAACTTGCACACCAGTGGTTCGGCAACCTCGTAACAATGGATTGGTGGGATGAGTTGTGGTTGAATGAGGGCTTTGCTACTTGGGTTGGGTGGCTTGCTGTCGACCACTTTTATCCAGGTGAGTCAGTCCTCGTCTCGTGCCCACGGTGCTGAAAAAGTGTGGCTTACGCCGCGTACAGAATGGAATATTTGGTCACAGTTTGTGGTACGCAACTCTCGAGGTAAATCAATAAGTCGCAACACGTATATTGACTGCTACACAGGCTGAAGGTGTTCAACAAGCGTTCCAGCTCGATTCGTTGCGTGCATCTCACCCGATTCAAGTACCCGTCAAAAACGCCCTAGAAGTTGATCAAATCTTTGACCACATCAGCTATCTCAAGGGGAGCTCTGTCATTCGCATGTTAAGCACCCATCTGGGACGAGAGACTTTCCTTCGTGGCGTGGCCCAGTATCTTAAGACTCACGCATATGGTATGCCTAGCACCAACGGCTTCTTTTCTTTGTCATAGCCATTAAAAGATTTCCTACAGGCAATGCTACTACCAACGATCTCTGGTCTGCTCTCAGCCAAGCATCGAGCCAAGACGTTAACAGTTTTATGGTAAGTGGCGATCAACCTTACGGAGGTGATAGGCTCTCTAACAGTATCTTCGAGGATCCCTGGATCCGCAAGATTGGATTCCCAGTTGTCACCGTCGCGGAAGAAACGGGCCAATTGGAAGTTCGCCAAAATCGCTTCCTCTCGACTGGTGACGCCAAACCCGAGGAAGATCAGACAACGTGGTGGATTCCGCTCAATATCAAGTCGGGCCCTGAATTTGCTGCGCAGGAGCCTCGTGCCCTCGTTTCCAGATCGGACACTGTCCAGGGCATTGGGCAAGATTCATTCTATAAAATCAACAAGGATCTCGCGGGATTCTATCGAACCAACTATTCTCCCAGCAGACTGGAAAAGCTCGGTCAATCACTAGGCTCTCTAAGCACTGAGGATAAGATCGGCTTGATTGGCGACGCTGCTGCTCTGGCTGTATCTGGCGAAGGCAGTACCGCGGCATTGTTGTCTCTTCTGGAGGGTTTCAAGAATGAAAAAAACTATTTGTTAGTTACCTTTCCCCTTGCCATATTCTATGGTTTGCGGCCTTTTGTTGATGTATCCCCTAGGGTTTGGTCGCAGATTTCGTCTTCCGTCGGCAACCTACGGTCCGTATTTTCGCAAAATGAAGAAGTGGCCGAGGGTCTAAAGGCTTTTGCCCGTGAATTGTCGTCCACTGCGGCGAACAAGATAGGCTGGGAGTTCAAGTCCGGCGAGGATTATCTCACAGGCCAGCTGCGGAAACTCTTGATTGCGATGTCAGGTCTTGCAGGAAACGAAAGGTACGGACTTCCCTGTTCACTTCTATGCCTTGTGTGTTGTGAAATTTGACTAACTCGATCTCTCAGAATTGTTTCCGAAGCCAAGAACCGCTTTGAGCTTTGGGCAACCGCAAAGGACCAGAGTGCTATCCACACAAATCTCCGCTCCACGATCTTCAGTATTGCTGTATCTGACGGTACCAAGGCCGAGTACGACTCGGTAAAAAATGAATACCTCAGTACCGATTCCGTCGATGGCAAGGAAATCTGCTTGGGTGCACTTGGACGCACGAAGGATGCTGCACTGGTCAATGATTACCTTGACTTTGTGTTTTCGGACAAAGTTGCCATTCAGGACGTGCACAATGGGGCAGTCTCCTTAGCTGCCAACACCAAAGTTCGCCACCTACTGTGGGAATATTTGAAGAAGAACTGGGACGCCATTGAAGCGCGCCTCTCAGCGAACAATGTTGTTTTCGAGCGCTTCGTGCGAATGGGCTTCTCAAAGTTTGCGGATCGCAAGACAGGCGCGGATATCGCTTCCTTCTTCCAAGACAAGGATACCAATGCATACGATCGCGCCTTGGTGATTGTGGCAGACAGTATTCGAACCAACGCTAATTACAAAGAAAGGGACGAGAAGCAGGTCCTGAAATGGCTTCAGGAGCATGGCTATGCTTGATGAAAAAAATCAGTGTTGTATACGAGCTCTGTCGTTATGGAAGGAGCATGGCAATCCTTCGGTATAACATCTATCCTCTTAGATCAAATATGTGTTGGTCGATCAAAATAGTATACTTGCTCACTGCCCTTACTCCCTTGCTTGACCTGACGTTTGTGGGAAACGCGCTTGTCTCCTGAGTAGTATTAGCTTGAATAGCAGGACTACCAGGCCCCACAATCTGCACATATTTATCTACATGCTTAGTCTACTTGTAGATATTCTCTAGGGGCAAGCTGGACTTTGGCGCAGGGACGGGTAACTGTCCAACGGGGTCTTGGGCTATTTTTGAATGGAACACTAAGCCGAACTTGGTCATAGGCTGACGGGTCCCGGGGCTGGGCAGAACGTGAAACGGTCACAGGCTACCTGCACGCTGGGCTCCTTTGCTCTCCTGCACTTAGCAACACCCACCGCCAAAGTCCATCCTGGCTGACACTGCTACGTTTACATCACTTGGACTTTGCTTTTCTGTCTTGCCGCGGAAACTGTCTCCTGTTTAGCCAACTCCTTTTCTATCCAAGAATACCCCGTCTATAACAATCAAGATGAACCCTGAGTGGTAAGTTGCTTTGCGTGTCTGCCTGCGCTTTTGACGGTGTCCCAAAAGTCCCGCTCTTGCTTTGTTGAAGGGACATGGGGTTCGCCTTCGTCTTTCAGTTGGCCTCGTCTCTACGCATGCCTGCTCTTTTACCTCTATTCGGCTGGCTAATGTCTTCACTACTTAGAGTACTCCATAGCAGACTTTCCGAAAGATCGAGTACTTTTTTTACTCCAGCGGCCTAACTCTATGGACAGATACGATTATCTCTTCAAGCTCCTGCTCATAGGAGACTCCGGCGTTGGAAAGTCCTGTTTGCTTCTTCGATTTGCCGATGACACCTATACAGAAAGCTACATCTCCACCATCGGTGTGGATTTCGTGCGTATACCCCTGTTATCAATCATTTATCAGGTGTCCTTGTGACAGTTGTTCTAGCGAGTAAATCGAACTCTGACACTTCTCAAAAGAAAATCCGTACTATTGAACTTGACGGCAAAACAGTGAAGCTCCAGATTGTATGCGGAGCCTACCCAGCTGCGCTCGGATAATGCTGACGGAGTATATAGTGGGACACCGCAGGCCAAGAACGCTTCCGAACCATCACCTCATCTTACTACCGTGGGGCTCATGGAATTTGCGTTGTATACGATGTCACCGATATGGACTCTTTCAACAACGTCAAGCAGTGGCTCCAGGAGATCGATCGTTATGCAACAGAGGGTGTCAACAAACTGCTCGTGGGCAACAAGAGCGATATGGAGGACAAGAAAGTTGTGGAATACACTGTTGCAAAGGTCGGTAGCTATCTCCCTGTTATGAACTGTTAATCGGCGCTCCTTTTCTCCTTGTTATCCCGGCAACTCGTCTGACTTGCTTGTGTGCCTTTTAGGAGTTCGCCGATAGCCTTGGAATCCCGTTTTTGGAGACATCCGCAAAAAACGCGTCGAATGTCGAACAGGCTTTTTTGACCATGGCCAGACAGATCAAGGAGCGTATGGGCACTGCGACCGTGAACAACAAGCCGACAGTGCAAGTCGGCCAGGGCCAGGGTGTCCAATCGGGATCCGCTGGGGGCTGCTGTTAGACGAATCATGAACCAAAAACCAGTATTGCTGAACTGCTCCTTTGGTAGTCAAGACAGGGCATAGAAAAGCATTTACAGGGTCCGGCATATGGCCTGTAAAGCTCGGGGTCTCTGTCTGTCCCCTAATCACAGAACGAACGAACGGTGTTGATCGATTTTAATCACCTGGGAACAACCAGGTTGGGGTCTATCTGTTCTCCGCCATGCTTAGCCGGTCTGCTACGCGTTGTCTTTATACAGGAACACTTTTTAAGGGTTAGCACCTCATCTCTCTGCTTGCTTCTGACCCCGATATTTGTTTCTTGTCCCTTTCTGCTTAGTTTCTGTTTTCGCGACTTTTTTCTGGCATCTTTACTATTATTTCCTCATGTTTCTTTTAGGTTGGATTCCTCGCGTATCTTGTCAGGCTCAATTAATAGGGAACGCATGAATGGCTTGGGCATTTGCCGTCTTAGTAGATCAGAGGTTGTAAATCTTGTTAGGCTGAACTGAGAATCGGCGCCCTCTTCCTTTCATTGCCGATCCTTCTTGGTTCATGCTTACGCCGAACTTAGGATATCGCAGACTTGCCGACGCGATCACATGCAGAATAGTAGCTAAGTACTCCATAACTTTAGCCCAATTTTCTATTCCTTAGGAGCAGGGAATCGAACTACAATCTGCGAGGAGGAGGCACCCGATAAGAGGAAAGCCAACTTCGGCCAGATAGTACTAAATGGTGGGAAAGTCTGCGGGCGTCTACGCCGTCTAGGCTCTAACCATTCTGAAATCCGGCCACAATACTGAATGTACAAACGCAGTCAAGGTAACAATTAGGATAACACGGATTTCGTGACCGTGTTCTAAACTATGCTGGCCGGTCTTGTATCATCAGCCCCCCTACCAAATGGCTGCGGCTCTATGGTTATATTCAGCCGAGGTATAGGATCCGGTAAACGTCATCAGATGGATCATCGATCCCCAATTATTATCGAACCCGGTCCGAGCATCTCCAAAGTCAGTTCGACCGCGCCCTTTCCTTTCGTTCCGATTGTTATTCGTATATCACTCCTTTCTGTGTTTCTCCCCATTCTCTTTTCAAAACACCCTTGCCTTCGCTGTCAAAACTTGCTTGACAGGATACCGCCTTCTTCAGCATCCGAGTTCGAAAGAGCATTTCTCGAAGTCCGTTATGTCTTTATCAAAGGTTGAGGACCCTAAAAGAGTGGCCGCCGCCGCCGCTGCACAACAGAGCGACAATATAGCGCACGCTCTGGCGGGCGCTGGTGGTGGGATACTGTCCATGGCTCTGACGTGCGTGCAACAAGTACACCCCTTTCTGGCTTACAAGCACATTCTCACAGAAATGGTTCTGCTAGATACCCACTCATCACCCTTTCAACCCGAGCGCAAGTGGAATCCAAACGTGCGCAGTCCTCGACTATTGACGCGATTCGCCGCATTGTACAGAGGGAAGGGATAATCGGACTTTATTCTGGCCTTGAGTCGGCGTTGTTTGGTATCAGTGTCACCAACTTCGTGTATTACTACTGGTATGAGTGGACTCGGTCGGCCTTTGAAAAGGCTGCCGAGAAGGCGGGTCGTTCAAAGAAGTTGTCAACAGTTGAATCGATGATCGCCGGAGCAATTGCAGGGAGCGCAACTGTGATGCTAACCAACCCCATTTGGGTCATCAACACCAGAGTGACCGCTCGCAAATCGGTGGAAAATGATCAATTCCTACCCGGAGCGCCCAAGAAGCAGCGGACATCTACTCTTGGAACACTTATGGATCTCCTCCAGAAAGAGGGTCCAACAGCGCTCTTTGCCGGTGTCCTACCTGCTCTCGTCTTGGTGATCAATCCTATTCTGCAGTACACCATCTTCGAGCAGTTGAAAAACATAGTGGAACGCCGCCGCCGAATGACACCAAAGGATGCATTTTACCTCGGCGCTCTTGGCAAAATATTGGCCACTTCAATCACATACCCATACATCACAGTGAAAAGCCGAATGCATGTCGCCAGTAAGGACGGGCCCAGGGAGAGTCTAAATGGGAGTTTAAAGAGGATCATCAAGGAAGAGGGTTATACTGGACTATACAAAGGCGAGTCTTTTGGTACGAATATAACCAGCAAAAATCATGCTTACACCTCTACAGGAATCGGACCTAAAGTAACTCAAAGCGCAATAACTGCAGCTTTCTTGTTCGCCTTCAAGGACGTTCTCTATGATTCAATGGTGTCACTCAGGAAGGGCCGTCTCTCAAAATAATATAGCAGGTTTCGGGGCAGCAGGAGACTAAGGTCCCCGGTCCATAATAATGGGGCCTGATCTACCAAGCCAACCCAACCCCACTGCGGAGCAGTTGTTGATTGGCTAACGGGTCTACGACTCTACGGTATGACTTTAGACTCTGCCTCATGCTTCCACAGATCTTTATCAATGTCCTACATATATTCAGTCAGTATTCTAGGATCTAAACTAGACTCGACTTGATAATGGACACCTGAATAATGTCCAAGCCGAGAACTTTGTGTGTCCTTAACTTCTTTTTGAGTTATCCCTGGGCAGAGGGCCTTGAGAAGTGAGCTTATATTGGGATATTCTTTTTACCCTTCAAAGTCTAATCTCCAACCTCTATTTATTGTAAGAAGTCAACTGTGACTTTTTCCTAGGCACAACTAAAGAAAATCCCAGTCAAATAGTACTACACTTTTGAATAATTTGTCAGGAATCAGCTTTCGCTGACCGCCTACTGCTTCCGGTAATAGTGGCTTTTCACGCGTTTCACGCGTTGAATATTCTGCCTTCCCCCAACACCAGTCAAGCTACCCATTCCTGTTTTTCTCCTAGATCATTTCACTTGTTTTGGTTCCTTGTTCTTCAAAGTGTGCCCTTCCAATAAAGCATTAACTAAAGTGTTAGTGTTCCATTACCCCATTTATTTTTAGCTCTAACCAATATTCCACTCAGGGTTTCCACCACCGAGCTCAACAATCATGCTTCTTTACCCACCTGATCTTCCTTGATAATTATGCGTATCTGGGTATGGTAATTCAATGCATTGAAAGAAATCAGGTAAGTATTCGAATTGAGCTCAGTCTTTTGATAAGTACTTAGACATCGTTACAGAGTCAAAACATGATTGAAATGGAAAAGGGTTCATTGCCTAAAAATCCCGGTACCCCGCTCCGTCTAGGCTCTGATGATCCAGCCGCGCGCAGTGAGGCAGAGAACCTGCTTTCAAAATTTATGAGAGGTCCATTTCAAGAGGCCCAGGATATAAGTCAACAGTCTGAAAACACCCCGAGTCCTTCACTCCAGTCCGCTGTGCCAAAAGTTCGAGCAAAGATACCAAGAGGGAATGTGCAGCTACGACCGCAAAGTAGCCCCCGACCACAGCCGGCCATTGCCTTGCCAGTGTCTAGGAGGAAAGCGTCAATTACCCTGCAAGAGTCGTCCTCAGAAACCTCATCACCTGACAGTGATATACCTAGGGCTGCGGTAAAACGACGTTCTGGCCGCTCAAGAGTTGGACCAGTAAACTATTACCAAAGGCTTTCTCTTTCTGATAGTGAAAGTGAGGAAGAAGTACACCCAGTTGAGACACCTCCCAAAGCCTTGTCACGAGGGAACCCCATTGTCATCCGTCCTTCAGTACTCGGAGCTTCCTCACATCGGGCCATTCAGCGAATAGATCCAGTAAACACCTTGTTGTCGCGGGAATTAGGCAGTCGCTATACGTCACAGCTACATGCAAAGTTTACAGGCGACTTTAAAGTGTGCAAAACATGGAAAGGGGCTTCTAACGATGTCATCTCGCTGGCATGGTCACCAGATGGAACAAGATTTGCAGCAGGGGCAACTGCACAGTGTGATGAGCACATGATGGCATATAATAGGAAGAACAATCTCTTGCTTGGCAACCTCGTGACCAATGAGCTGCATGAACTACCAGACCATTGCATCCAGCGTCCGAAAGACAGTGTTGTGAATGATGCACGTCTCTTCATGAGCGTCACTGCTGTACAATGGTTTGAAGACACTTTATACACCGCCAGTTACGACCACACTGTCAAGCTCTGGGATACCGCAAGAGGAAGACCTGCATGTTACAGGAACTTGAAGCATGACTCCAAAGTGGTTGTTATGGCACGCTCAAATTTTACCGAGAATCTACTGGCTACCGGAACGCATACCATTGGTTACTGGGACACGGACCAAGCTCATTATACAGCGCTTGAATTGCCACGGCCGAGATCAAGAAAAGCAGTGGACATTAAATTGGTACCAACATCAATAGCATGGGGTTCTACCTACGCAATAAAAGATTATCTGCTTGCAGGTATGTCTGAGAGAGAAGACGGGGTGGCTCAACATGGACTTCTCGCTGCCTACCGTGTCCGGGAATCATCGATCATCCCTGAATCTTTCTCTCCAAGCTCACAGAATGTCTTTGATATTACTTGGCATCCTGTGTTACCCATGTTTGCAATAGCTTGCACTGCTGGTCAGCAAGCTTGTCGCGGTACACAATCAACTGTGAATCTCTATGAGCCACTAAGCCGCAAGACTCGTGTCATGGAATTGGAGTGTCCAGCTCTAGACATGAATGAAGTATTATTCTGTCCATGGAACACCAACTATATTTCCGCTAGCTGTACGGACGGAATTACTTATGTTTGGGATAGGCGGAATCCTGATGAAATCCTCCACCGACTAAGGCACGGAGATCCTTTAAACCAACTTGACGAGGAACTTGACAGGGAGCTGGCAGACACTGGCGTCAGCATGCAGTTATGGGGCACGGCATCTGATCATTTCTACACAGGTGCTTCAGATGGCATGGTCAAGAAATGGAATATTCTTCGTGCCCCTGAAGATGTGCATGTGGAAGATGTCGCTTGTCTCGAGGAAGGGATAATGTGTGGCGCAACTTCACCCGACCGAACGAATCTACTGGTCGGAGATGTCTCTGGTGGGGTGCATCTCCTCTCTAACAGCCCCTTTATGCCTGACCAGTCTGCGACTTTCACATTCAGAGAAGGCCCCAATACCATGGATGAGTCCGATTCCGATTCCGGGGTGAAAGCGGCACGAGAATTAATGGCATCAGGGCAGATAGAACGGCATCCTCTATATGGACCGGGCAAGGGGCCTTGTTATAAAGGCCCATTTGCTGTATGGGCTCGACCCGCTGGAACACAGTCAGAACAAATTGCAGTTACTGGGCTCGAGCCAAGATATGAGATACGACAACTAGGTGGCATGGCGCCTAAACACAGGAAAGGCCTGACAGCTACAGCGCGCAAGGAGGTTGAGGGACACATCCTACTTGCTCAAATACGGAATAAAAAGCGTAGCGGGAACAAGAGGCGGAATCCTGGAACAATTGTCAAAACAGACGGCAATTTTATTGATCTATGCAATGAGCCTGATGAAGAGCACAATCCTGCCCGTAAGACTCCATCAAAGCGCAAACATATGAGGCCAGGAATGGGTATCCCTATTATCAGCAAAATTGAGCCTGGAGTTATAGATCTTACTGGTGACTCAGATACTGAGTGTTCCGCAAGTCTATCAAGCTCTGTGACATACCACGGAAAACCTCATGTGCTGGAAGATGAGGCGAGCAGTTCAGAAGATGACTTCTGGTTCCCGGACAGTGGTACCATAGACCCGAACTTTGCCGAGTGAAGGGATGTCACTTAGGCAGGCAATCAACAAGCAGCCTGGTTTGTGTCTCTGTATATAGCGCGCATGAATTAATGATAATAATTGCCATAGTAACCAACTGTCTACTTTGGCCTGTGCTCAACTTATATGCACCAAGTGTTCATGAGATACACAGCAAAGAAAGCCGAAATAGCCTAGCTACTAAGTACTCCTGCTTCAATATATCTTGTATGATGTCAGAGTCTCGATTCTGTGCTCCGTATATTTTTAAATGTATACTCTGTACATTCAAGCCAGCATGTACAAACATGCTCAGCCACAGTGCTTACAGAGTATGGTAACGCATCTGCATTATCTAAACAGCTGGAACTTTGATTTTCCAGTAGAAACAATTCATGTACGGAGTACATTGGACAAAGCAGCAGTGGCTGAGACACAGCCACAATCAGCAAAGGTTCCGGGACAGAGCAACCAATGATAGGTAACGTCACCGTGGACATTAGGTGCAATGCGGCAATCATAGGTAAAGGCTATATAAATAATCATCGATCGCCACATATCTATTCCAGAGTAACTCCTGCATTGACGTATGCACAATTCTCCAACAACTATACCTCTTTTAACTTGTATAGGCGGCTTTTGCTTCGTATTTATATTCCTCTGCTTCAAACTAAGTAGATTTCCACCCGGATCTGCTTTCGATGTCGTTCGCTCCGCCACCCGGTCCCCCTCCCCCATCTGTGCCCGAGGGCTGGAAAACACAATATGATGACAACTATAAACAATGGTACCTGTCTTCTCTCGATCATACTCCCACAACTGAAGCTAATCAAGCACCGCTCTATAGGTTTTTTATCAACCTAGCCACGGGCAGATCTCAATGGGAACCACCCCAATCCACACCATCAACCCCAGCGCCGGTCCCGGCCTCGGAACAACCGCACAGTAGCCTTACAGACCCAGCTCTGCCTTCATACGAGGAATCGGGACCGGGAAATCCCTCCGCCGTCGCCAGCGCCGAGGCCACAGACAAGAAAAACGCCCATCGCTTCTCCTCGAATAATCCGTATAACGGGGAGTCCGCATCCACCCCCGGAACATCCGGCGGCGGTCCCGGCACCACCAAAGGCACAGTCGAAAGCGATGCGGAGATGGCAGCGCGACTCCAAGCCGAAGAAGACAAAAAGTCCGGTTCCGCCGCTCCCGGCGCCGCAGCAGGATACTATAACAGTAACGACGCTCCGCATTCTCCGGCATCTTCAGCCTCAACGGCCGACCGAGATAAAGGCAAAGAGAAGAAGAAGGGCTTCTTCAGTAAGCTCATGAGCAAGGCTTCATCTGCTTCAGGATCACGGCCTGGCTATGCGCCTCCGCGGCCGCATCACCACCAGCAGGCCGCCTACGGGTATCCTCCCAATGGTGGCTATGGTGCTCCCAGCCCTGGACCTGGGTATGGGGGCCCCGGTGGGTATGGGGGCCCCGGTGGGTATTACCCGCCGCCGCAGGGGTACGGACCTCCAGTCGGGTATGGACCGCAACCTGGCTACGGGTACCCCCAACAAGGCTACCATGGCGGTGGAATGCAGCCGCAGCGCCGGCAAGGTGGAGGTGGTATGGGGATGGCCGGTGCGGCAGCATTGGGCGTAGGTGGTGGGTTGATTGGAGGTGCGTTGTTAGCCGATGCGATTGATGATGACCATGATGACTATGGTGGTGATTATGGCGGCGGAGATGACTTTGGTGGCGATTTTTAGTTCTTTTCGCTGAATTTGTAACTGTAATCAGTTGGCTATGATGGGTCTGTAACTCTGTATAGGGAGTTATGGTCTTTACGTATTACCTGATTTATGACCGTCAATGCCTAATGTTGCCCGTGTCCAGTATCTCCATGTGATATTTTCCGAGCATAGATATGCAATGTGAATGAAACAGCTTCATCCCTATCCGTACCTTCCACAAAACTTACCAACTAGTTGTAAAGCTATATAAATTCTTCGACCACCTCATCTTCTTCTCGCTCCCGCTCTATTCTCCTTCCCACTGGCGGCACCAGCACTCCCAGATTCAGCCACAGGAGCCGGTTGTCCCCGTGGCGCAGCTCCAGCCATCCATCCCGCAAGATCGAAGTTTGCAGGGCCACCACCTGCCATAGCACTCTGAGCACCAGAGATCGGCGACGCGCGAGACTGTTTCTCAAACTCCTCGCGCAGTTCCGGGTCCACTGATCGGTCCGTTAGCAAACAAGCTCGATACATACAAAGACAAGACTAAGCAAAAAATAAAGGATAAGAACAAGCAAGAGACATACTATTCTCCATGAGCTTGGGCATTCCAACGGTGAAACCCAGCGCCACGAGCGCAAGCAGAATCATGGGGTTCTTGAAGAGCGACAGCGGCGAGACTATTATATTAGAATTTGGCATCAGCGACCACCTCAAATCAGCCCGGAAGGGCATTGCGGGAAACACTTACAAGTCTGCCGGACCTCATAGAAGCCTTTCCTCCCGATAGCCCTCATATCAACAACGACCTCCTCGTCTCCATTTCCACCACCAGCTTTCCCGCCAGCAGGCCTAGCATACTTCTCAGCCCCGCGGTTCCCCCACTCATTCCCACGAAACGTCTCCCAGACACCCATCACCTCGCCCCTCTCATCAAGGTCAACCCTCAGCGGTGTAAAGACATATTCCGAGGATCGGATGTCGAGCAGGTATGAGCCGGAGATATCGTCTTGCTGGGAGGCCTTGTGCTCGGCTACAGCAAAGTCGGTAAAAACAAACCTCGCAGAGCGAGTGAGGGAGGCTTTTAGCGAATTCACGAGATTTATCGAGGTGAGTGTCGCATGAGTATCAGCGGGGAGAGAGTGAGGATTTGGAAGCGCCTGTGAAGGTGGGATTGTTATTGTTAGTTTGGAGGAAAGGGCTGCAGGTGTCAAGAATAGTAGGAAAGAAAGAGTAGTTAGGAGTTGCATTTTGGCTCGGTGAGGTTTGATGGGCTCTCACTGTGATGATGGAAGAAACTTGACGTTCGGGAAGCTGAGCTGATGCCAAGCGTCCCTCGAGCTTCCAGTCCTGATCACATGTTACAGTTGACAGTAAAGGTGGCTGCGCATATGCATATTCAATTCCCGATTAATATGTCCAGGTCTTCAGGATATAAGTCTATTCATCTGATATATTATACAGTTATGTTCCAGGCTCATACAAAGACTCACGCCGCCAGGTAGAAACTTGCTTATGTACAAAAAGGGTAACCGCAAACCCTTGCAGCCTTAGATAGACTACAACTTAGCCTTAGGAGCAGATTGCTCATTGTTGGCATCTTCGTATAGCTGATCGAGAAGCTGGCGATACTTCTTCACAACAGGTGGGCGTTTGAGCTTGAGACTAGATCTTTGAATTAGCATTCGCCCGAAATCAAGGCAAAGGCAATACAATACGTACGTCGGAGTCAGCAGGTCATTCTCTACTGAGAACGGCTCAACCATCAGAGCGCAATTCTTTACCCGCTCATATCCCGCGAGTTTATTCTTCTTAGCCACACGCTCGAGATCCTTCAATACAGCCTTCTTGATCTTGCTGTCCTGCAGTACTGCCTTGATGGCTGCAATGTCGGTAGGTGCAATGGTCCGACCAAGTATTTTGCTGGCGAATGGCGCAAACATATCAGGCTGTACACCGAAGATACCAACCAAGAAAGTCTGCATACTATCACCATGCACGTAAGCTTGCGCGAAGTAGCCCAGCTCCGACGTGATGATACCCTCCAGACGTTCAGGTGAGATGTATTCTCCTTGTGCCAATTTAAGAACATTCTTCCGGCGATCAATGATGATGATGCGGCCCATCTCATCAATCTTGGCGACATCGCCCGTCCGGAACCACCCGTCCGCAGTGATGGCCTTAGCTGTCTCTTCCGGGTTCTTGAGGTACTCCTTGAAGACATTAGGGCCACGAATCAGAAGTTCACCGCGGGGAAAAGGTTTATCATCCACCGAGTATTCCATGTCCGGTAGGGACAGCAGACACACCTCCGTGCAGGGAGCAACACGTCCGCAGTTGCCAGATGAGACATCCTTGGGAGACTGTGCGCATGCCATAGCATAAGTCTCAGTTAGACCATATCCTTGAGAGAAATCGGCGCCAATGGCTACTCGCAAAAAGTCGTGCAGAGAAGGATCCAAAGGCGCAGATCCCGAAACCAGGGACTTTGCACGTTCTAAACCAACGGCTGCAGCAACTTTCTTGGCCCAAATCCGATCATACAAAGCGTGCTTTACAGTAGCTTTGCTGGGATCCGGGTTCTTTAGGTTTGCGCTCTTCGCCGCAACTATGTGTTTGGACAGAGCTCCTCGAAAGCCAGGGGCCTCAACGGTGGCAGCGCGAATGGCAGTTCCAAATCGGCTGAAAAGGCGAGGAACGGATACAAATCCAGTGGGCTTGAGCACCTTGAGGTCATCGACTAGTTCCAAGATATTTCCATGGAAATAACCGATGCGAGCACCGGACCAGAGTGCCGCGTGTTCCGTAAGTCGTTCAAAAATATGTGCGAGGGGAAGATACGACGGAAATGTATCATCCCGCGCGTGAGACACGGCCACCAGAGCGCCAGAAGCAGCAGCAACCGCGTTCTCGTGTGTAAGGACCACGCCCTTGGGAGCACCTGTGGTACCAGAAGTATAGTTGATAGTGACAATATCCGAGGGTTTGGGGGGATTGAGAGGGCGGTTAGCGGTCGCGCCCAGAGCTTCAACTTGGTCTATGCTGTAGATGGTAAGGTCATAATCAGCGGTCATGCTTTCCAGCAGAGCGCGCTTGGACTGGCCGGCCGGTTCACCCGCGTCGAGTGAGTCTAAGCTGACGATAATCTTCAGGTTGGGAAGAATAGGCTTGAGCTTGATCAATGTTGGGATGTGAGGCAAGGAGGTCACAACACAGCTCAACTCGGCGTGATTGATGATATATTCCGTCGCATCTGAGGCAAGAACATCGTAAATCGAGACCGAGTACAGGCTTTGCGACATGCATGCCAGGTCTAAAAATCAGCATTATACTGCGATGGCCCGTGAGAACAATATACCTGTGATCTGCCACTCCGGACGATTCTGGCACCAGAGACCAACACCGTACTGCCCGGTTTGAACACATTTGTGCTTGTGATGTAGCTCCACCAATCCAGCACCGAAGTCGGTGCGCCGTTTCTGGACCGTGCCATAGCTCAGCCATTGATATTGACCCCAGGTCTTCGTCGCCGGATCGTAAGGACGCCATCCAAGACAATCGGCCTTAGGGGTTGCGTTCGCAGTCGACTCGAAAATCTCGTGGGCAGTGGTGACCTAAAGCCGTTAACTCCAAGCCCTCTGGTAGGCCAACCTATATGGAGGCTCTGCGCGTACATCGGGGTCCAACGTTTTGACCAACTCCTGCTGTGAATTCCAAGAACGGTAAATAGGGCTCCGTCCTTCCTTCTGCGTGCTCGGTATAGCGACAGAATAAGGCATGCCTTTCGGAGGCTCCTGAGTGAGCTCCGCTGCACGAGCATAGTGAACCCGCTCATGAGAAAAAAACATGGCTACGAAAAAAAAAAAGCAATGTGCCAGCGTAACTTGATCAACCGTACACCGAGGGGATCGATAGGGAGAAAGACCGGGTCTAGAAACTGAGAGGCCGGAGATAGATCAGAGGAGCAACTCCGTGCTATCAACGTTGGTGGACGGTGAGAAAAAAAAAAAAGGATAAATGTCTAATGTCTACTGAGAGAAGCGAGCAAAAGAGAAAAGAAGGAGAAAGCTGGAACAAAGGATTAGTTCTGGTCTACCATCGACCATGAAGCGGCAGTTGGAAAGTCGTGCAGCAAACGGGGATAGTCGCCAGCTCCGAAATTTAGAGATGTCCAATGGAGACCCAGTGGGCCCGCCCGTTTACGGAAAGAGCCTCGGTACTTTCCTAGCTTCGAGGTTTCCACAACAAGCAGAAGGAAAAGAGGACTTGAAGCCGAGGCCGGAACTCGAGAGACACGACACAGTCCAGTATTCTATTCGCTGCAAAGATATCGCCCAGGACTTGATGAAGTTGGCGCTGTCTTGTGACTATCATTTGTTCACATGGCTCCTTTTAGACTGCGCAGCTACGAAGTACATTGTCATGGCTGAGACCAAAGCTGTAATTCTTGCCAAGGATCAAGAGGTCAAATGGGCTCCTCTGTGAAGCTGCACGTGCATTGTGAACTCATAATTGCTCAGTTTATGTCCACAGCATGACCACTAACATCGGTTTCGGCTACGTACGGAGTACGTTGAACGCCATACTTAGGCGGCGGGTGGTCGCCACCGACCACGGGAAGGACCAGAAAGCGCAGGAGTACCCCGTGGATACTTACCCCGTCGATACTCCCACGTTTTCAGCGTCGAATCCCGAAATTGATAAATGAACAGTCAGAATCAAGTTGCTTTAGGTAAATACATTCATCTATTATACACATGAAAATGCACCACAACAATCGTGAAATATCAATTCAAGTCACCCAACTCCATGCGATGCAGACATCAAATATGTAAACTCATAATGTACAAAGCGGGGATGGTCAGAAAGACGAATACATCATAGCTGAATCCTCTCCGATGCATGTAGTTATTGACAGTATAATGAGAGGGCATGACAATCTACGAAAAGATTGAGGTATACACCCGTTTGTACCACTTCTCGTCGGATATGGTAGTCTCCCAGTATTCGTTCTCCAGCGCAATACGGCCTGTGTCGATATCCGCCTCAATAGGGCGAACAAACGCGGGTCGGTAGACGATCTTGTGGCCAAGGTAAAGGACGACGAAGAGAATCACGCTGATGTAGGCAACGAAGAAGTCCGACACGCTAAACTTGATGAGCCAGGCAGTGAATCCCTGGGTTAGGATAATCAAAACGTTGAAGAAAAGCCCATACCATGAAAACCATGGCTGCCACAACGCCTTATAGGGGAGGAGGTCCCGAGAGATGTTACGAGCTTCGAGAGCACGCATGAATGCTAGATGACATCCCAGAATGGACGCCCATGAAATCAGACCGGCCACACTAGAGATATTCAGAAACCAGTTGAAAACAGTAGCGCCAGAATTGGAAACGTTCATAAATCCAAGTAAGCCAAATGCTGACGCGAACGCCACACTGTAGTAAGGCACACCGTTCTTCGAGGTTTTCTTGAAGAAACGGGGAGCGAACCCTTCCTGGGCAAGGCCAATCAGGATGCGACTGGCGCTATAAACGTTGGAGTTTGCGGCGGAAAGAACCACAGTCAGCAGAACCGCGTTGATGATGTCTGGCAGGACTGCCACCCCAGCATTGTTGGCCACTATGACAAACGGGGACGAATTCGCGTCGTTTCCATTCGCGTTTAGGAGCTGGTTATCGTCACTTTTCACAAGTATGCCGATGAAGAAGATCGTCAACACGAAAAAGAACAGGATACGGAAAAACGTTTTGCGGATGGCCGAAGGCACAGTTTTGCGAGGATTCTCAGTCTCGCCGGCAGCAATACCAACCAGTTCCGTCCCTTGGTAAGCGAAGGCAGCCTGGACGAGAACAGCCCAAAAACCAACAAATTTGGCTGTCGAATGAGGATGAATACCCTCGTAGGCTACGAATGGACCTGGATCTACCCAGTAGCGAAATCCAATATAGCCTTCTTGTCCTGCGCCAGCGTTGATGCAAACACCGAAAATCATGAAGCCTAGTACAACAGTCAGCTAGGACAGCGTAGATCCAACGAAGCCTGTTCTGACCCACCTATGACAGTAAGGACTTTGATGCTAGAGAACCAAAATTCTAGCTCGCCGAAGAAGCTGACTGGGAGCATGTTAAAGAGTGTGATGAAGACCCAGAAGACGGCAATGAAAATCGCTATGTTGAGATCCTTGTTCCAGAATTGGATGATTAACCCGGTTGCCGTGAGCTCGAGGGCAAAGGTGATAGCCCAGGAAAACCAATAAATCCAACCCATAGCAAAACCCAAACTAGGGTCAATGAATCGAGTAGCGTAGGAGGTGAAGGCACCAGGAATGGGCAGGTAGGTAGCAATCTCTCCTAATGCCGTCATAACTGAGAAGACGATGGATCCAATGAAGATGTATGCAATCAAAGCGCCGACAGGGCCTGCGGTCGAGATAGCACTGCCGCTGCTAATAAAAAGACCGGTGCCAATCGTGCCACCTGCATGCACATTTGTTAGCGCATTTCTTCAACAGACCCGCCGATTCCGCGGGATATCGCCCGGAAGCATACCGATGGCAATCATCTGCAAATGTCTGCTCTTGAGCTTCCGCTTAAGGTCTGGTAGGGGATTGGACTCGCGACCGGCGCCATGTTTCTCGCAGTCTGCATCGTCCAGGCCGAGAGGTGATTGTGCGGCAGTGACCTGGACGGCTTCATCGTTGATCATTTTGTCCTTTCCTCCCTGGACCGCCGTGCTGTTGAGGGCGTGCTCGTAGGACATGGCTGGCCCTAATGAGTCAGTCCAATGGCCGAGGATTCCGGAGACTAGAGGTCAAGGGTGCCTGCTATGAGCTTAAAGGACGTATAGATAGATGAGGTGAAAGATGGAAAGAAGAAGAGAAGACGGTTCGCGTGGAAGAAAATGTCAGATCTGGCTCCACCCAGACCAGACTCTGACTCTTGCTTTCAAACGCGCGGAAATCGAAGCAATTTGAAGGGGGCGAGAGACCCAGAAGAACCCCAGGACCGCACTTTTAGGGAATTTCTCCCGTCTTTGCGGAGTGCGTCAAGAGATAAAGAGATATGACAAAATGGCAGCAGTAATGGAATCCATGGAATAGAAGATGTTATGTAAGGAAAACTAGGAAAAATGAGGGGGACCTGGTCGAGTCTCCTCATGGTGGGCGATGAATCCTGAATGGGATGCAACGCTGGCTCTCTATCCAGGAACCTCGACCACGCCTTCTGGAAAGATTTTTGCTCTTTGCCTCGGAGTCCGCCGCATATGTCATTGCCTGCTATGGGATGGCATCGAGCTACAAACCCAATCATGGCCCTCAGAGCCCCTGAGAGTGTGGGGAGCATTGCTGCTTCCGATGTGGGCCGGAAAATTTGAAGGTTTTTCTCTCTTGTAAGTTTAGGTACAGTAGTTGCGGATGCGCCACCAGAGGCAAATTGCCAGATACTAATTAGCCGCCTACCTAAATCTTGGATAATGGGCGGAGAACTTCTCCTCGATCTTATTTCAATCATTTACTTTTTAGAGTTTTGTTTAAAGTCTTCTAGATAGCATTACTCGAATTTAAACCTTTATATATCTGTTTAGGCTAGCTATTGTACCATATCACGAACTCGTAAGAGGCTGAGAGACAAGCAATTCCAAGCAGCCGGGCCGACACTGGCCAGAACCATTAACATGGATGTATAATGTACGAGAACTAACACTTTTCGTTTGGTGAATACGATGTATACCGTGACTGATTCTGTAGTAGACATTGTAACAAGAGAAATCAGATTAATTTCCATGGGCATTGTTCTTGCCGCTTGGCTCCAGATAAAACGCAGTCGCCGCGCTCAGGACCTCAGGTACGGATTAAACAGAGATTATTAGGATCCCGCCCGGCCGCCGAGTCTCCATAGCTTGGCGCCCTAGGTACTCCGTAGCCAGCCTCGGAAACCGGAATGTCGGATACAACGCCGGGCCAAGCTCTGGGATGCAGAACATAACTCAGCCTAGCTTCACAAATATGCTAGAGCTTTCATTGCTTGGTAGTTAATAAATGGTGCGAACTATACTAATCCATGATCAGGTACACTGGGCCGGAATGTCTGAGCTTTAGGGCAGATGCAGCCATTATAAAGATTAATTCAGCACCGTGCCTTAGCTGGATCATATATCAAGTACAAAAGGGTATTGAACTATATCAGATAATATATCCTGGGTATCCACAAGCTCAAAGTCATGCATAGCGCGGAATAACAACAGCATCGAAAAACATCGCAAAGCATTAATCTCTGGAGCATCCAATGACGTCATGGCGCCGAGTACCAAGTACATACTACAAAGCGCTTCATTTCAGGCTGCGTGGGATATCAATGATGACCAAGCTCAAGGCACATGGGCAGTAGGAGGCTGAGGGCCAGGAGCAGAATCCCTTCGGAGAGCGCCCATGGTGTTCAGAACGGTTGTGGCCAAGAACAAAACCCTAAATGTCTCCATTAGCGATTGTCCCAGGGTTCCGCTCCTTTTTTTTTTATTTGGGGAACCTACCAGTTGAAAGCACCAAACGCCGCCGCAGCTTGCAATCCCTGGCACGGTGACCAGTTGGAGCAGCCCCGAGCGTCACCAAGATCAACAGCCAAAGCAATGAAACCAGCAAACCAGAAGATCATGGTGACTGCATCCACGGCCACGAGAATCCAACAATGGGCGATCACAGGCAAAAACCTCGGCGCCAGGATGAAATATGGAACGACGATGAAGATTGTCCAGACACCGTTGAATAGCATGAAATTGACGGTATCCCACCAGTGGCCATCGGTTACATTTACAGCTGGAAGAGTCAGCGCATGCCAAGTAGGTCAAGTCTCGAGGGAACGAACCATGTCCTGTTAAGCCCAATACGATGACGGCAAAAACGGCCTGTACACCCCGCAGGATATAGAACAAAGGTAAATCGTATCTGGCCATCTTGATGGAGGTTGGTGCTATAATAGGATCGTTAATGAGGGGAGTTCTAAATGCACTCTGAAAATGATTGGATCAGCAGACGCGGTTTATATAGACAACAGTAGATGTACCTTGGTCTGGGTATCTGTTCTTAGATTTTTTATGGAGAAGAAAAGAGTAATCTTTGTCGCGGTAGGGTATGGAACGAGGTCAGGTGCAGGTGCAGGGCTGGAGTTCTAAATAATATATATGGCAAACGAAGCCGAGCTGGGCGCTGGACAAAAATGAGCTCATAAGCGGAGCTCGTAAATATTCGCAGCCACAAAAGCCATCCCATTTTAGTCTGGCGTGTGATGGTCACTGATGAAGGAATTCGGCTGCCTTGCAAAAAGTGTGGCTCGGCGCATTGAACACGAGACACGAGTACGCTGCAGATCACCAAACACGACGAAGGATCTCATCTTTAGAGCTTTGGCTTTGCACTTACTAATTATATCTTAATCTACTGCTATTATCGCGGATTTTAGGCAATATTATGCGCTAGTCGTCAGGCCAGGTCCTCTATAACTTAGCCGAACAGAGTTATGAATTATGCAGTGTAATATGGCAGAGATATTTAATGCTCACTGGCCGGACCCTGTATCGAGGCTCTTTAGCAAGGCCCACTGTGATATCCACAGCCGATGGACACTGCACTCCGGAGTCAAGCACCCAATTTATGTGAAGGAGCACTCCGTAAAACTACGCGCCATTAACAGGTAATATGATGATAAGGGCATATTAGGATATAATAAGAGCGAAACTTAATAAAATTTAGAGAATACTAGCAACCAGCTATATAGCAAATAAGGTAGTGCAGATGTCATCGGAAATTCAGGCAGTCAGGCAGCAATAGGACAGCAAGCGCACGTCACGCTGGTGCAGAAGGATGACATCACCACCCTTTTAAACATGTACAGTATCAAAGGCCAACCCCAATGTACAGAGTAGTATAGTTGGTTGGCCATGAGTTAGTCCCCGTGTATAGATCACTCTGAGATTCCACTGTTCTCCTCTTAACAATCCCTTACTGACTTGATACTGATCTTATAGTACATTTTTTTGTTATTGGTTAGCCTTAATTTCATAAAGTCATACAGTATTTATACAAAGCTTTTTTGTTATGTTAAATTTAATAATATCTAAGAAGTACTAGCTACATGGATAACCAAGATACAGGGTCACATAACCATAGATATTTTATCCACACGGCTACCACACCCAACAGGATCTGAAATAAAAAGTTCCGGTCCTGGACATGAACATATGCGGCCCGGGGCTCGAACCCTCTAGCATAGCCGCGCGCCCTAATTCCTAGACTATCTGAATAGACAACTGTCTGGAAAGTGGAGTTCTATTCTGAACTCTGTTTCCATCACCCACGCGATTTCGATAGGTTCCAGGGGCTTCACGTTCCTTCTCATTGGGTTGCGTCAATTGGGTAAGACACAATCACGCCATTGTGGTCATCAGAGATGTGCTACAGCTCTTCCCCGCATATAAGCGGTACCCCTCCACCGGTTTGTTGGATGTCAGGGAGATAATTTCATTTCAAATCAAGCGAGACCCAAGACACCTATCTCATATTAAGAAGGCCCCATGTCTGATCCTGAGCAGCAACGTTTTGAGACTCTTCAGCTCCATGCAGGGTAATAACCCCCGCCTCTACACATATCTACTGACCAGTATATCCTGACCACCTCAAAGCCAGGAACCTGACCCTGCAACTAACTCCCGAGCCGTTCCAATCTATGCGACTACGGTAGGTCAAGTCAACATCTTTAGTCAGTCGAGACACTGATGTCCATAGTCCTATACTTTCAATGACTCCGCACACGGTGCTAGGCTCTTTGGCCTCAAAGAGTTTGGCAACATCTACAGCCGAATCATGAACGTAAGCGAGGTTCGACCCATTATACTTAGATGGTCATTTAGCTGAATGCATTACTATAGCCCACAGTGGATGTGTTTGAGAAGCGTATAGCTGCACTCGAGGGTGGTGTTGCTGCAGTGGCCGCTTCATCTGGACAGGCAGCCCAATTCATGACCATTTCTGCCCTAGCACATGCTGGCGACAACATCATATCCACAAGTAATCTCTATGGCGGGACATACAACCAGTTCAAGGTTCTCTTTCCGCGACTAGGAATTACCACCAAATTTGTGCAGGGGGATAAGGCAGAGGACTTCGCCGCGGTCATTGACGACCGCACCAAAGCCATCTTCGTCGAGACCATAGGAAACCCTCGCTACAATGTGCCTGACTTGGAGGCCATAGCCAAAGTCGCGCATGATAAAGGTGTTCCCCTGGTGGTAAGTTCGAGTGGTATATTAATAGCAAGACTGTTGGCTCACCTATCAACCCCAGGTTGACAACACCTTCGGTGCTGGTGGCTACTTTGTCCGACCCATCGAGCATGGTGCAGACATCGTTGTGCATAGTGCAACAAAATGGATTGGTGGTCACGGCACAACTATTGCAGGCGTCGTTATCGACAGCGGCAAATTTGACTGGGGCAAGAACGCCGCGCGATTCCCCCAGTTTACGCAACCATCTGAGGGATACCACGGCCTGAATTTCTGGGAAACCTTTGGCCCCATCGCGTTCGCGATCCGTGTTCGGGTCGAGATCCTTCGTGATGTCGGGTCTGCCCTGAACCCCTTTGCCGCTCAGCAGCTCATCCTAGGCCTGGAAACCCTGAGCCTGCGCGCCGAACGCCACGCTGCCAACGCCCTCGTCCTCGCAACCTGGTTGAAGAACAACGAGCACGTCAAGTGGGTCTCCTACCCCGGCCTCGAAGAACACCCGAGCCACGAAGTTGCCAAGAAGTATCTCAAGCGTGGCTTTGGTGGTGTTTTGTCCTTCGGTGTCAAGGGCGAGGCAGCCGTGGGAAGTCAGGTAGTCGACAACTTCAAGCTCATCTCCAACCTAGCAAAGTAAGCATGGAACTGGGGGTTTTCCTATCAAGCATGAGGACAGACTAAATAGTTAACCGGGCACATAGTGTTGGGGACTCAAAGACCCTCGCAATCCACCCCTGGAGCACGACACACGAACAGTTGACCGACCAAGAGCGCTTAGACTCTGGTGTCACTGAAGATGGCATCCGTATATCTGTCGGAACCGAGCACATCGACGACATTATCGCCGACTTTGAGCAGTCGTTTGCGGCAATATTCAAAGTCGCTCAAAGCGGGTAATGTCTCGATCCTGAAGTGAAGAGCCAAATCTGTCAAACGAGAGTTGAGTATTGCGCGAACCTGACTATGGCGTTGGTTTCCTAGTAGCTAGCTATACCTACTTATCTATGTTATCGCAAATATGTCTGGATATTTGTGCCTTCCTTGACTGATGATATTGCGCGTATTTACTAGAGCTATTTATTTCCTTCATATAGCTCAAGTTCTTAAACATTTGCCTCCCATGAGTATCCTACAAGGCCTCCTAGTAATCGGGATCCGAAGTATTTTCTATGTGTGTGCATACGCTTTCATACGCTTTCTACGATTAAACAGAGTAACAAAGTAGTAAAAATGTGGGATTGGCCAACTAACTACCTAGGGGCACGGATAATGCAACTCGAAACCAGAGACAAACAAACGAAGAACGTGAATAGAAAATGAATGCAACAAAAATACCCGACCGCCACGTAAGTATCAGCGAGTCCCCAACTTTCCAGACCCCATAATACTGAAGTACTTTGAATGGAATGAAAAGACAATGAGGTCAAGATAAGCATCCGCGCGAGAGATTCGTGAATGCGGGACCATACAAGATTCAAGCCTTGCGAATTTAGTTCTCCCCAACAATTAGATCAAAGCGTTCAAGAAAGGAGAAGGGGGTGGATGAGTGAAGTACAAGTACAGAAAGTAATGTAGGAGAAATTGGTGCAAGGGCTATAAGACATATTTTTATCCCATCCTGTCAAGGCCGCTGAAAAGGTGTTGCCTAAAGATGAGCTAAAGTCCCGTCTTCAAAGTGATTCCTGAGCCAAAACGCCACGGCATGGTTTGTAGCAGATACGAAATCGTATTTCCGAGAGAATCCAAATGCGAAATAGAGAGGTTATGGAGAAAGGAAGTTGGTATCAAGACAAGAGGTTGAATTTGAACTGAATGACGGGATATTTTGTCGACGTAAGCTAGGAACAACATTCGTCTCGTTCTTCGTGATTTCAAGTGCTGAGCGACTGTCTAAGCATAAGGTTTCATTGGCCAGGAGGAGGCGGCTGCGATGGGTTACCGGGCTGCGCACCCCCCATCATGAAACCAGGAGGGAACAGGGGCATGCCCGGGAAGGAGAAGCCAAAACCGGGTACAGCTGGAGGAACACCGACATTGTTGGCGTTCGACATGTCGCCCATTGGGGGACCGTCACGTTCACGACGGGGAGGGCGGTCATGCTGGACGCGTGTCGAAACAGGGCCACGTTTGCCTCCAGTGTCGGTAGCAATCCGTCTACTGATGGCTTTTGATGAAACACCAGCACCAATCTCAATATCTGGCTCTTCGACGATCATACCCGATTCAATGGGCCTTCCTCCAGTACCACCGTACTCCGCGGTGAGCATCCATTTCCGATCCGCCTCCGTGAGCCTCTCAATGGGAATGATGCTGATTCCTGTCTGATAATCACTGCAATCACGGGGTCCAAAACCAACACCCCAGCGTGTTCTAAGCTGCATATCTCCAGTCTTATATGACTCCATACCTTCGCGAGCATTGATGGCGTCTTGGCGACTAATCATTTTGATGAAGGCATGGCGTTTGTCGACATTCACAATGCATGTTTGGACAATACCAAACTTTGAGAAAAGGGAACGTAGATGGGCTTCAGAGGAAGTTACACCACCAACGAAGAGGGTACGACTGAGAACTTTGATATTTCCTTGGCCGACGGAGTAGTCCCACTCAATAAACTTGGGCCCCGGTGGAGGAAGTGTCGGATCCTTGCGTTGAGGAGAAGGAGAACGGCGCCTCCGTCCAACAGGGCTGCGTTGACGGTAGTCGTTGCCTCGTCGGCCTCGTGGATCGGCACCACGACGACCAGGAGAATCACCGTGGTACTCTCCATAGACAGGACTATCACGTCGGCGTGGCGGGGACACATCGCGGCGCCTGTCCCAGCCGGGAGAACGTGAGCGACGGCGATATCCACCAGGGGGAGAGCGCATGTAGTCACGGTCACGCTCGCGGTCTCCGAAATCACGTGGCTGTGAGTCAGCATGACCACCCCAAGTGTTGGTGTTCTGACCAGTGAGATTGAATCCAGGGGTTTGACTAGGATTGAGATTGGGCATGGCGCCGGGGTTAGAAAGAGTGAGGATCTGTAAAGCCGTAGCCCACTGATCCTGGGGGATGCCTTGTGCAGCCAACATTTGCAGAAGTTGGAGCTGTTGCTGTAGTCCATCAGGCGTCATGGTGGGCGGCTGCGCTGGCGGTGCAGTCGCCTGCGGTAGGAGAGCAGCTAGAGGGTTCTGAGCTGTTGCTAATGGCGTCGGGGTATGGCTTTGACTTTGCGGCTGCACCAACGCTGGGCTTTGAGCCAAGCCACCTAGAGCAGCGAATGGATTTGCCACGGCTCCATATGGGTTTACGCCAGCTGGGTTAGCTTGGGGCTGTAGAGTTTGGTCTATAGATGAAGAGGCGGGCTGTGGAATTGTACCCTGATGGCTCAATGCGCTGAGAGGGTTGACAGGAGCAGCAGCAGCTTGAGCGGCCGGGGCTGCGGTGTTCTGTTTGGCCATATCCGCCAAGGCTTTCAGGATACTTGAGGTATCTGGCGCTGGTTGAGCGGAGGTGATAGAAGCTGCACCATTAGCTGCTACTGGTGGTTGCTGCTGCGCGCCTCCAAACAGGGCGTGGTTTGGGCCTGGAGAGCCTTCTGGAGTGGTCGATTCAACATCTGGTATAAGCAAGTTAGAACTAAGTACTAAGTAAACTTCATGTATAGCGCGCGGAAAAGGACTTTGAATCCTTTGCCCGCGGCCAACGGCCTTGATGTACAAGTAACCGCCGTCATAGGGAGGCAGTGCTTACTGTTGGACGCAGGCGCGTTCAATTTCTGTTTGAAAGACGCAAGCATTGAGGCGGGAAAAGTGTATCCGCGCTCCCAGATGTCGACCAGCTTTTTGATTTTTTCCTATGAAGACGAATGAAATACGTAAGTTAAACTATTCGTCACCAAGCGACGGGAGAGAATCGCTAGAATGCGTGGTTTCTATGCAGGTTAAGGGATGCGTTGCGGGATATACGTAGAGCAAAGTCTTAAGATCGGCAGCGCGAGACGGTACATCATCGCGTCTTATTGGCCTTATGTATATGCCCGCAAATCCGGTGGGATGGGATAACTCGCATGTATGCATCTAGAGCGTACCTTTTGATCTTCTGGCGCGTTGTTTATGATATCAGACATCAAGACAGGTAACAGCTCGGTCACTCGGTTAACGCCAGCGGCAAAGGTTCCATCAGGAGCAGCACTACCAGCGGGCTGCCCTGCTTTGCGTGCTGCATCTACCCATTGTCGAGTTACTGAATCTACGACATAGAGTACGCCCAACTTGTGTGTGCCTGGTGCTTTCTTGAAATGTGTGTAGATTTTTTGGATAAGGACGGATTCGTTCTGCGCGGTTGGGGGGAACAAGTTAGCTTGCTATTTTCCGAGATAGTACGTGGTCCAGGAGGTTGAGTGTAGTACCTGGACATTTGCCGTGCATAACGACGTTATGCTGTTGATCTTAGAGCCTGAGACACCCGGGGCCTTGAGAGCCAGCATGGACTGGAGATAGTTGTCCAGTTCTGCTACTGCGGACGACATGGCGTGTCTGCTGTGGACTCGCAATTCAATACTGGAGCACTGAGCACGCTGGTGCGCGTTGACACTATCGCGCGATGAACGAAGTCGCAAGATTCAATGTAGCAGGCTCCCGACGAGTCGCTTCTACTGGGAAATCCAGCAAGGAGCAATAGAATACTGAATGCTTATGACGGACAGCAGCAAGAACTCCGTATCGCGGCGCTTCAGCCTATGTGCTGAGATTGATAGCCTAAGCTGACTTCTGGTCGCGTCACTACGGCCAGTGGCCTTTGGCCTACAGCGGAAACACAGCGATCGCGTCTAAGGCCTGTTCAGCTCGTCAAGAAGTACGTGTACAGAGTACGACCTATCGCAAAAATGGTGTTGAGGATCAAAAAGAGAAGAGAAAGTGATGAAATTAAACAAAGAGGTTCGAAGCGGTTGGTTATGAGATGAAGATGAGTCGAGGTTGTAGAAGAAGGCAGGGGCTTGATGGCAATTTGAATGAAAAGTTTCATTGGTGGTCAGGGTCATGTGAGTGCAAAAATCAAAGCCAGGTATAGGCCGCTTAGTCAGTTGCTTAAAGCACATCTGAGATCACGTGAACTCCCGGTGAGCCGAATGGGGCCGATGGTGGGATCTCAACAAAGGATCATCCTTGAGGAACCCATCAACGGTCCTGCTGTCAGCCTGTCACTCACAAAGGACAGTGCCTTGTTCTTAAAATAAGTACTTCATACGGAGTATGTAGAGTGTTTCTCAGGCTCAGCGCCAAAAAAAGAGCGGGCTCACGTACTTTACGGGGTCCAGCCGAGCACGATCGAGATTCGAGACTTGCCGAGGAATACCGTAAATACTTGCCGACGTCACCAGCCATGATCCATGGATGGTAGTAGCTGAAAGCACGGCGAGTTGAACATGTCAACACGGGGAATCCTAGAAGTTTATACCGAGTTCGAATACCACCTATGGAGCACATACTGTAGGCTAGGCTGTGCCGCTGTATGTAGCAGCATGGAGTCATCAGCATATGTAGTCTACTCTGTGCTGGTCGTCGCATGCTGAGACATTCACAGTAGCCCTCGTCCAAGACTGCCTAGTCTACTCCAGACTGCCCTGTGCGATGACGGAAGCTGGCGGCAGAAGCTCCGAGTTCTGTTGTGGTGGAGTCGGGAGACCGGCCCCATAGGCTGTCCTGGTTACGGCCAGATGGAAAAAAGATGGGACCGAAAACAGCTTTCACGTTCTCCCGAAACCTGAACTTCTTCTCTTTTCTCCCTCTGCTATCTACTACTCTCCTCCATCTCCTCCCCAGCTCTTCCTCAATCAATCAACTCCACTTTCAGGTTGTTTGATCAGATATGGCTTCCACACTCAGACTTGGTACCTCTGCTCTCCGCTCCAGCACTCTTGCTGGTAAGCCGGTTGTTCAGTCTGCTGTCCTCAACGGCCTGCGATGCTACTCTACCGGCAAGACCAAGGTCTGTCTTTGCGCCGCGCTTTGTTTGACTAATCGATGTGCGCTTGCTAACGAGTATTTTGACTTGTCCAGTCCCTCAAGGAGACCTTCGCCGACAAGCTTCCTGGCGAGATCGAGAAGGTTAAGAAGCTCCGGAAGTACGCATATCCTCGTTCTTAAGACCCGTTATCGCGACAGTCGCTAACCAAGGTCATTGAAATCTGTAGGGAGCACGGCAACAAGGTCATTGGCGAGCTCACCCTTGACCAGGCCTACGGTGGTGCCCGTGGCGTGAAATGCCTTGTTTGGGAGGGTTCCGTCCTCGATTCTGAGGAGGGTATCCGTTTCCGTGGCCTGACCGTAAGCGACGCCCTGACCATTGCCGCCATACGAAGCCCGTCTAACGTTCTCTAGATCCCCGAGTGCCAGAAGCTTCTTCCTAAGGCCCCCGGTGGCGAGGAGCCTCTCCCCGAAGGTAAGGAGCTTTGACACGGAACTCAATAGTCAACGCAAAGGAACAACTGTTAACAGATGGACAGGTCTTTTCTGGCTGCTCCTGACTGGCGAGGTGCCCTCGGAGCAGCAGGTCCGCGACCTGTCTGCTGAGTGGGCTGCTCGCTCCGACCTCCCCAAGTTCATTGAGGAGCTTATCGACCGCTGCCCCAGCACTCTTCACCCCATGGCTCAGTTCTCTCTCGCCGTCACTGCCCTTGAGCACGAGTCTGCCTTCGCCAAGGCCTATGCCAGGGGTATCAACAAGAAGGAGTACTGGCACTACACCTTCGAGGACTCTATGGACCTCATTGCTAAGCTGCCCACCATCGCTGCCAAGATTTACCGCAACGTTTTCAAGGACGGCAAGGTTGCTCCTATCCTGAAGGACAAGGATTACTCCTACAACTTGGCCAACCAGCTCGGCTTCGCCGACAACAAGGACTTCGTCGAGCTGATGCGCCTGTACCTGACTATCCACTCCGACCACGAGGGTGGAAACGTCAGTGCTCACACCACCCACCTTGTTGGTAGCGCTCTGAGCTCTCCCATGCTCTCTCTGGCTGCTGGTCTCAACGGTCTTGCCGGTCCTCTCCACGGATTGTAAGATTACACTCCCCAGCAACCGCCTGATACTCTATGATTCAGTTTACCTAACCCTTTGTTGTCAATAGGGCCAACCAGGAAGTCCTCAACTGGCTCACCGAGATGAAGAAGGCCATCGGCAACGACCTAAGCGACCAGTCCATCAAGGACTACCTCTGGTCTACCCTCAACGCTGGTCGCGTTGTTCCCGGTTACGGTCACGCCGTCCTTCGCAAGACGGACCCCCGCTACATGTCTCAGCGCGAGTTCGCTCTCCGCAAGCTGCCTGATGATCCCATGTTCAACCTGGTCAGCCAGGTCTACAAGATCGCCCCTGGCGTTCTGACCGAGCACGGCAAGACCAAGAACCCGTACCCCAACGTTGATGCTGTAAGTTCTACGTCCTGTTTACCGGATCTGGCGCCGTATACTGACACCTTCCTAGCACTCCGGTGTCCTCCTCCAGTACTACGGCCTGACTGAGGCTAACTACTACACCGTCCTGTTCGGTGTCTCCCGTGCTCTCGGTGTCCTTCCTCAGCTCATCATCGACCGTGCTCTCGGTGCCCCTATCGAGCGTCCCAAGAGTTTCAGCACTGAGGCTTACGCCAAGCTTGTTGGCGCTAAGCTGTAAATGTTTTGAACGATTGAAGATTTTGGAGGAAACTATATATTTTATGATTGACAACAGCCATTTCTGTATTTTATCTAACGTCTTCTTGGACTGGAACGTACCAAGTGTTGGGGTTAGTTCGATTAATGTATGATAGGACTTGTTCGAGCAGGCCTTGTAACAACACTTCAATTCCATGTCATCCATTATTCTGGGATCAACCTTAGGCCCCCCCTATTTAGGCCCGACAGAATCTTACTAAAAGTATGGACTAGTTCCGGAAAATACCCACGAAACAAAGGTGAGATTTCGCGAGTGACCTTTATACTCTGTATACATTGAGAGTCCGAGCATTGGACCAGCCGGCGCCTTCTTTAGTTCCACGGTCGTCGGTGGTTGGGTGCTTCAGGAGCCATTCATAGAGAAATCGCGGAATACTCCGTAGACAAATGCGATGACCACGGAGTAGTCCGTACATACTCTCTAGTTTCCTTGAGGGTAGACTAGGACGTGGATTAAGATTTCCGTTGTCGGTACTCGGTAGAACACTTGCCCGAGAGCTTTCTGCTCAACGGTTTCTCTGTTGGGGCACCCGACTTCCTCCGCCTCCCAACTGATGAGTGATGACCCGAGGAAGGTAATTCCCGTCCATACACCGCCCGGCCTGAACCGGACTAGCGGGGATCGGCCCGTCAGCTTCTCCGATAGGGACTAGCGCTCCCGCTTCACCGTTTGATTGGCCTGCTGGGGAAGAAGTTCCAGGCGCAGGTTGAAGGATCGGAGCCTCAGGCCGTCTACGGACTGTTGTCGTCCCAACTTTGAGTGACAGGAGCTACCGTGTACTTACAATCCCTGTTCCTAGAGGATTATTATTCCAGAGTCAGCTGCAGAAATATAATCCCCGTTCCGCCTCTCTTTCTCTTTTTATATTCTGGTCCTCTCAGCTTTCTCCTTTCCCACCCTCAATCTTCTCCCTGTCCAAAAACATCCCTGGTATCGCAACCCGCTCGAACACCTGCGTTCTGGTCGATTTCAATCCTCATCTCTTCTGATCCGCTAGGCAACGAATCCCCTAAATCCCTTGGTCAGGGCCCCTTTCAGTGTTTCTCCCGAAATCAGAGATGTCTTCAGCGTCGGAAGAGTTGGGCACTGTCCCCAAGCTCGAGAAGAAGCCCGTCAAGTTCAGTAACTTGTTACGTACGTATCGCTCCATGTCCTTGACGGTCTGATGCTGATGAATTTGGTATAGTGGGTGCTGGATTGAACATGTTTGAGTAAGTACTTTATAGATGTTCTTACACAACGTTGAGAGTTTGTTGCTGACAGCACGGTCAGGGTCACCACTCTGGGACAGGTACATATTCCGAATGCGCGACTCGGATGATTTCTGACTGACGCCATATATCTAGCCACTGGAAGTGATCAAGACAACCATGGCTGCGAACCGGGGCGATAGCTTCGCCGGCGCTATGGGTCGGATATGGGGTCGTGGCGGGATCCTCGGTTGTAAGTGAACCCGCTATCCGCACACCCGCACATGCCGAGGTATGGGGTGGGTACAATCTTTTCGGGGCTAACGCGTGTTTATTGCGAAGACTACCAAGGTCTCATTCCGTGGGCCTGGATTGAGGCCTCCACGAAGGGTGCTGTCCTTCTGTTCGTCGCCTCCGAGGCGGAATTCCGCGCCAAGGTGCTTGGTGCGCCAGACTTCGTCGCTGGTATCTCGGGAGGCATGGCCGGTGGAATCGCCCAGGCTTATGCCACTATGGGTTTCTGCACTTGCATGAAGACTGTTGAGATCACAAAACATAAAATGGCTGCTCAGGGTGTCAAGCCTCCCAGCACTTTCGCTACGTTCATGGAAATCTACCGCAAAGAAGGTATCAGAGGTATCAACCGTGGTGTGAATGCTGTTGCCATCCGTCAGACGACCAACTGGGGTTCCCGATTCGGTCTTTCCCGTCTAGCAGAGCAGGCTCTTCGAAAGGTTACTGGCAAGGACGACAACCAGAGGCTTAGCGCCATCGAGAAGGTTATCGCATCAGGACTTGGTGGTGGACTCTCTGCCTGGAATCAGCCGATTGAGGTCATCCGTGTCGAGATGCAAAGCAAGACTGAGGATCCCAACCGTCCCAAGAACCTTACGGTCGGCAAGGCTTTCAAGTACATCTACGACTCGAACGGTATCAAAGGATTGTACCGCGGTGTGGCCCCCCGAATTGGTCTTGGTATCTGGCAGACCGTTTGCATGGTGGCTCTTGGTGACATGTAAGCCACCCCTTCCCCTCATCAAATCAATGTTTACAAGCATGGGGGCTCCGTCTCCTACTTCCCTTACCCCGATTTCATGTGCTCTACCGAGGTGTGAAACAAGGCTAACGTGTGGGCTTCGCTGCACCGAATAGGGCCAAAGAGGCAGTTGAAAAACTGACTGGCGATAAAGTCACCGCGAAGCACTAGAGAAGGTTTGAAATACCCTTCTACCGTGTAAGGCGTCTTGTCAAAATGCCGTTGAAGTTGTTCATGGTCTCGACCGGTTTCGAGTATTACCGCGCATTTGAGCCATGTTATGATGTTTATACTGCTGCGGAATAGAGAAAATAATGCTACATTATTCTGGGTCTACAGCAAGAAGGTCAAGCACTTTGTTGATTGCGCCGTTGTTTATAAAGTATGTGAAACCTAATCCTGCCAAATTGCGACGATGCAATGACTCCCCGCGGAAATTTGTGTCTATTTTCACTCAGCATTGCCGCAGCCCAGGTTTGTTTGTAGGCAACAAGTGCAGTTCAACAAGTATCTGCTAGCCATTCTCAGATAAAATTCAATGTAGTTGAATGTCACTCCTACATGAATGTCAGCATGTCTTAAACCGCTTAGATATAACCAGTCCTCGAATTCCAACGAACTACAGACTTCAGAGGTATAATGAGGGTATAGCAAGGATGAGACTAAGAATACAGAGATCCGGTTGTATTACAGTCACACAGCTACAGCCACAATAACTATCACAAAAAGAGTCGAAAATGAAAACGCAAAGGAAAATATATCTGCGGGATTTATCGAGGACACATGAAAGATTCGGCGCTCTGGCTTTCGGTTGTTTTGTCCCGGAACAGTCTAGCATGTATTGTGTACAGGTTTTGAGAGTCGTTGTGCGTGGATGTGTGAGGATATTTAGACGGTGAGACCGAGGTCGGAGGCGTATGGGATTTGGGAGAGATCACCGACGGAGGCGACGGAGGCCTTTCCAGAGAGGAGGGACTTGGCTAGCTAGAATGCAAAGTTAGCTAGTCACTCCGTTGGGTAGACTATGGAGAAGAAATTACTTACATCCTTAACCTGAGCCTCGGTGACGCTGTCGACGCTCTGGGCGACCTCGCCGATCTGGTAGGGCTTGCTGCCGTTGATGAGAGCAGAACCGGTAGCCTCAAGGCCAGTGGCGAGAGTCTGAGCTGACTCAAGAGCCTGGAACTTGGCGAGAGCGGTGGCCTTCTTGATCTCGTCGGCGGGGATCTCGCCGGCGGCGGCCTTGTTGAGAGCCTCGACAACGCTCTTACCGGCGGAGGCGACCTGGTTGGCCTTGCCGCTCAGGGTAACGGTAAGAAGACCGGCATCGGAGTACGCGTAGTTCTTGGTCGAGACGCGAAGCTGGTTGAAGCCCTGGGTGGCCTGGCCGAGAAGCGAGAAGCCAGGAGTCCACTTGATAGAGGACTCACCGCCGAGGAGAGCAGCGAGGACGGAAGCAGCGGGCTTGTAAGCAGATGTGCCGAAGGCGCTGGTGCCAGGGAAGGCAATCACAACTGAGTTGCCAGCCTTGGTGGAAATACGCTGCTCACCGCCGTGGTAGTTGGAAGGAGAGTTGGACTTGAGCTGGTATTGGCCAGAGGTGCCGGCACTGGGGAGATCTTTGAAGAAATCACCGACCCACTTCGAAAGCTCCGCAGAGCTGATACCACTGCCTACGAGGGCGATGTTTGACTTGGCGTAGGCGTTCTTTGCGAACTCGGCGACAGCCTCAGCTGAGAGGGTTTTCTCGTAAGGGGCGTGGGCGGAGGGAGTGATGGTCTCACCGAGACCCTGGTGGAAGGCAACACCATGGGCGGCATCGACAGCGACAGCCTCAGAATCGTTGGCAATAGCAACCTGCCTGAGCTTCAAGAGCTTGGCGATGATCTCGTTGAGTTCGTAGCCTTTGTGGAAATGGCCGTTGTTAGATATCCAGAGACTGAGTTTTCACTGGGCCCCTTCTTAACATGAACTTACTAGGGTACTTAGTCTGAGAAGCAACCTCCGCCAAAAGCTCGACAAAGTAAGGAAGGTCGTTCGCAAGGAACTTGGTCTTGAGAACAACATTCTCACGGGAATGTGTCGAGGAGAATTCACCACCCAGCAGCTCAACCTCCCGAGTGATCCGCAGCGCCGAGCGTTTGAGTGTAGACTATCAATTGGTTGAAAATACGGTTAGTCCATGTTGAAGCCCCCCAAAGAAGCACACGAATGCGTACGGAGCAGCAATTGATGCGGGAGGACAAACCTGGAAAGCGAAGAGCTCAAGAGCATCGGAGAAACCAGGGAAAGGCTGGTAGCGGGTACCGGCCTTCGCAACCAAGGCGAGAGTACCAGTGACGCCAGCAGGCTCTCTGTTGGCAACCTTCACGCCAGAGGACTCGGAAACATCGTACTGAAGACCGGGGGTAGCTGCAGAAGCCATGCCCCGACGGCTGGCAGCGCTCTGGAGCGCACGGGGCGCATTTCGACTGATGGCGGACCGTGACAGCATTATCGCATGTGTAGGAGGACAATTAGGAGAGGTGCGTAGGTAGCTGGCGAGTGCTCGACAGCAATTGAGAGGTGGTGTGAAGGAGGAGGAGGGGAGAAGACGGCTCTCTGTTGGCTGGTGGTTTGACGACGTCTGAAAAGCTTCAAGTTGATGCCGGCGTTGTGATTACTCGCTCTTTGATTGGTTAGAATTGCAAAGGCGGGCGGAACCGGCAATGCTCGTCATGTGATCTTGAGTGACTAATAGCAGCACGTGAGGCTGAGGGCCATCGCGATAAGAGAAAAAAAGACAATGCAGCAGAGTGACGGACATGAAACTGAGTTGCGACCAGGAAAGTCTTATGGCTTCAGCGGATTACTCCACTATACTCCCTCATGATATCCTCGCGGTGACCATCGTACTCCTTCTAGAGAATTGAAGCAGGTGGATTCTCTAGAAGACTCAAAAATGGCTTCCCAAGTATGCGAAAACACGCAGTTCGAATATCAACATCTTGCGCAGTCGCTAACGATGGGGACCACAGTATGCGGCAGAGCTCTGTATGCTCATGGTTGAAGATAACTTCGGCGAGCTCTTCGGGGTATGTTTGTCTTTCGTCTTCAGTGACCCAATTCTTGAGTATAGTAGGACGACAGCGTCGCTGACCATCAACTACTTGGAAATTTCAGCGCATATTTTCGACCTTGCATCGCTACGAACGCCTTACCCTGCCGCGATTATTGGGGTATACCCGCCTGTCTGAAAACCGGTTACGCGCTGCCCTCGTTGCTATGATCCAGCACCATCTTGTATACTTCTATACCGCCATTGAAGAAGGCGGCGTTACTTACTATAGCGCCAATATGCAGGCGGCATACTACCTTGTCCGCTCGGGAAAGATCTTGGAGCTTGTGGAGGATCGACTGGGAAAATACGCCGCAACCGTCATGTCGACTATCATGTACCTCGGCCACGCGCAAGTAAGCGATCTTGACACGCTGCCGGACCTACGGCCGGAGGCGCCGAATACCAATGGCGCCCACAATGAAGAGGTGGATTTACCCGGAGAAGACATCGAAACGAACGGGACGAACGGTGAATATGTTCTGGAACAATCAGCCCTTCATCCGACACTTAAAGCACTTGCGGGACATGGATACATTGTCCGAGTCCGAGAAGCCCATTTTCAAAGCAATGCTGATAATATCCTCAACATTGAACGTCAAATCAGATTAGGGGATTCTGCGCAAAGCATGAAGGGGAAAAGACTCGAAGAATACGTGTTGGAGAAGACGGAGAACATGCTCCGGGAAAGACTTGATGGAGACCTCACGCGTGGACACCTTGTCAATGGAGTGCCACGGGGAGTCAATCGCAACCGCGCTAGTGGAGGTTCAGCCGACGCCGATAATAACCGTGAACTATTTGACTATGAGGACGTCGGAGACGGAGAGGAAGAAGATGAATGGGCCGATGATGAGGTCCCCATGGATGTACGTTCTCCTTCTCGTCCAAGCGGCTATATATATTTCAAAACTAACCATAGGCACGCCAGTCTTCAATAACGGTTCGCGTGAACTACGAAAAGCTGGATGTCGCGCTCCGAAACCGACGTTTCCTTGAACTAGCTGAGCGCGACGCTCCCTCGGAAACGGCACAAATCTACGACTACCTCCTCCGTCGCATCGAGTATCAAACTAGCAGATGTAGGGATACCTCCGAAATTCCCCGCGAGGGTGAAGAAGGCGAACAATACTCGGTTGCCATACCCCTCAGCGCTCTCGCCCAAGACATCGACCACTACCTAGACCTCGTAGGGTCCCTCGCGCCAATAAACACCTCTACCAACAGACTCGGTAAACGCTCACTCGACGACGCAATTAATGACGACGACGACAACGACGAGAACGGAACCAACGGTAACAGAACCTTCGAAATAGACCAACATCTCTGTCTCCTCGCCCAACCTCCACTCAACCTCACCTCCAAACGCCTCAACGGCGGCATAATCCACTGGACCATTGAATTCCGTCACCTAGCCCGCAAACTTCGCCACCTCGAACTCGAGCGCATTGTGGAAGCCCGATACGGCGATGTCGCCCTCCGCGTGCTCCGCGTCCTGCAGGCGAAGGGGAAACTCGACGAAAAACGCCTGCAGGAAATCAGTCTCCTTCCCTTCAAGGATCTACGTCAAGTCCTCGCATCAATGCAAACAGGCGGCTTCGTCGACCTCCAAGAAGTCCCCCGTGACGCGCAGCGCCAGCCCTCGCGCACCATCTATCTCTGGTACTATGACCCTGACCGCATTCGCGACAGCATGCTACAGGATACATATAAGTCGATGTCACGGTGTCTTCATCGGTTAAACTTCGAGCGCGGCCGGCTAAAGGACTTTCTTGAAAAGACGGAGCGCAGCGACGTCAAGGGGAACGAGGAACTGTATCTTTCGGAAGGAGAGCTTGAGAAGCTGCGTGAATGGAGGGCCAAGGAGGCGTTGTTGCTTGGGGAAGTCTCCCGGTTAGATGATATGGTCGCGGTGATGCGGGATTATTGAGTTTGGCATACATGTCCTCCTGGGATTTGGCATGGCGTAACAAGTGATGATATTCAAAAGTCCTGTACATCTTAAATTTCCCTTGACAAGGGCGGTGCTAATTGATAATCGCGACTACCGGACCATTCAAACTGGTCACTGAGGATTACTCTGTCGATCCTGCGTGAGTTCCGGCTAGGACTTGTTAAGATTCAATATAGGTATACAAGGGGAAGAGAAGGAAAGGCCAGTTTGTTTATGCATGACTATAATTCATTATCTTGGCTTGCAAATGCATCACTATATTCAGTGTGGTATAACCGTATAATCGGGAAATGAGAAACGGAGAAAAGCGGATACATGACTACACCATTAACACCGACGTACGGAGGACGTCCCTTGAAAACCGAAACAATAACAGAAGGGGAATCAACAAAAACATCAGAAAAGTCCCCAGACCGGACCAGATAGGTCAAAATTAAATCAGAGCTGTCTCATAGTACATGGGTTCCTACCCTACTTCACTTTTGTCACTCCTGCGCATCCCGTTCAAACCGTGACTTGTAAACATGTGGCGTAACCGACGAAAAGCACCACGTAGGAGACATAAACGGATACGACTAGCTGTCATCAAGGTCCTTCGATAGTTGAGGACTGAGAGTGGTTCAGCTCAGAACTTTGGTTGACCGCATTGGATTCGCCTGGTTGTTTCTCTCCGGTTTGTACACCATTACTTCCATCAGTCTCTCTGATCGTCTCGCTCGTGCCCAGCTTAGCCTCGGCGGCTGCGAGTTTTGTCTTCGTCGCACCGAGCTCCGCCTGGAGCGATTTAATATAGTCAATAGCCATCTCCACGGTGCTCGCTTTGCTAATTTGCTGGTTACCGGCCTTTTCTTTCTCCTTCTCGGTCTTTCCATTGCATGTCGCTGCTTCCTTATTGAGTTTCATCTGAACGTAAGCTGCCGGAATGAGAGCTTCGATCTCTTTAAGAGCAGTGTTTATGCGATTCCGTCGCCCCTGCTCTGCAAGCTTGTGATTTGTTCGCTTTGAGCTTAGGTTCTCGGCCAAGGTTTCCGGGTATGAGACGCCAGGAAGGAGCGTTCCCTCCAGGATTTGTTGATAGTTGGATTTTAAACCGGCTAGATATGCGGCTGATGTATCGCCGGAAACCAGTGGTTGAATATTGGGACTGATTTTAGGCCGCAAGCTAGGACTGGGATGCGAGGAACTAAGACTCTGTCGCTTCCTGCCCATGGGACCTAGCTTCGGCGTGTCAGATTTCCTGGGAGCGGGACCACTGGGAGACGGCATAGCAACAGAACGCGGGCTCGGAGCGACCGACGCGTGATTACTCTCAGAAAGCGAGGCGGAATGAGTGTCTGGGTGCGTCGTGGCGTTGACCGGCATGTTAGGAGATGAGGTGCTTGTCGGCATAGCCGTATCTATGCGAGCCACCTGTGGCCTGAAAAGATGGGCTTGCGGATTGGCTGCCTCCGGAAGTACGACATCCTCCATCACCTCGTCCTGTGGTTGGGCCATCGGTTGTTGAGTAGGAGTCAAATTATGATCTGGGGCAGACCGAGCGTGCGGTGATCGCTGCATACGCATTAACATGGCGGGCGTCGCAGGTTCGCTAGGGTTTGGCTGTTGCTGAGTTTGCGGAGCAATTGCAGGTGACCTCCGAGCGGGTGGTAATGCTGGTGGTGGCATCAATGGTTCAGAGAGTGGCTCTGGGGATACTGAATCCTGGCCCGAGCTCTCCGCACTGCCGAAATGTGACACAGTACCGTTTAGGGGATGCGAAGTAGGGTTAACTTGGCCTTCTGTAAGGGTACTCATAACCTCGTCCGTCAAGCGAGATTTCGTCCGCACCATAGGTCGAACTGATGGAGATTGCTGTTTCCTAGCCCGAGACTGGAAAGACTTGCCGGCAACTGACGGCCGTCGCCGGTTTTTCCGTGTCAGACCCGGAGAGGATGGGGCAGACGATAGAGGAAAACTATTGTCAATAGGCGAGGGTACGAAATTAACTTCTGTTAGGGGACCAGAATGGATAGGAAACCCGTTCGGATTGTTGGTGTGTTGAGCCTCGATCGCTGGCGAACTAAGCGGACTGAAGTATTCACCGGGAATAGTGTATTCTGGCTGTCTGAATTGAGATTCTAAGGGAGTCATCGCTGGAGAAACAAGGGGGGTATAAAGAGCCTAGAAGAAGACGGTGAGCGCATTAGCGGCGCAAGTCCAGCCCGGACAAGTACTGACTGGGAAATTAAATTCGGATCATACCTGTTCCTCCATCATTCGAGAATATCGATCGTAAATTTCCGGATTATCACCGACGCGCTGCGGATAGGGCGCTGCATTGCCATGAAGTTCAATGCTGTTGGGGGTGGGCGGAATTATCATTTGACCCTGCGGAATATAAGGCTGGGAGGATTGCGGCTGCGCCTGTTGCTGAATTTGAGCAGAGTGAAACATCTGGGGTTTTTGGGTATAGAATGCCGGTGTCATTGGGCCATTTGAGTATGACGAGCTATGTGGTATTCCCTGTTGCCCGTGGCTAGCGATCTCGACGGAGAAATCGCCTAGCATGCGGGTGTACGATTGCGATTGATCGGTGACACCATCAGAATCCAGGCATACCACCTGTTGTTGCTGGGGCGGAGCGGTCGAGGTGGCCATTCCAGCGACTTGGTGGGCGACAGAGCGAGAAGGGATGTGATCTGTCGGTCCGTGCTGCCCCTCTAGATCCGGGAAACCGAATTCGAGGAAACTGCTGAACTCATCTTCGGCGGGCTGAGGCATGTCCGACCAGGACATTGATGAAGGATGTTGCTCCATGGCAAAAAGGTTCTAGTGCGAGGACTTGCCCTGGGTGTCAACGCTGCTGTTGTACTCTTGGGCTACAGTGATGAAGTCAGATCAAAAACTGTAGTGTAAACGGGAACCGAGCAAGAGTTTAACGATCGCGGCCAACGGCGGAGAAAAGGACCGGAAAGTCAAAACACAAGACAACCTCCCTGGTACTCAGTAAAAGATGGTGAAAAAGTGAGCGAAGTCAGGGAAGGCTCAAGTGAAGCAGGCGATCATGGCGGGTAGGCAAACAGACATTCAACAGGTGAAAGAAGAATCGAAGGCAGGCTGGGAGAAGTCATAAACCCGCGAGAATATGAGACAAGACGGCCTGGCGGAAAGGACGAAGAGATAAAGCGTGGGGAAGATTGGACTAGACTGAGAGTGGGAGGTCAAAGTCAGTCGGAGTGGGACACGAGATGGAGAGCGCCCGGTTCAAGAGCGAGTCTCTCTGCGACTGCGCCTACAGTGGCCGCTTTTCGACCGGGATAGATCGTGATCTCGATCTGTGACTCTATAATGTCTGGATTCTGGAATCCTACCCTGTTACGCACATACAGATTGACTACAAGTACCAAGCGAAAAGTACGAATTGATATCATAAGAGCACTCTTGACTACCGTATTGTCCTGAATTTCCGCCGCACCACCGTTTTCTCTCCACCCATGGACCTCGATGGGTCTGGTCGGCCGGGTGTAATTTGGCTCAACTGCAGCGGCAAATCGAGCTTGAGGCAATTCAAACAGGGTCGGCTGGCAACAACTTGTACTCTGTAGATAGAAGAGGGTACGAGCTCACATGCGAAGGCCTCAAGAACCTTCTAGGGCGGTTTTCAATGCGGCAGCTGCGCTAATTGGTTTAATCGGCTGCGCTGCACTCGGGAAAGTACTGGAACCCACGTCGTTGTAGACTACCATCAGCGGACTAGAGTCTCGACTTGGGTTAAGACTACCGTACTTAGGAGCTCTCTCAGTCGCACTTGCCGGCCCAGGGACCGTGGACCAAACTCTCTGGACTTCTGGTCCCTCCCCAAACCCTCTGTATGGCCTGGAGGAGCCCGCAAGCCCGATGCTACACCGGGCCACGTCCGTGAATTCCTACCGAGTGCCTACCTTTCTGTACAGACCATGGACAGACTACGTAGTATGATCGCATTCTTTGCTTGCTATATGTACGGAATAGTTCCTACTGGACGATCATTTCTATTTACGTAACCCTGACGGACAAGGCCCGACATACGGAGTAGGGTACTAAGATTAATGTAGGCCATTCATGCCAGGCTGATGTCCAGAAGGGTATAGTGGCCATGGGCCATGAGCCACCGCGGACGCATGCAATAATAGCCTTGGCGTGATTAAAATTTTTGCTAGCACCAGCATCTTAGAGTCGGCTTGAGGGAATCTCAATGTTCATTTGCTACTGCGCCAGAGCTGATTTTACATGAACCAGCCACTGAGAGTGTTATGCAGCGTGCCTAGCAGTAGCTAGTCGACTGTCGGCTTGAGCCTTGAAGCGCCGGCAGCAACGACTCCGGAGTACACTAGGACGGCCGGGCGGGAAATCATCCATGATTTTCCGGCCATAGGCTACTCCGGAGTACATATATAGCTAGCAGCTCGGCGGGAATGCTAGATGGAAACCATAAGTTCAGTGCGGTGTTTGGGACTATCAGCCCACACCACTGGAACATGGTCCTAGTATGCGTATTGCCGTGACTGTAAGATGCGGGGTTTCGAGCGGGCTGGAGAGGGGTCAACGTGACCCAATCTGACAACACCAGACAAAGCCATGTTTAGCTTATCACCAACTTCATCTCTTCAATGTTTGCTTTCTCTGTTCAACGTCCGCGGTTACAGTCTTCGCGTCACCATGAGACCGCCTGTTCCAGAGGTCGCATCCCCGCGATCTCGCAAGTCGTCGCTTGAACAACAGCAGTGGATCGATCCCCGCAGTGCCACTCCCTCCACCTTCTTCCTGGCCCGCAGTCAGCGCCCCGATGATTGCGAGCACGAGTCCCCAGTAGAACCTGAGAACTTGAGGAATAGTATGTATGGCGTACAGAGCTTCGACGAAACAACTTCCATGACCTCGAGTGTAGCTGCCCTCCCACCGGACCTCGACACCTCGTCTGTCAGCAAGCCGGTGCCTATCCCAGCTTCCCCCGCGCCTCCCCAACAATGGAAGATCAACTTGGAGGAAGCGGACGATGCTATTTCGAACGCTCAACAGGATACGACACTAAAAGACTATGATTCTACGCATACCAATAGGCTGGAACCACCACTACATTCGTCGAATCTGACGTCGCCCCGGCCCTTGACCCCGCTGAACTTCTTGAACTCCGTTGACCACTCATCGCTCCCAAGCAGTCCCAAATCCATCACTAACCAGTCTACGAGACATCTCGACGAGATCTCTATAACGGATGACCTTAGTCAGGCTGTTGCTTCCGGTGACGAAGATGATGATTCGAGACCGACACTCAATCCAAGCTCTGACTCAACGTCCCAGCTCATCATGCCGAGTATCACGATACCTAGCCGGAGGCCCTTTACAGAAAAAGGGAGAGCTTTTGGCAGGGTGAAATTACTTGTCGCTGGAGCATCTGGTATGTGTCTCCTCAGTAGTAGCGTTGAATTTCTTTAGCTAACACGTTCAAGGGTCAGGCAAAACATCCCTCATCAAGTCAATAGTGCAGATTTGTGATGATATTGTGCATGTTGACCTGTTTGACGAACCTTCCCATTCACTGTCCCTTTTGCGTCATGAGCAAACCCCACATACTGCTTCTCGGTCAGCCCAGTCTCCTGCACTCATCTCTGAGATATATGCTAGTTCAAAACCTTATCCTACTTGGTGGTCGGACCTGGAAGACTCTCGAGTTCTCCGAAGACGGAAAAGCTCAGGCGAGCTTGTCCTCGAGCGCAATATTTGCTTCGTCGATACCCCAGGGAACCGATTGAGTCAAATAGGGCAGCTCGATGCCGTTATCCGATACATTCGCCAGCAGCTCCTTCGTGCTACGTCGGCACTTGATTTTTCGAATGCCGATTTTCGGAACATGCTCGCTGGTAATGGAGGGTCGCAGGTGGACGCTATCCTATACCTAATATCTCAGGGTACGTACATCGCATCGAACTATATATTTTCACCCGCTCACGGTCAACAGACAAGCTTGTTACCGACATAGAGTGCATCAGCAAGCTCAGTGCCTGGACCAATGTGGTACCACTCATAGCCAAGTCAGACCTATTGACACAAGATCAAATTATAAGTCTTAAAGACGATTTCAACGAGAAAGCTCGGGCAGCTTCTGTAAAACCTTTCCTCCTTGACGCCTCCTCGGATCTCAATGAACCCCCTTTCGCAGTTTCATCTGCCAAATCGAATGACGACTCCATCATGGATGCCAGCACATTGATGAGCCCGGACTACATAGAGCCACTGGTTGACTCCGAACTGTTGTCCTTAGTTCAAACCCTGTTCGACCGCGAGACTCTGACGTGGATTCGACATTCTGCTGCCAAGAAGCTCGCACAACGACAAAGGGATATCATGCACCGCCGACACAATCCCTTACAAGACAATGCTCTATCGTTCTCATCCAGCCCGTATGGCCTAGCCCCGAGTTACGCAATGGCCCGGGTATCTGATTATTCAAGACAAGAGGAGAAGCGTGCTCGAATACAATTGGCGAAGTGGGCATCAGACTTGCAACAAAGTCTCCAGAATGAACGAGAACGATATGCAGTATTAGCAAGGGGCGAACGAGCTGTTTGGTTGACTGAGCGACTGGGGGAGTGTGTTGTGGATGGTTCTCTTGTTCCAGTCACGCAATCGCCCGGATTCTCCGAACTCAATGCGTCACCCGACAAGCAGAATGGTAGTCTTCTCGTCCAGACCCAAAACGGGCGGAGACTTGAATATCACTTCACCAATATCAGCTCTCTCGATCCTCTCGGCGTCGTTCGGTGGTCTGATGATCTGAAGCAACGAGGCTGGGCGATTGTTCAGATCGTGGGTAGTTTCGGCGTTGTTGGAGGACTCGCTATCTGGCTCGCAAAGACCTGGGGCTTGTCTTCGCGGAGTTTCCCAGAATGGCGCTTCGACTGGTAATTGCACCAGTGACTAGGTCATTTCAAAAAGAGACAAAATGCGAATCTGTCCGCGGCCATCGGCCCTGATGGTTCACTTTTCATGCAACCCTCATCCTAGTCCTTCAAGACACCACATCATCATGATCACGGATCAATATCCTCACGAATATCTTGCTATAATCTCTCACTTACGCTATTTACCAATCTTCCTCGGCTGGCGTGTGATAGTGGTGGGCATGACATGATACCATGCATCTTCAAGTTCTCTACTTCATAACCGGCGTTCTCATTTCCCTATTCCTCCTCCTACCTCAGCAAGGATCTGCACCCATATATAAAATACCAATTTGAAGATCGGTGATGCGAATCTAAATGAAGTTTGGAAAGGCTAGATGTCATTGGAATTTCAGCTGAATTTGGAGTTTGGGGTTATGATGGATGCGCTTGCCTTTGAACTGCGATACACTACGAAGTGCTGGGAGGTTTTCAAGGGATAGGACATGTTATCATCTTGTATAGCTGCAATCGAGAGTCCAGTAGTTTTCGTATGTTAGAGGATGTTTCAGCTCAGGAAGATTCCGGATATTCATGAGCTGAAGCGCATTTCTAAGTATATTCCCTTCTGATTCTCAAAACCAAGTTTTTCTGGGCTGCGTGACTTAGGGTATTTGCTTATGACATTGTAGGCCTCTGCTCCACAGCCCCGGCTTACCTCGGGGATTTTCTGGAGAGGTGAAGGAGAGAGATGTCCTCAAGATTATGGAGCACCCGAGACTGGAGTACGGCGCAGGCACAAATTCCTCTACGGCGAAAGTGGAAGAAGGATTAAATGGAAGAACCAGACCGTATTGTATTGGTTTAATAAATGAAAACGCTCAAAACGCCACGAGATTGACATCGTCGTTGATAACATAAAAGACATCACCTTCTGCCATTCCATCAATTAAAAAGTAAGCCGAAGCGGTTCAGTGTCGTAAGAAGACAGAATATTCGTTTTGCTTTTTGTTGTTTTCCCTTGATCGTTTGATCTAGTCAACCTCCTCCATGGCGCTCTCGCCAGTTGTGGCGGCAGCGGGAGTCTCCTCGGTGCTGGCAGCCTCGGGCTCAGCCTCCTCGTCGATGTTCAGACCAAGGGATACGAGCTTGTGGATGCGCTCAGCGAAGCTAGCGGGCTCATCAATGGTGAAGCCGGAGACGAGCAGAGAGGTCTCATAGAGGAGCTGGGTGATGGACTTGACAGTGCGGTCGCTTTCACCATCAGCCTCGACCTTTTTCTTGAGCTCCTTGATGATGGAAGACTTGGGAGAAATCTCGAAGGTCTTCTTGGAGGACATGTAAGAGCTCATGGAGGTGTCACGGAGGGCCTGGGCTTTCATGATACGCTCCATGTTAGCGGACCAACCGAACTGGCCGGTACGGATGGCGCAAGGGGAGCCGATAAGCTTGTGCGAGACAACAACCTTCTCGACCTTGTCGCCGAGGATGTTCTTGAGGCTCTTGGCAAGGTCCTCGAACTCCTTCTCCTCCTTCTCACGCTCAGCCTTCTCCTCCTCGGTCTCCTCGAGCTCGAAGTCCTTGGTGATGTCGACGAGCTTCTTGCCATCGAACTCCTTTAGCTGGGTGAAGGCGTACTCGTCGATGGGGTCAACGAGGAACAGAACCTCGAAGTCCTTCTGCTTCAGGCTGTCCAGGAAGGGCGACTTCGCGACAGCCTTGATGGACTCACCAGTGATGTAGTAGATCTGCTTCTGGTGCTCCTTCATGCGAGTGACGTAGTCAGTGAGGGAGGTGTTCTCGTCACCGGACTTGGTCGACTGGTAGCGGAGGAGCTTGGCGAGGGTGTTGCGGTTCTGAGCATCCTCGTGGATACCAAGCTTGATGTTCTTGGCGAAAGCGCTGTAGAACTTGTCGAACTGCTCGCGGTCCTCAGCAATCTCGGTGAAGAGCTCAAGAGTCTTCTTGACAATGTTCTTCTTGATAACCTTCATGATCTTGTTCTGCTGCAGGGTCTCACGAGACAGGTTGAGAGGAAGATCCTCGGAGTCGACAACACCCTTGACGAAGCTTAGCCATTCGGGGATGAGGTCGGTGGCATCGTCAGTGATAAAAACTCGGCGAACGTAGAGTTTGATGTTGTTCTTGGTCTTCTTAGTCTCAAAGAGGTCGAAGGGAGCACGCTTGGGAACGTAGAGGATGGCACGGAACTCGAGTTGACCCTCGACTGAGAAGTGCTTGACAGCGAGGTGGTCCTCCCAGTCGTTGGAGAGGGACTTGTAGAAGGCAGCGTACTCCTCCTCGGTGATGTCGGCAGGGTTGCGGGTCCAGATAGGCTTGGTCTTGTTGAGCTCCTCCTCTTCGATCTTGGACTCCTTGATGGTCTTGGTCTTCTTCTCCTTCTTCTCCTCATCCTCGTCGACCTCCTCAATCTTGGGCTTCTTCTCATCACCCTCCTCTTCCTTGGTCTCAGCCTCCTCATCAGGGACTTCCTTCTCGGTCTCCTTCAGGACGTGAAGGTAGATGGGGTAAGAGATGAACTCAGAGTGCTTGCGAACAACCTCCTTGATACGGCTCTCCTGGAGGTACTCGGTCTGCTCATCCTTGAGGTGAAAGATCATCTTGGTACCGCGGCCAAGAGGCTCACCCTCGGTGTCCTGGGTGAGAGTGAAAGTACCACCGGCGGAAGACTCCCAGATGTACTGCTCGTCATCATTGTGCTTAGAGATGACGGTCACGCGGTCGGCAACGAGGTAAGCAGAGTAGAAACCGACACCGAACTGACCAATCATGGAAATATCAGCACCGGCGGAGAGAGCCTCCATGAACTGCTTAGTGCCTGAGCGAGCAATGGTACCAAGGTTGTTGATGAGGTCCTGATGACAGTGTTAGTCACAAATTCCTCCCTATCTGAATGATTCGGGGGAACTCACAGCCTTGGTCATACCAATACCGGTGTCACGGAGAGTGAGGGTCTTGTTCTCGGCATCGGGGATGATGTCGATGCGGAGGTCCTTGCCCGAGTCGAGCTTGGAGGGGTCAGACAGAGACTCATAGCGAATCTTGTCGAGGGCATCGGAGGCGTTGGAGATGATTTCTCGCAGGAAGATCTCCTTGTTGGAGTAGACAGTGTTGATGATCAGCGAAAGGAGCTGAGAAATCTCAGCCTGGAACTCGAAGGTCTCAGACATTGTGAAAGGTTATGATCTGCGAGAAAGTTGAGTGTTAGCTTGGTTTTCCAGTTACGCATGTCCAGAGGACAATTAGTGCCAAATGTAGATATTCTTCAAGCTTGTCTCGAGCTCTCCGCCGGCAGAAGTAACCAAAAAGGAGTGTATATTCTAGAGCGAAAGCCCTGAGACCTGAGGCGGGGAATTGTTGAACTGAAGCGATATAATACTTACGGAAACAGAGGGGAGGGGTGGAGGAATGAGGGAAAAGTAGGCCACACAGGCAAGAGATGATGGAGAGTGGAGGAGCGAGAGAAAGAGGAAAGTATTTAAGCAGAGAGGATGAGAGGAGAATAGATGAATGAATGAAAGAAAAAAATGAGGTGAAGCGGCCGACTTAATGTTTCTCTGGGCCACACAGACCAAACTTTCCACGATGATCCAGCAACTTCCACACCTTCTCCGCCCCTTCACTTCCAGCGCCTTCCAGCCTCTGTTTTCAGCCTCGCCTGCCAATCACCAGTGGAATTCCTCCTGGTTTGCCTCACTTCGCCCCTTTGGCTTACACTCTTCTCCCCGTCAATAGAAATTTTAAGCAACAATCAAACAAATTCTATTCGCTTTTGTCCTTAAGGCTTACTCTGTACATCGGAAACAATTTTGCCTCGTTCCTCAGGCGCTCAATCTAGAACGTTCCGCTCCACTAGATGGCCGCGGGTCCAATCATCGATCTAAAATCTCTGTCCATGTACTGTAAGATTCGTTGCCCGGGCTGCTGCGCGGTGCGATGCTCTCCCACAGTCTCCAGGCCCTCCACATCTCCCTTAACCAGTACTGTAGTAGCAACTAGCAACAGCGATCGCTAGGCACATTCTGTTCTCTGGAGCCTGGAGGTTGTAGGCAAATGGTAGTCCGTCAATTGAAAGGGACCAAGGAAGGCAAATCTCGAGGCTCGGGCTCAGCCTGTTCTCACTTCCTTCCCATTGACCGCGCTGTTATCACATAAGAATACCCAGGTGCTGCATTGTATCCAAGTCTACTGACACCGTTCAATCTGTAGCCCGCAGATGTTCATTTAATATTTATTTCATATTGATGCCTCCAGTCCTTTTCCTGCACCTGGCTATCTCTAAGCAGGCTCTGAGAGGGCGGCAATCTCCCTAAGGGATGGCCAGATCAACCCATGTTCAAATACGTAGATGGAAACACAACATCTAAATACCATCCTCAAAATAAAAAGCAAGGAAAGTATGCTAGGCAGAATCCCAAGCAGCAAGAAAGAAAAAGGTATTAACAATACGGGCCTAGAGCTCGCTATGCTAAGAGTGGGAAGAAAGGTCATGACAACAAATACAGCAAAACGTCATGAAATACCAGCCAAACAAACCCTCAAGGAGAAATGGAAATGAGTATGAGACTTTTCCAACCGCTAAATGCATGGTGATGGGGGTAGGGTCGCATAACACATGTCATTATCAGTAAATCGGGGCAGTAATACATGCCCTGGATCAAGGACGAACTTCGAATGAGAACCCGCGTATGCCGTCGAACCAGGGTGAAAGGTTATGTCAGAAGACTGAGGTACGAAGGGAGACAGCGTCATTGAGAGCGGCCTCGTTATTACACCCCTCTGAAAGGATATTCAAGCAGTCTGGCCTTGGTTTCGGGGCTTGGCGTTGGCGTTTCCGCCGCGGCCTCGAGGGGCAAAGCCTCCACGTCCCTCGCGCTGAAAGCCACCCCGACCCTGGCTGCCCGCACGATCGCCGCGGCCACGGCCAGTACCACCGCGACCGGGTCCGTAGTTGGCATTTCCACCGTAGACGTTTCCACGAGGTCGGCGCTCCTCAACCTTGACCTGCTCGGTTCCAATCTGATGAGGGTTCGCAGCAACAGCGGCATTGTAGCCAGCACGATCAGCGAATTCAATAAACGCACAGTTCTGGAAAGGGTAGTTAGTAAATGTCATCGTTGACAAGTAGATGGGGGAAAAGATGATGAAGATACCTTCTGGCGACTCACATCAAAGTGAGTGAGCTTGCCGAACCGCTCAAGCGTCTCTTTGAGTAAGTCCGCATTGACCTTCTCAGTGACATTCTTAATGTAGCCAAGAACAGTCAGGTTGTCTCCCGTGCGAGCCTGAGATTTCTTATGATCGTGGCCAGCGGTTTGCCAGCCGGAGCCGTCAGTGGAGGATGGCTGGCTGGGAACACTCTCAGCAGCAGGGGCAGCAGATGGAGCGGCAGCTGGAGCAGTGGCGGCAGGCTGGGGCGCGGTAACAGCCGCAGGAGCGGGCTTCACTCGGGCAGCAGGGATAGCAGGAACGACAGGGGCTGCGGCACCAACTTTGGAGGCGATGCTGGCCCAAGTCTTGGGTGCCGCCTTGGCAGGAGGAGCTGCCTCCGTTGCAGGTGTTTCTTTCTCGACAGCCGGAGCGGGAGTTGGTTCGGGGCTCACTGGCTTCTCTGGTTCGGCTTCAGCCACGGGGGCAGGTTCCTCTGCGGTTTCGGGAGCAGGTTCGGGCTGTTCGGTTCCATTGGTTTGAGGAGCGAGTTCAGCAGCCGGGGCTTCCTGCTCCGCCTCCTCGGCGGTTTCAAGCTTCTCATCCACTTTAGCGACGGCCTCCTCGCTGTCCACCTTCGACTCCTCGGTTTCGGTAGAAGGTTCCGCCGCAGTCTGTACGGGGGCTTGGAGCTCCGGCTCCTCCGCGGCGTCACTAGAAGGAGCGGCGTCCTCGGCGACCTCCTCTTCATCGACCAAATATCTGAAGACATCATTGAGAACATAGTAGCCATTGGGTTGCTCGGCCAAGACGAAGGTTTGCACAAACTTGCGAGAGGGCTCCTGCTTGTTGGAGATCTCGCCGATGACGGAGATGAGGATATTCTCGAAAGAGGCCTGGGCGTCAACGTTTAGAACACGGACTTTGCAGTCTTGGAAGTCAAGCTGTTTGATTTTTTCTTGGATAGCCTGAAGGATAGAAAGAACCATTAGTTACGAACACATAATCCAAATGCAAGGGAGATGGGCGTACCTTCTGGCCAACAGCAACCGGGACGGATTCAGCTTCAGTGCCGAAGACAAGCTGAGATCTTCGAGAGTAGAAAAGGTGCAGCTTATCCGGGCTGCGGCTCATGTTGGTGTAGTATTGCTCAACGAAATACCATCCAACCTCGTCTTTCGAGATGCCATTTTTCTGGTCGTTAGACGGGGCATTGGAAGGAGTAGAAGACTGTGCCGGCTGAAAGTTAGAAACGCTGTTTACGGCGGTGTGCGCATGGTTGTATGAGTCAGTGTAGGCGGGCTGTGTTTGGTAAGTGCCGTTGATGGGAATCTGAGTGTCGGCCATTGTGTTGTGAAGGTAACTTTTTGATGGTCAAATCGCGAAGAGAGTCTAACGGGGCGCAAGCGAGGGAAGCGGCGATATAAAGACGCGATCAAAAAGCCTCTATGTAATTCGAAGAGAGGACAAAGGATCTAACAGCAGCTTGAGCTCTTCGCTGAACTAGTGGCATGGATCAGTACAGTTTGCGGCTAGGCACGGGTGGGCGAAAACCAGGTAGGAACATAAAAGACCTCGGGCAACCCACAGTTTCAAATAAGTGAAAAATATTCTTGAAAAGAATGAAGCCGGCTCGTACAGAGAATGTCCGAGATCTAAACGGGAGACGAATTGCGTCTGAAGAGGTGATGTGGAGGTGATTTGAAGGTGGGAACGGAGGAAATTCTTGTGCGATTAATTTGAATCAAGTCGGGGAAGGTCTTGGGAGGCAAACGGAGAAGCCAATGTAGAAAGTGATCAAAGCTCGGTATGGTGAAAACAACGTGTAGAGGGCTCTTTTACAAATGGGGCAGAGTAGGCAAGTATAATTGAGTATAGAGAGAAGAAAGGAAGCAGCTTCACGAAGGACTTGAACAGGTCAAATTGCGAAGAGTGAGAGGTTCTTGTGATGGTGACAGTGACGAGTGTTACAGTGAGTGGCGACCCACCGCCTTCTATATCGGGGTTCTGCCAATTGGCTATCCGATTCCTCCGTACGGAGTACTGGGCCTACTGGCATGCGCTTCAAGCTTGAAATTAACGAACAACACTGAATTGAGCATAATTATTTACTGATAGTAGTAATCCACATGTACCACTCCGAAATGCGGACACGCCTCTATCTTTAAAATATAACAAAGATCTGTCCTGCAGACTAAATAGTACTTAGATGACCCAAGTTCTCCGCAATAGTCTGATCAGAGATCATTATCATGAAAGGGCAGTAAAACTTGACAATTAGCTGAAAGAACGGGGGTATGAGAGACATGAAAGCACAAACTTCTCGTCAGAGTCAGACATCAAATTCCGTCCACAATATCCACCCCAGAAGAAAACAGACAGGAGAAAAGCACGAGATTAGAGAAAGGCTAACGGCATCGCAGCGGGCAAGACAATAACAAAAGAAGAGGTATCTCAAGATCCAAGGTCGAAAAATCTCCGTGAAGCACGTCAAGGTTCATGAAGTGGCATGCTCGGCCTTTTCGTTCAGCGCAGGCTTCTCCCGCATGACAGCATCCTGGCCCGTCATCCTCCGTCCGAGCGCGCGCTCCACTTTGGCACCGAGCGCGAGCTTGCTGAGACTGTCGGTCTTCTCGGCGCTGGGAACAAACCGCTGCTTGTTCAGAGGCTTGTTTTCCAGGCGGTTCAACCCTTCGCGCAGGTTGTTGTATTCGGTGTGTCTAGGATCTCCGCTGGGGAGGCTCCCTGTGGTACGTTCTGAGGCAATCGAAGGGCTCCCGCTGACGGTGGAGAATCGTTTCGAGGCGCGATTCTATAGTACAGCGTTAGACTGTGTTATGGCAGACGTCCGATAGTGCAAGTAGACTTACGGATTGAGTCATGATGGGTCGTTCGGAATCTAGAGAAGGTTGTCTCGCCATGCCTGTTGGTGCAACGTCCGAATGGGAAATCAGAACCGGTACTGGCGATGCAGTCGAAGTCTATATACGCAGGGAGACGTTCAGCGACAAGTAATTCCAAAAGGCGACAACAGAACAGAATATGAAAAGGGAATAATGTGTAGTAGAACCAAGAAAAGAAAGTTCGCTAGTTAACTGCAAAAAAAAATAGGAGTCAAGCTGGAGATACCCATAGCGCAGGCAATAAAGAGTGAAAAGGGAAAAGCGTATCCATACCTGTTTAAATGCCTGAGTTCAAGAGGGAATGCAACACGAAGATATATTCTCAGGTTGGGAGACCAGTTACCACGCAATATGTGAAGAAGATACAAGACAAGAGAAAAGGGGAAGGGAAGAAATGAATCAGATAGGGTGTTGTCAAGCCAAGCGCAGGAGTGACATGCAGGTGAGGCACTGAGGATTCAGGAGACGGAGACACAGTGGGTCGGGCCACAAGTGTATTTTCTGGCCGTTTGACTTAGCTTCCTTTCTCTGCAGCGGTTTAAATTTAAGGCGGACATCAGATAAATATTAAATGCGGCAGATCAAGACCCTGTTGAACTTTGCGACTCATATATACTCCTAGATTACCTATCTAGGAGCAAGTGTTAGTGGGACACTTGCATCATACCATCGTTCCATCGTTCTACCTGTTTCTCCAGATTCCGATGAACGTCAGCGAGCTCGACTGCCATTATTACCTAAGTGACTGCAGTACGGGGTAACTACGGAGTATTAAGGTGCAGAAATAAGATGTTTTCAGCCTTCTATCGCTTTGCTCCCTGATGATCATTCTTCAGATTCATCAGTTGCCACGTGTCGGGAACAAATGAAGGGCGCTCCGTATGGTCCCGACAACAAAGCCACGCGACTTATCCCTGTTGCACTGTCGCCATATCTGGACAGGGTCCGGCAGAGTCCTGCAATCCTCTCCAACTTCCAAGGTTCACCATCTGTGACACAGGCTTGGGAAGGAACTGCTGTTCTTAGGCTACGGACGATCTGGCTTGGTGGTCATGTCTTACTTGGCAGCACTTTCATACTCTCGCTAACTCTGCGATTGGGCAATGAAATGGAACTGACAACCTTGTCTAGCCCAAGGTTTAGCAGTCTCAATCAAATCTTGACCGGTGCTTCTGATGGAAGCCCTGCCTTTCTCGGACCGTCTGATGTGAGTCCACCGTCCATTAGACCCTAGCTTTGAAGGCTACAGAAAATCTGCTGTCGATTTCGGAATGGTGTTGACCACTTATTACGATCTAAGCTCTCAAGCTGAGGTCGGCTTACAACGACATTGTATGTGGCCTAGCCTGGCTATACGGTTTGATGGTCGGAACAATTGTGGCCAGTGCTAGTCTCACCTGAATTCTGTTGCACGTGGATTGATCGAAGGATATTCCCCCCTTGTTCAGGACACTAATTAATCGATAGTGACCAGTGTCGGGGACTGGAGTAGTGTGTCCCTGCCACCTGGACAGTGGTAGTGTCTAGTGGGCATCCGGCATCCAATCCTACCTATGGTAGGCTTGGCTCATGCGGGAGCCCCGCACTATGAAGTATCCGACGTCCTATATTATCCACCAAACAACTCGTGCAAGTCCAAATCGGTCAGTATACATTGACGCGCGAATCCCGGCAGTATGTCTGGCATGCCACTTTTGATCATTAGCAAAGCCTCCATGAGCTCGCCATGAACCTCCATAGCCTTCTGGTTGCCTGTCTCGCTACCTTAGGGGCAACATCTCAAGCCTGCGAGACTGACGAAGACTGCAGCCTCAATGGCCTCTGTCGCCGCCAGTCGCCATGGTCCAAGCTAGGCGAGAAGAGCTGCAAGTGTGATCCCGGCTGGTTTGGCGAAGATTGCGGACATCTTGATCTGAGGCCCGCAATCAAGGACAACGGCTACAACCACTCCGCTGACGCAGTCGACTCAATGCATCTCGGTCTATACGGCAACTCCTCCTGGGGTGGAACTGTTGTGCAAGACCCGCAAGACCCGTCGCTCTTTCATCTCGTTGCCGCACAGTTTGCATCCGGATGCGGACTAAGCGGGTGGAGGCCTTTCTCCTTCATCATACGCGCGGAATCACGAAACGGGCCGCAGGGGCCGTATCACTACGCCGAAAGTATCAGCGAGCCTTTCCGGCATAATCCAGAGGTGATTTGGAGTCCGGCGGACGAAAAATACCTGTTATACAGCATCGGTGCAGACGACGAGGAGCAGCCACGTGAGAAATGCGCCAGTATCAGCTACAAGCGATGGCCAAACAACATCTCCGTCTCGACGGCTCCGGATATCCGTGGGCCATGGACACCCTTCAAGCTGGTGTTGGCCTCGGCTGACCCACACTCGACAAACCCCTCGCCCTGGCCACTGTGGACGCCGCAAACCCGTACAAGCAAGATTGCCCTAGGCGTAGAAGACATTGCTATATTTCTCTTCGACAGATACGATAGCGCATACGAGCTAGTGCACACGCAGAGTTGGAACACGAGCGAGTACAGCCCTACCTGGACGGAGGACAGCTTCTTATGGCGCGACAAGCGGGGCCATTGGCACGCCCTTGCACATTGGATGATTGACCTCGTTGAAGATGGGCAGAAGTGGCCGCGGGTCGGAGCTCATGTCTTCGCAAGGGAGCTTACAGGGCCGTGGCACTTGCACCTGCACGAGGCATTCAATTCAACGGTGACATATTCGGATGGGACTGTCCGAACGCTGAAGAGGCGAGAAAGGGCCAAGATCTTCTTTAGCAATGATGGCGAGATGACGCCATTGTACCTGGTAAATGGAGTTCAGGAGATGGGTGAGGGATCAAGAAGTTCGACGTTCGTTCAACCAATCGGCGAGGCCTGGAAGGACTTTGAAAAGCGGTTGGGTTTCTAGCGTAGATATTCTTCTTCGAATGGGGCAGAGGACGAAGAGGACGGGCCTCTACAATAGCAACGCCTTGTTGCCTTTCGAGCGCGGCAAAGACTCTTGGTGCACACCTCCGTAGAGAGCTCTGTTGAGTACTATCAGGTAAAATTGAGTCTCGGCTAGGATGATATAGATTTCAACCCAAGACTATCAGACCCTGAAAGTGAAGGAGTACCTTATCAGCCGCCAAAGACTCCGCATGGGCTTAATCGTGTCGCACTTGGAGTCAGCTGCTGTTTGACGTCCGACCACGGTCGTAGTTGCACCAGCGGGGCATGTTGGGGTATGGCCAGCAGAAGAAGAAGAAAGAAGAAAAAGGCCAAGCCTGTCTATAGACGGCCAAAGCTCGCGAGGGCCATTGGAGCGAAAACTTTAGTGGTCGATCCAGGGTCAGTGCTGAGGGAGCCCAGTTCAGGCTCTTGGCCTACGCAGAGTATAACCAGTGAGAAGCGGAGCCTGGATCCTAGGATCATCGAAGCCTGAAGAACAACAAGCTTACGTGCAGTAGTGAGGATGCAGGTCTCAGCCCTCGCAGGCTCAGCTGGCGCGGAGGCCACCAAGTCATCGGGATGTGTTGTGCATGGCTTCCACTGTCAAACATCAACTAGTTCCGAGACAGCGCTATCCTCCTTATGCCGAAATTAGTCAAGGCAAGCCTGGTACAGATCTCGACCGCAGTGTCACCGCATTGGGCCAGAGTATCTATCTGACTGCCTTCGCATGAACCGCACCCCGGTGCTGCCAATCGGTCCCTGCAGCCGGCCTAAAGGCACATGGACGGAAGGTATGTGTGAGAACGAGGAGTACGGGAGATGCAAAACAGGAAAACCCCCCGGGGGGGCAGATGCAGGAGCCGAAACGTCTACATAAAAAGAAAATTAAAGCCGCCAACACCGACTGCTCGATCATGAGCTCTCGCGTTGTGAGAGAAGGCTGCTTCATTCCAAATGACCCGCCCCCGCCGTAACTGGACCGCCGAGGAAGACATGATTCTTCGTGAAGAGGTGGAAAAAGGTGCGTTGCTTGTCTTGAGACAGTCACTGATAAAATGGCTTAACGTCTGTGAAGCGCAGGCCGCCAGGAACACCACGGTTAACTGGACCGAAATAGCGCGCCAGGTACCTGGCCGTACGAATAAAGATTGTCGCAAGAGGTGGCACGGAACCACGTCAGCAAAAGTGAACAAGGGCCCTTGGACAGAGGATGAAGATGAGAGATTGCGAAATGCAGTCCAAAAGCATGGGCCCAAGTGGACAGCCGTGGCTTCGGTGGTCGGGACTAGGCTACCAGACCAGTGTTCCAAGCGATGGAGCCATGCCATCAAGTGAGTTCAAGGGTGGTTGAGTGCGAGTACCTGTCGCTAACAAGAAATCTAGGCCGGAGATTGACCACGGTCCATGGGCCGTACAAGAGGTTTGCACCGCTTATGTTGTCGATCATATATACGAAGCTAACCGTGAGCAGGACAAATTATTGATTGAAAGCGTCCAGAAGTACGGCCACTCCTGGCAGCAGATTGTCTCGCTCTTCTTTCCCCGTCGAACCAGCCTCTCTGCTAAGAATAGATTCCATCTTCTCCAGCGACGGTCGCAGCATTATTGCCGACGGGCAAGGACCCCGAGTTCAGGTGCCTCCGACTTCAAACCCAGCATCAGCGGCTACGAATCCGGGGATGGCAACGAGCTGGCTTGGATGAAGCTACCAGATACCATTTCTGGCTGTCTCGGGGAGGATCTTTTGGACATGGACATGGACGAGCCTGGGGGTCTACCAGAAGCTGCCGCGGAGCCGCCGTCTAAGACCTCGGACCCTCTCTGGATGACCCCGTTTTCTCAATCCGAGCTTTCCAGTGACACGATGGGCATGTTGGACTTCCCTTTTCTACAGAACGGTACCGGCTTTCGAACAAATGACGTGAGTATCACGTTGACTTCATCAGATCTGGATGACCACAGTGATCCTTTCAGCTTAACACTTGCCAATAATCCCAAAGAACAAAAACAAGAGCTGAGCCCTGATGATCTTACCCCATATCTGGGGCTTGACCAGTCGGCACCGTCCACGACCCTGCCTACGCCGCCCTCAGCCTTAAGCTCCGTGCGACAGCCCCAGGCCCAACGTCGAGTAACCATCCATGCCGTATGCTCGTCAGATAATCTGGGTGCGATTTTCCAAGCAGTGACTAAATTATCTGTCTCTGCCGTTTTCAAGACGGATGAGCAGGGATCTTTTTAGCCTGGCCAACAGCAATGCGCAGAATACGGATGCGCCGAAGCTAATCTAATTCATCAACATGATAATATACATATTTCCACCGAAGAAAACTCATCGCGTATTAGGAAATTTGCCATGTGAAGACGAACTAAACTGTTCTGCGTCGGAGAAACAAGGCCAAACATAGGCCCAGCTGTCTGGGCTCGACATCTGCACGTCCAGTAAGATTATACGACCGACATCAACAAGCTCCAATCGGCGAACGCGGATCACGAAGGGGATACTCTGCCTCCATTAGGCATCCCCTAGCCAACTCAGCTGCCAACAGAGCAATTCAAGGCGAGACCGGCCATAGCCTCCACCCATTTCGGGTGCGCTGGCTGCGGCAGGAGTAATTTGGGCCTACAATGGCATCAATAATTGGACTCGGAGACCGAGGTGACGCCATATTTAGAACCAGGTGGTAGGCAGGCCCTATGACCCCGTATCTGGGAAAGGACATGTCCAGGGACAAACAAAGCAGTGGTAGTGTAGACTATAAAGTATAAAGCGCCCGTTGTTCGCTTAACGAGGAATGCAGCAGTGTAGACCCAAGTCACAACCGCCAGCATGCGCTTTTCCAAAGTTCTAACCGGCCTGCTTTTCCTCGCAGTCTCTGCGGCAGCGACTCCCACTCCTCCGCAAGAATCCAGTCCTATAGCTGGAGGCCACCCTGGGCCCCGTCCTCGGCCCTTGCCCCCCTGCAACTCGGAGTACAGACCCTGCAGATGCCCGCCCGGCTCGACCTTCAAGAACTTCACCAGCTTTAGCCTCATCGGCGCTCCCGCTGCCCACGTGCAGATTGTCATGGGAGACTGTACGCATCCCGTGTTTCTTCTTTCGAAGCCCTAAACCCTCGGAGATCCCTCAGCATCAGACGTTAATCAAAGTTTTTGCAGTCTTCGACATGACCTTCCAGTCCCTCACTCCGAATAGCACGACCGGTTCGAATCAGGTTGCTGGTGCTACGCGCAGCTTCAACTTTACTGTCCCCGCCGCGGGATACTATCTCTTTAGGGAGGAGGTTCGTTTCCAACTCTCTGACGCCTCGCTGCCATACGCTCGACTGACAAGCCTCTAGCTCACGAAATGGAAGACCTGGCCAGATGGATCGTTTATCCAGGAGTACCGGCAGCATCCGGGTAAGGGATATCTCCCTAAATGACTTGCAGACAACGAAACTGATGATATGTCTAGATCCCCCTCTCGTCAAAGTTCCCGGTGGCGGAGGCGGCTATTACGGCATGTGGCAGAGAATAATCGGGCAGCAGACACTGATACCGAATGAGACAGCCTTGGTGTGGAAGAACTGGCGCTGTGACATCGGGGAACCATTCCGTAAGCTTACTCTGTCCCCCTCGTTTCAAGCGCACGAACATGTGGAAAGCACATGGCTGACATGGATGCCATGCAGCGGCGGTTCTGTCGCACGAGAACGGGATGAATAAGGCGTCGTCTATGTTGCAGGACTTGGGGCTCCATACCGGGGTCGATATCAAGGCTTATACCACCTTTTACGAGGTTAGGGATGACTAGTTGGGAGTAAGGACTGGGGTCCAAGTGTATTACCTGGGTCTGGAGGGCGGGGTTCGTCCATGAACTGGTCAGCATATCGTAATGATAATATAATAGAGCGTCGATTCTTGCTGGGTGCCTGTTAAATGGTCTCGTCCAGTGTCGCTTCTACATAGAAGCGCAGTAATTTTTCGTTATTCTCCGCCTTATTAGGGTAGTATGATTATGTTCTGGGATACAGCGGTTAAGCTTTATCGAGAATGCCTTCAAGATAATTTACTATAGTGGCTTGGTAGGGATGTGGTTAGGATCGGTGCTATAATTGCCAGGTTTCTTGCTATATATTAGTTGACCGCGATAACATTATTAAAACATGTTATAGCCATTCTAGCCCTAACTCTAGTCCCGCCGAGATGGTCAAATCACTGTACGTGCTCAACAAGAAATTGCAGGCCCCTCATAATTGCCCCTTTGTACTTCCCTTCTGGATCTCGAAATAAATCGAACAAATGCACCGCGCTTTCAATGATCTCAATCCCATTCGGGACCCCTTGCGCGGCCAACGCATCCGCCGCTTTTTGGGCTTGCTTCCATGGAACCAAATCGTCTTTCGCTCCATGGATGAGAAAGGTCGGAACACTGTAGTTCCCGGATTTGATCTGAGCGTACGGGCTAACAGCGCGCACCCGCTCAAGGTCTGGTTGGGGGAGCGAAAGCCAATCCTGCGCATCATATTCCATATTCTCGGAGGAAAGTTTGTTCTTCGATGGAAGACCGTTGAGCAGGACTGGTAGCGCCTGGCCCCTCCAATTCATGTGCAGTGCTATGCGTGACCGCGCGTCTGACAGGGACATCCAGCCACCAGCCGGACCGTCGACACGTTTTTGGGCAGGGATATTGTAAGCCGTAATTGGGTGATCTTGGACACCCTCCAGTATATCATAGGTCTTCGTTATGAGGTCTGGCGAAGTTCCTTCGGGGTAATTGGGTTGGCGCCAGAATTTGTCTTCATAGTCTGTTGGACAATAGAACGCAAGAATAGCATCCGGTGGTCGAATCCCAAGCTGCGGCGCACTGAACGGCAATGACATTGCGAGTGTGCCGCCCGTTGACCAGCCGATAACAACAACCTTACCACCATCTGGATGTATATCCGGACGCTGAAGCTCCAGGGCAGGGAGCGTGCTTCGGGCCCAGTCAAGCGCCGTGCAGACGTCCGCGATGGGTCCATCTGTTAGGTTTACTTCCGGACAGAGGCGATAGTCAATGCTGACTGGAAGGAAGCCGTAATCTAAAAGCAACTTTGTTTGGGACGGTCGGATGTCTTTACGGGAGAGCATGATGTGGCCGCCGCCATGAACCATGAGTGCTATAGCGGTTAGTAACAGCAAGGAATTAAGGGACAAATATAACTCACCAATAGGCTGCGAAGATTCAGCGAGTACTTTGTGCAATGGGTAGTAGATATCAGCTAAGAGGGGAATGTCGCCAATCGTAGCAAACGGCACTGTCTCTGTCATGACCAGTCCCTCTGCTGTAGCAGGTTTAGCTGATTTGATATCAGACATGAACCCCGTAATGAGGCGGAATTGGTCCGACTCCTCCGTGTCATCATCACTCCAGTCGATATGCCGAAAACCAGCTTGACGAAGCGTCCGTTCCCATAGGTATTCATCAGCAAGCACATGCTGCCGTCCATCTTCAAACACCCACCATCCTTCCAGTAGCCCAAATACGCAGTCCAACCAGTAGAGGTTGCGCGTCAGTTCCAGCAGGCAGAAAACACCACCGTCGCGCAGCAGTTTGTGGGCATTCACACTAGAACGAACCAGATCCTTGGTTGCATGGACACAATTCGATGCGAGGACTGCATGGTATGAACGTTGCATATGCTCAGGAGGATTCTTCTCGACGTCGAGGACGGCGAACTCCATGCAGTCGCCATAGGGACTGAACTTGCGCTTAGCCAATGCCACAAGGGAAGGTGACAAGTCCGTAAATGTGTACTTGAACGGGATATTGTGCTCGAGAAGAATCTCCACAATATATTTGGCTGTCCCTCCGGTGCCTGCTCCCAGTTCTAGGATATGCAGCTCTTCTCTACCTCTGTATTCCTTGAAGGCTTGAATGAAAAACTCCCCTAAAATTCTTGTCCCCGTCGCAAACATGGGCGAGTTGGTGTAAACGTCTTCCATTGCATCCTTCCCAGCTTTGGTGCCAAAGAGAATCTGCAACGGGTCTGCATCCCCTGTCAAACAAGCGGCAAGACGCGATCCGGTCGAGTGTAGAAGCCGATGTTCACAGAGATGCTGGGGAAAGTTCTTGCTAATTTCCTGGTATAAATCTTCTGTTTTTGCGGGACTGACGGGATTGCCGGTACGGATAAAATCCCCATTGTCATTTATGATGACTAGACCAGCGTCTTCAAGGACGTGGTAGTACTGCCTCATGACTTTGGCATGCCTCGGAATATAGGACACGGACGGAAGAACAGCGCCCGGGGCGATGTTGCGGAGGTCGCATCCCAGTTTTGCGAAAGCTTCGGTCACATATGCGCATACCAACTCACTCTGCTGGTGGAAGACTTTCCTTCGGAAGTTTAGGAAACCTGTTTGTTCGGCGAATGGGGCATAATCATTCCGCATCCGCGCGAACACCTCAGCACTATTAGAAAGACCATTCTGCCCTGTTGGGCTGCAATCTGCAGTAGATTTGGGCTGCACTCGGGCGTTCTTGTCTGCCTTATTGATTTCGACGACTGGTGTTGGACTCACCATCCTGCAAAGCTCCTCGAAGGTGGTGTCTGGCTCTAGTGCAGCCAGATCAATCTTCTTGCCAAACATTTTCCAGATATCAGCCGCGAGTTCGATTCCTACCAACGAGTCCAACCCTAAGTCTCGAAGAAGTGTGTCAGGGTGAAATCTATCCGACGTGTCGAGATGCTCTGCAATGATCCGTGACAATTTGGCTGCTCCTTCATCGACATGTGGCATCTCAACAAGTGCAAAAGAAGCCTCGGAACGTGGAGTGCTTGTGCTTGCTTTGTCGAGGAGACTACCATCAGACTCAGACATAGACAATGGGGTCAGAGCACCGCTGCCGCTACCAGGGGCTGTTGAGAGAATTCGGTAGAGATCCTTAACGGTCACGACTTGTTGAAATGCGCTGGTTGTAATGTCACTATTGAATCGCTCTCGAATTGCGCTTAGCAGCTCGGTCGTCATCAAGGAGTCAATGCCAATATCTTCTAAGAGGGAATTGTCAGAAATGTCCTCGAATGGTACGTCTGCCACTTCGTGGAGTAGCGAAGCAACTGCTTCTTTGACTTCATTAGTCTGCTGAGAAGTGGCTCGCTGTTTGGGAATTTTAGCTTGAGTGACGTGCTCTGTGGGCAAGGCTTTTGACACAGGCACTGATCGGGATTGAGGCTCTCTCTGTGCGTTGGCACGTTCAAGCGTCCTGCGAAGCGACGGGAGCGACACCTTAGAGAACCTTACCCCAAATATGGTCATAATGAGCCCCTTACTCGCAGAATCAAAGACAAAAATATCACTGATCAGCTCACGAGGTCCAGCTCGTTCGAAGGAGGAATACACTAGCCACGACCCCGAGCATGAGCCTAGTGTTCTTGAGAATTCAATGTTCTCGATCGCCGTGCATAAGAAGACATCCTCTGGACCGCACTCGTCAAGGCTATTGACATGTACTCCAGCCACCTGTGTGAAGCTATCAACCAAAAGTGGGTTGCAAACGTTGTCCTTGACAAGGTGAGCTCCAATTTCGGGCATGGCCACAAGCCCTGTTGCTTCTTGGTTTTTGCAAGAGATCTTTTGCACACCTCGGAAGATGTCGGCATAGATAACAACCTTGTCGAAGAGTCTATATAATATGGGTCCTTGCATGGTATTGGCGGAAGAGTCGCTTAAAAGTGCTTCGCAGCGATTGTAGTCAATTATGCGACGATAACGAGAGAATCGTGTTGTTATTCTATGGCTGGTTAGAGTTGTGATTGTTATTTGCCCGCTGGCGTGTCGGATATCGCCCCGTGATGACCTGCCATAAAGGTTGAACTTCCAGCTGTAACATGAAGTCAGAGACAACGTGAGGGATAGGCTGCGTCGTAAATCAATAGCCAACGACGCCAACATTTGCAGTTCCTCAATACAAGCCGCTCGGTCCGAGGGAGCAAAATCTGGCACCAAGGCTCTCGCAGCAGACGCCACAATTTCCACATATAATGCTGCAGGACACAGAGGACTCCCAAGAACAGCGTGCCCGCGCACCAAAGCTTGATACTGCTCGCATTCCTGGTCAATGCGGAATTCGGCTGTATTCTCTGTTTTTTTTATAAGTGTGACCATTCTGGGCTTGGTACGAAACTGGGCTGGCTGCTCTGTAATCGAGTGATCGCAGCCGGGACGGTCAATATAGTCGAGCCAGTGCCTAGAACGTTCAAATTGGTATGGTGGAAGGTGCAGATCAAGATATTCAAATTGCTGCTGTTTGTTGAAGAGCCAGTAGTCCACATCTATCCCGGCTTTCCACAGATTTGTTGTACTCTCGGCAAGTGATGAAAGCTCAGAGGTTGCTAGACTCATTGAGTGGAAGTCATGCTGATCTGTGTCGTGCAAAGCTTTCTGCACCATGGTCGCGATGCCTGAGGCGGATCCTGCTTCAACCCAAGTGCAAGGTCCCAGACGGTTGGCAATTCGATTGACTGCTTCGGCAAAATATACAGGTTCTCGAGACTGTTGCGCCACAAGCTCAGCCGTAAAGATGGGCCAGGATTCGCCCTTCGAGCATGTCTCAACAGGGATGGCAGGCGGGTTGTAAGATAATCCTTTAGTCAGTTCACAATAGTCGGGCATAATGCTATCCACAAACCTTGAGTGGAAGCCGTGGGTAATGTTCATCGTCCTGGCTCTCAATCTCATGGAGGTAGACACAGATTCAAGTGCTCTGATCTGAGCCTCTGACCCAACGACTACAAAACTCGTCGGCCCGTTATAGCAAGCAATTCTGACTGCGGAGCTTGGTGACGTCCAGTTATGGTTCACTTGAGACAGCAGGTCCTCAACCCGACCATGTTCTCCATGAATTAGCATCATAGACCCCTTTTCCTCTCCCCAGGAATCGTTGATAATTGTTGCTCGACCCGATACTAATCGCAGTGCATCAGGTAGGCTCATCACACCTGCAACACACATAGCCGTAAGCTGACCAAAACTATGCCCTATAACTGTTTTCACCGTTAATCCTGATTCCATCCAAGCACATGCCGACGCGTATTGCAGCGCAAAGAGCATGCAATGGAGATCCACAGTGTCACGGACTGGAACTCTCTGGAATATACCTGGGAACAGGCTATGGAGCCCCATTTCCCGAATCAAGATGTCGCACTCGTTAAGGTACTTTTGCAACAAATAAGAGCGTCGGTACGCCTGCTCGCTGAGGTGGATAATGTCTCCAGTTTGTCCGCCAAAAGCCAGGACCACCGGCTTCGAGGGTAAGATCGTGACTTCGGCGGTTGCGCACTGTTCTAGTTTGGCGTGAAGCTCTGAGACTGATGATACAGAGAAAATGGCAGCATGACGGAAGGATGGGTTACGTCGTCGGGAAAGATGAAACGCTATGCTGGCGAGAAAGTGGTCTCCTGAAAGTCGGGTCTGTTTCAAGTACTTCTGCAGAGCCTGGGCGTATTTCCGTACACTATCAAGTGTATTTGCAGAGAGTATGACCGGGTACTGGCATGCAGAAGCTGATTGTTCTATGGCGTCACTAGCCCGGGAAGGAGGCTGCGCCACTATCAAAGCAGCATTGCTCCCTGCAGCACCATAATTATTGACACAAGCTGCCCTGAAGCCCGCATTCCATTCACGCAACTTATTCGCGATAGCCATATTATCCGCTCCAAGCGGAGGAATGTTTCGATTCAACGTCACGAAACTCGCCTGAGGCGGGACCTTTTGAGCCTCGATCATGAGAAGCACTTTGATGAGACCAGCCACACCAGACGCAGCCTCAGTGTGACCGATATTCCCCTTCACAGAGCCGAAGAGTAACTCTCGGTCTCCGTGTCCACCGAAGACTTCTCGAATGCTGGCGCATTCAATAGGATCACCCTTTGGTGTGCCAGTTCCATGTGCTTCAACGTATGAGACTGTCCGGGTCGGCATTTGGGCGAGTTGTAAGACACGACGGTACAGAGCAGTCTGCGATGACGAAGCTGGGACGGTTATGGGGTAGGAATTGTCATTCTGGTTAACAGCGGATCCGACAATGACGCCTAGTATCCTGTCTTTGTCAACAAGTGCAGAGGATAATTTTTTTAGCAGAACTAAACCTGCACCCTCTCCACGACAATAGCCATCCGCGCTATCATCGAAAGATTTGGAAGCCCCGGTTGGTGTAAGAAAATTGGCAGCCCCAAGGTTATGATGCAGATTAGGGCTGGTAATCACATTCACACCTCCCGCCAGCGCCATCGAGCACTCGTCTGCCTGCAACGCCCGACAGGCAGTATGGATAGCAACCATGGAAGAAGAACAAGCAGTATCAAAGACCATGGAGGGGCCACTAAAGCCGAAGAAATGGCTAATCTTCCCACTAGTAAAGGCGCGTACCATTCCCAGTACCGAGAACGCCGTTGGAAGATGCGATGCTACATTATCTTCGTAGTCGGATGCAGCAACGCCCATGTAGACGCCGATATCTTGCTTGGGGCGCTTCTCGTTGAAGTAGCCGGCAGACTCGAGTGTCTCATATGCAACCTCTAGCGCAATCCGGTGCTGGGGATCCATCGCAGCCGCCTCTCGAGACGAGCGCTTGAAAAAGCGATGGTCGAACATATCGGCGTTGCGTAGAAAGTTGCCCTTGAATTTGATTTTGCCTTCTGGATCCCGCCGCAGTCGTGTCGTTTGGAAGCGGCCTGGAGGCATCTCTCCGACCATGGAGATGCCGGATGCGATGATATTCCAGTACTCTTCCAGACTATCGGCCCCGGGATAGCGACAGGCCATACTGATAATAGCGATGGCACCCTCGGGATATTCGTAGGTGTTGTTGGTGCTAGCACGCTTCGAGTTGCAGGCCTGGATACCCTGGCGATCCTTTATTGATTTTGGGACACAGTCGCCCAGCCCTATTGTCAAGATTTGGCCGGTTCCTTTCATGTCATTGACAGCATATGATACTGTGCGGTGCCAGTCAGACATATCTAGCATTAAGGTTGAGAGGGCTGTAGTGTGTAGAGGCTCTGTCTGGAGCCGCTTCCCATCCACGTTCCTCCGGAGCGGTACCAAGGGTCTCACGGAATCTGGAAACCGTAGGCTATCCATGGAAGCACAAAGACGTTCAAGCTTCCGAACGGAATCCTGGTGAACTGGGTGATGAAAGCGGCCGCTTAATGGTATCAGTTTGGATTTGATTCCGAGTCCTGCTAGAGATCGCGAGATGGCTGATAAGTCAGACGCTTGCAATGTGATAGTTGCCGCCGTTTGGTCGGACCGGACTGCTATATACGACTGCTGTTGTTAGCACATAGCGCTACTTGAAATTGTAGTATCGTACCGTTGGATAGTTGTGGAGTACTCCTAGTACGTCCTGCTCATCCGTTCCTGCCGCCCATCGTGCAGCGATGGACACATGCTGATTGGAATTGTTGTCGAAATCAACATAAACTCCAGCACAAGCGGCAAGCCTGAAAGCGACTGCGCCCAATTCAGCAATATGCTGATCATTCTTCGCACAGGAGAGTACTATGGCCGTCAAGAACCCAGCACAGAAGCCCTGGATCCCACCCTGCTGCACTGTATCCAGGGTTTCCGAATGGGTTTGTGGGGGACTGAGCGCTTCTAGGTACTCAGTGTAATCCACAATCTGACTGATGACCAGAAGGGGCGTGATCAAAGCGTTCATCTTCGACTCTGTATTTATCTCGCACAGAAGAGAGTCCTTGAAGTCAATCCAGTTTGCAAACCGACTCCACAATGTATGTCCAGGTATGCACTGAAGTGCGGGATCGGCCATGGTCAGTGGGCCCCAGAGATTGGGAAGGTCTCTGATGGCTTGAACAAGGTATTGTAACCTGTTGTTTGACACTAAACTATTCCTCAGAGCGGCGAGGTGCTCCTGAGAAATTTCAACAGCCTGCGACCCGCAGACAATCATCGATGGCGCTTTCATTGTTGATGTCTTCGCTTATCCGGTATTGAGACAACGGAGAGAGAACGCGGCGTAGTTGAATTTCGTGTACAGTGCTTATAGGCCTAGGAGCCTCAACACCATTCAAGCCTTATAGCGCACAGTAGCAGAGCGAGCCATGGACCGCGGTGATCAGCCGCTCAGCCTCAACCCCAGGTGAAGTTCGACCAAGCTCAAAGCCTGGTCCCTCTATCAACCCGGTCCGAACAGACCCAGGGGGCCTGATCGCTGTGGCTGACCCAAGGTCCGGCTTGGGTCCCTGCTCGTAGGACTAATCTGGAAAATAGTCCCTGGACCAAGAAGCCATGCGAACGCGAGCATCTCGTACGACGAAGCTTGTCACGAGTTGGTTCCTGGCTATGCATAGAATTTCGGCTCTCGACGTGCGTACCACCATTCAGAGTATAGTGATCTAGCAGCCAGCAGCGACTGGGATACTGAGCCATTTCATGAGCGTAGAACCACGTGGACAGTCGGGTCTTTTTTCGGATGTATTGCATGGCATGTGATGATATATAGCCCGAGCGAGAAAGGAGTCGCAGGGGTAATAGGTTTGTAGCAAGTCGAAGATCCCATGTAGACACTCTTCTTAGAAGGAAGACGATGGAGACGAACTCAAGTTAAAACTCCCTGAAGAGGCAGGAGCCGTGATTTGATCGCTGACTAAGCAGCAGGGCTTGTGTCACGTGAACACTACAGTCACATGACAATAGTTAGATACCAGTAGTAGCCACCGGAGTTACCTCCGAATATCATCATCTCTTCCTCGGTTACCTCTGGCCTTACAGCTTGCTTGGCGCCCTCTCAATGCTGTTCTACTCCTGACTCCATTAAAGTTCAAGAGTGATTGCAATTGCGAAAGATCTAGCTCTATCTCAAGAACCCCGACCTTTTCCATTCTGCAATATATTTTCTAATCACATGCGGTGACACCTCCTCCATGTACCGCAGTGTGCTTGACGCCGCTCGCGTATTCTGCGTATCCAGGATGATACCTCCAGTGGCCATTCGCCGGAAATCCTTCTCGAGAAATTCGGCCAACATCTGAAATTCCACTCTATCTGTCGGCTCTGCCTTGTCATTGTCAATACTCTCCTTGACTTGGCTGAGCCATAGGTCAAATGGTAGACGTTCGGCGCCGTCTGAAGATATTCCCAGTCCGTTTGCTAGCATGTCAAGCACATCGGACCATGACTGCCGGATTGGGTTCTCTAAGTGGTAGATCTGAGCCTGTGAGGCCGACAATTGTGCGCTTAGTAGGATGTCTCCTAGCACCTTTGCGGCGGTGTTGATCGGGATCCAAGAGAGTGTCTGCTGCGATTAGATCTGCCAAGTTCACAAATACTGGTAGTACTTACTCCATTGATGACTGGAAGCTTCGAAATTCTCTTTGCAAAGCGAAACATGGTCGGTACATGCTCCTTGGGGTTCCAATGCCCACTAGTCGACGAGCCCGACATCTGTCCTACACGAACAATCGCCACCTCTAACTTATCGCTGTGCATGCGCGCCGCTTCATCTAGGATGGACTCACACACAAATTTGGCCCTTCCATAGCCGAACTCATCAATGATAGTGTTTTTGCTCGCCTGAACTTCGGGGACAACGCGCATGCCGTGGACGGAGGGGTACGCCCCCACCACTGCAATGGATGAGACAAAAAGAAACCTTGGTCTGGTGGTACGGGCGCTTAGTGCCAGCTTAAGCAGGTTATTGAGGTATCGGAACTGGGATGCAAAGGAGGAGAGCCCGCGCTTGAAGTCCATTGGCCAGGCATTGTGAATGATATGCGTGATGCTGGATGCAAGGTATGCGTAAGTTTCCGTGTTGAGGCCCAGTGCATCTGCGATGGGGTCGCAGTGGATTGTCTCGATCTTAAGCCCGAGCGTAGAAGGTATGTTCACCCCCTTTTCACTGGCCTGGCGTAATTGTTGTTGTAAACTGTCTCCATCGGGTCCCTTCGAGCTTGACGTCCGTTTGAGGCAAATTACTCTCTTGACCTGTGGTGACTGGACTAGTTGACCAAGCAGGTTGGATCCAAGGTGTCCCGTACTTCCGGTCAAGAGAACAACAATTTGTTCCAGCGTGGAGACAGAGTGCGCGCGGATGAAGTCGTCTATTTCCTGCGAGTTATTTTCTTGGTCCATTGGCCCAGCTATAGCCCTGAGTGCGCCAACGAGCTGTGATATAGCCGGGTGTTTGTGAACAAAATCAAGCGGAATCGCATCTCGATACTGCGGGAAATATGAGACGAGCAGACGGTGCAGCTGCATTGCCTGCAATGAGTTCATTCCCAGCTCAAATAAATCGCTCTCAACACTCCACTTTGAGGACGGGATATCCCAGCCGAGGTGTTCTTGGATGAGATCCTTGATTTTCTGGTCAATGGTGTACAGGTTCAAGTCGAGCGGGTCATGCTGATTGTTTCCAGATTCCAACCCTCGATATGCTTGTTGGACCTCGCTTTCAAAGACTCGATACGTCTCCTTGCGCAGGACCGAGCCCTTGTCCGAGCGAGGCAGTGGCTTTTCAGTAGGCGCAATTATAATGCTGCTCAGGGACGAAATCCGCGCATGCGAGTCCATCCGCTTTCCGGCCTCGACTATAGCAGGCCAGAGGCTCAATTTGAATGCTTCAATTTCCCCCATAGCCACGCCCTGCGCGGGCTCGACGATAACTCCTATTTGAAAGTGTCCTTCGCCAAATGCAACGGCGGCTTTCACGTGCTTGTTCTCGCACAACAGTGATTCAAGTACCCGTGGAACGACCTTTTCGCCATTCGCAAGCACAATCAGGTCATCTGTGCGGCCTGCAGCACGGACGTCATACTTGTGCTTTTCTGACCGGCTGATCAGCAGGTCTTGGACTTCGAAGGGTTCATCCCAGCCGAAAGGACGCATGGTGAGCTTACACTCTCCCTCTCGGACCTGGTCCAGCTTATACCTCTGTAAAATATCTCTTCGAAGCCGAATATACCGCCAGTCATAATTGGCCTCCATACTGGGAACAAACACCGGCGCTAACGGACCGCATTCGGTTGTCCCAAAGTGTGCGATCAGTCGCACCCCGGAATCCGCTAACTTCTCTCCTACAGGCTCCCTTAGTGGACCTCCGCCGCATAGCACAAATTGGAGTGGACGGAGGGCGTCAATCCCCTTATTTTGCGTTCCTGTGCAGTGCGCTGTGATCTCTTCTAAGATATGCGGGACAGCCATCAGCGCCTGCGCGTTGTACGCCTGGAGGATATCAACAATTGATTGGCCAGTTGATATTCTATGGGGAGGAGGGAGCATGAACGGCTTCCCAGCTCCCAGAGAAATGCATGGAGCCAAGAGCCCAAACCCCTGTTCAAATCAGAATACTTTTTCAAACATTGTGCCGAAAAAGTACATACATGGAATAGAGGTAAAGCCGACAAAACAGTTCCTTGAATGTCCTCAGCCTCGTTCAACAGGTGGCATTGAGTGAACCCAAGCAAATACCGATGCGGATGGAAAATCGGCTTGGGCAGTCCAGTCGTTCCGGATGAGTGCAGAATTAGTACGTTGCGGTCTGATTCACTGACGAAGTGGGTTTGAAGGTCCATGCTTTCATCTGGTTTCGTTTCCGCATCCGCCACCTCCAGGTCGATCTGGACTCTCTCTTGGATATATACGTCGCATGGTTCCTGCAGTCCAATGGCAATTGCGTCATGGATTGTATCTGTCAGACGTGGAGATGCAACAACGGCTTTGGCCTTGATCGCAGAAAGGAGGTGGTGTATGGCTGTTGGGCTCAGGCGAGCAGATAAAATGGCCACCTACTCAGTCAGTCCATGTCCGGGTCTGTACTAGCCATCCATACCGGAACTCCCATGCCCATCAACGCCATCAAATGGAACCATAGTCCAATATTACTCTCGCAGAACAGGACAATCGGACCAGCTTTGATAATGTCTCCGTTGCTAGCTACTTGAGGAGGATGCAAATCAGGAATCAGCTTCCGCAGCCTCCAGGCAACGCGCGCAATACTCTGTCGGAGCTGTCCGTATGTGATATCGATGCGAGTATGCTGGGCTTGAGGCTGGGCCTGCGGTAGAAGCTGCGTGCAGAACAGATGGTCTTGATTGTATTTGGCATTCCACTCGATCAGTTCGGGTAGTGTGCGTATCGCCGTAGTGTCGTCAAGGTCGAGGATATTGATTTTGGCCCGTCTGAATGAGTCTTGAGGCCTAGGTTGGATTGAGCCCATGGTGAGTTGATCTGCTGTGGCGGATATTTCCTGGTGGTGGCTTGATTGCTTAATTCGAGCTTTGCATTATTAGGGCCATTCCCCTTTTACACTGGTTTGTGACCACATGCACGACTCCTAAGTTCTCGTTACACGTGTCCGACAGGGCCTACTTAACCTGGTCCCGAGATCATTGGTTCTGAGATCTCCTTGAGAGGTAATGAGTCTGGGTTTTTCATGTGATGGATCATGGGGTAAGGGTTCTCGGTCCAGGGAACCTGATTGATGCGGCCTCGAGTAGGGTATCGAGAGCAGGTCCTTAGATGAGCCACAAGGGTCTCCGCGAAGGTGACCGCCACAGTTCAAGTACAGGCAACTTATTGGCCAAACGGAATTCTGTCCAAGATTGTTGCATATGTCTTTATATTCCAAACCTTTACGCCAATCGCCTTTCGGGACGTTTCGCATTCGCCTGGCTGCGTGCCCTCATTGAACCCCCGCGGCACTCAACAGCACTTTTCAAAATCCTTCCACGCTCTTCAGGTTCTCCGAGACACTTTCCCCCGGCTTGACAATATCTGCCTCCTTCGCCGTACGACGCGTGTTGGCCGTCTTGGCGCAAAGCACCGGCATCGAATTTGATATTCATGATGTCCAATGCGGCATTACCGAAGTACTCGACAATATAAACGACATTCGGGTAAAGTACTTGGTACCATTCCGATACACAGGGCCATGGACTCCAGAACCAGCGTTCTCGACCGCCGTGTCAGGATAGATCTTGAATTCCTTGCCATATCCATTATCCATCAAGTCCGTGTAGTTCTTCATCGCAGTACCCGCCTTTGGTAAGTGCTACGACGTTGAACAACAAGTCATCGAGACATTCGAGCAAGCCGGTTATGCCTTAACGTAAACAGACCCTGCCAACTCTACCCTTCTACATTTGGCGGCTGGATCTGACTCGGACCTCACGGGGGCATGGTTCTACCTCGTCGAAGACAAGGGGCTTGACCTCGAGGCAAAAGACCAGAATGGGGAGAGTGCCCTTATAATTGAAGCGCAGCCAGTGAATCAAGTGATTGATAAAAGGCAGACAAGAAACTACCCAGTTGTCTGAGACGCATTTCTTTACAGGTGTAAACTAGTCTGACACTCCTGTCCTCTTCCGCAGGCGAACAAGAAAGCCCTCCTGCATAACAAACCACCGGTTCTTTACATCCCAAGCTCCCCCTTCGTCCGGACCAACAAGCTCGAACTAGACATTATCAGCGTTTGTTGTCAAGGGGGCAGGAGACGCACCTCAAAGCGCCGCAGCAATGTCGGAATGACTTTGTACATCTCCAAGTAGGCAATGTGCTTTCCCATGCAAGACCGATGGCCGGCACCGAACTATCCTCTTTAGCTATCAAAATCAAACACCAGGCCTTCAGGGACGTACCGTCAGCAAGGCATTCTCCATTGCTCTCCTTCTCTCCGCATCGTATCTCAACCACCTCTCGGGATTCCACTCATCGCAGTCCTCCCCGTACAGATCCTTATCCCGATGCACCACCCAAGCACTCATGCCCACAACTGTGCCACCGGGCAAGAACTCTCCGCAAATCGTCGCTCCTTCTTTTGGTAGAACCCTTTCGTATGGGAGTCCAAATGGTGGGTGGATACGGCCACCCTCCTTGATCACGGCGTCGAGGTAGGGCAACTCCCGTGTCTGCTTCCACGATGCCAAATCGTCGAGGTTGCCTGCTGCAGCGGCGGAATCGAGTTCTTCGAGAAGTCTGTGCAGTGTGTTTGGATTTTTGAGGAGGTTGTAGAAGACTGTCCGCAGGAAAATGCCCGTTGTGTCGCTGCCAGCTGTGATATTGGAGGAAGCCCATGCGGCGAGTGCACTAGTCACCATTAGTTACGGCCCCGGTCTATCCAACAAACGATAGGAGCAGAGCATACTAGGGCGGCACGGTTCTATCCTTCGCTTCAATCTCCATAAACCTCGACAAGAAGTCCCTCGTGTTGAACCCCCAATCATTCTTATCCGTCGTCTTCTGCCGTCGCTCCTCCACACACGCCATGGCAAACGCCGCACCAGGGCTGGCCCCTCCCCCGCGCCTCCACCGCTGGATAGGGTTATTGAGCCAGACCCTGTCAAGCCAGGGCATCTGCGTGACCAGCGAAGTCTTCTTAAACGTCTCCCAGATATTCGCCATAACGTGGTTGACATCCTCGCCGGACTCGAGGAATCCCAACCGCCGCGAGAAGGTCAGTTCGCCAATGACATCAAAGGCAAACATCTGCAGCCATTTTCCAAAATCGCATACTTGACGGTCGGAAAAGCGCCGCTCGAGCTCGTCACAGAACACACGCATCGTCGTATCCACATACGGCTCAAAGCTGACCAGCGTGCTCATCGCATAAGCACCCGCAACGGGCCTCTTGAGCAGCTTATGCACCGCCTCATCCTGCGCCGCAAAGATCCCGGGGATAGGCTTCCCACGGGGTTTCATCTGTAAGGCGGAGTAAAAGTTCGATTTGACCCAGGGGTACTTGAAAGCGTAGACGTGGCTTACTTCCTTTGGGTCTGCGACGGAGACCATGTTGGGACCGAAGCGGACAAGGGGGCCGTGCTTGCGATGGAGGGAGACATGTATGTCGTGTGCTTTGTTGCTGAGTACCCAGGTGAAGCGTGGGATGTTGGTGAGTTTTGCTAGGAATGGGCCTGGGATGTGCGAGAGGCGGAAATAGGTGCGGGTCTGGAGGATGACCCAGGCGAGGAAGATTATCGCGATGATTTGATACATTCTGATTGATTTGGATTCCACTTTCACGGGTTTGGTCTGCTGCTACTTTTGAAGTGGAAGCTGGGTGCTGGGGCTGACTCCGGTCCAGCCCTAAGTCAGCGTTACCCCACACTGCTAGGCACCGCCTATATACTAACATCCGACACACGGAACCCCGGCTTTACAATGATTTTATCCGTGATGTTCAGGTGCTCATCGACTTTGCCGGCATTGGCTTTCAAGGGTGGCCATAACCCGCTGCTTGTCCGGGAAGCCGAGTGCTGTCTGGGCAGAGGTAGAAGAGCAGGATGAGATGCGTGGAAGTGGTATGCCCCATGCCTGTCCCTGCCACCCTACCAGGACATGGATGTTGAAGGAGGAGGAAGTAGAAGGGAGGGGGAGAGAAGGAGAGGAGAGAAGAAGCTTGGTAATGGAGATGGAATCCGAAGGAACTACGAACAGGTAAGATGACTGGAAGACATCCTGTCAGTAATCCAGCCCAGAGCCGGCGTTCAGATCGTAAGCCGGAGTTGACTCCGGTCCAGTCAATAAATCCCTTCTATTCAGCTACACTGATGGCTTGGTCGACAACCAGTCTACTTCCCATGTGCTTCTTTCACGCTGACACAACATCGCCATGGCTCATACCACGGACGCACCAACCTCAGAGGGCAACAGTGTGGAGAAAGCGAATCCAGTCCATCAGGCCAACTCCGATGCCCCCAACCCCGACGAGTTCCCCGATGGCGGGTTCAAAGCATGGTCGGTCGTGCTCGGGGCGTGGTGCTGTCTCTTCAGCAGCTATGGATGGCTCAACAGCATCGGCCTTTTCCAGAGTTACTACCAAGAAGCCCTCCTTTCCTCATATTCTCCTAGTGCAGTCTCATGGATTACTTCTGTCGAGGCAGGCTGCCTCTCTACCGACGGTATCCTGTGCTAACTCTTCATAGATTGGCATCATGTATGCGAGCACGCCTCTACACGGTCAAATTTACGACTCCAAGGGCCCACGGCCGCTGCTTGTTTTTGGCACCTGTGCCCACGTCTTTGGGCTCCTGATGGCCTCTCTGGGCCGCAGATACTACCAGATCTTGCTGGCGCAGTCGATCTGCAGCGCTTTAGGTACCTCCACTACGCTCTTACCTGCTCACGCTTGTCCATGGCCCTTTTTCCCCGTACTTTGTCCTCTCTATGGCTGGAATTGTCTGACCCGATACCCTTACTTGATGATGTGTTTTAACGCTAGACTATCTAGGTGCAGCAGCCCTCTTTTCTGCCGCAACCGGACCCATTGGGTCATGGTTTCTAAGGCGTCGTGCGCTCGCTTTCGGAGTGATGGCGTCGGGCTCCTCGTTGAGCGGCTGTTTGATTCCGTGGGTTGCCCTGTCCCAGGGCTTCCACTGCTAATTCAAGGCAGCATTATAGTGGCACGGCTCATCCCACGCATCGGCTTCCCCTGGACAATCCGCATCTGCGCCTTCATATTCCTCGGTCTCCTTTGTGTAGCCCTCGTGGTCGTTGAACCCCGCGTCCGTCCCAAGCCGCGGCCCTGGGAATTCAAGGCATTCTTTCGACCATTGAAAGAGCCTGCCTTCCTGGCCACCACACTGGGCCTCTCTCTGTTCGCATGGGGCATGTTCATCCCCTTCAACTTTCTCGTTCTGGAGGCCCAGACTCATGGGATGAGCCTAGCGCTGGCGAACTACCAGATTGCAATTCTAAACGCAACCAGGTATGTATGCCCTCACCCTGACAGGCAGCGCTTCTAACCATAGCAGCATATTTGGCCGCATTATTCCTGGCTGGCTCGGCGATCGCATTGGCCGCTTCAACATCGCCATCCTGACGACCGCGCTGTCTTCAATATTGGGCCTGGCCCTTTGGATCCCAGCCAACACTCCCGCGCTAACAATCGTCTTTGCCGCGCTATTTGGGTTTACTTCGGGCACATTCGTCTCCATCACCCCTGCATTGATCCAGCAGTTGTCGTCTGTGCATAATGTGGGAATTCGCATCGGCGCGTGTTTTGGAATCATGAGTCTGGCAACTTTCACAGGGAATCCAATTGCTGGAGCGCTAATTGAGCGCAATGATGGGGGTTACCTTTATGCAAAGATCTTTAGTGGGGTTGCGATGGGGATTGGGTTTGGTATGCTGCTCGTTTCGAGGACGATTCAGGTAGGGTTGGAGTGGAAACATGTCTAGTTGGACTGGTAGAGCATGTATCTGCTTTTACTTCATACAGCCTGGCTTTTCGTAGAGACCTGATCTGATACGGCAGTCTTCGCTCGCTGGTAGGTATCCATGAATGTCAAAGCTCATCAACGGCACAGACCAATACCAGAACGTGGTCGAGAGTAGTTCCAAAAAGCCAGCTCCACATATAGGCCTCTAGACGATATATCTTAATATTCAACCAGAAAGTATGATGCCACAGACCTTCAGCGTAAGGAGCTACTTTCTGGCCAAGTATTGCCGGCAACGTGCTAGTATATGCCCACAAGCTTGACACCAGCCACCACGATGTGAAACATTGCTGTCCCTCACCCGCTTCCCTTCACCCTCATCACCAGTGGTCTCACTCACCGTCGAGTCCAAAACACAGCGGTACCCCGGGTTATGGACATCCTGCTCCGGCAGAAGAAAAGAAGCAAAATACTCCTCCAACGCCCCCACATCAGCGAGGAAGGCGCTGACGCCCACGGCCAGATCGGGCCTTACAACCACCACCGCACCTTTCGAATGGTTTACTCCATACCAATAATGCGCATCCTCATCGGGAACTCGGTCGTCATAGACAAGAGTCGCGTTCTCGCGTAGGCCCCGCAAGTTGTCATCGTTGTACTGTGATCGCAGCAGCCCACTCGCCTCCCATGGCTGGGCCTTGGTGATCAGAACGACGTTGAATCGCTCTGCCCCACCAAAGTGAGGATAGAGGCCAGACGGCTGCTGGAAGACCCGACTGGAGAAGGCGGCGAGTTCTTTACGGATAGGACCACGCAAGTCGGAGGCGAAGACCAAAAGGTGGAATCGAGATACGCCGGTCAGCTTGTCATAGAGATAAGTAGTTGTGCCGGTGGTGAGACAGATACGGGGGTTAGGGGCCCTGACGCCATTGTGCAGGGAGCATGGGCGGATGGGGCGAGTTTCTTGGCTGGACATGGAAGTATCTGCTTTTTCTTCAGGGCAGATGGCGGAGGGCACAATGGGCCACTCCACTCCAAGTATAAACATAGCGTTTCGTGCGAAGAAGCTGTGCAAAAACTGCCTATCAGCCTCTGCGGTCCCGTCTAGCAGAGGGAGGTTCTCTGCATGAGACTCCAAGTCATCTCCGAGATCTCGCAGCGCTGCAAGTGGCAGATGAGAGTTGCAGATAAACCGAAGATAAGCGCCTGAGGCTCGAATAACACGGTTTGCGTACAGACGGCGCTCGATGTCATAAGTTGGAAGGAGGATGCTAGGGTCTGCTTTGTTGCGAATGCAGAGGCCTAGTTTCCAACCTAGATTGGATGCGTCGTAGACCGAAGAGTTGAGACCGAATGCGCCAAGTACGCTGTGAACATGCCTGATACGATGTTAACGGTTGTTCGAGGATAACAGAATGAGGATGGCCTACGCGGCGTCGCCTCCGAGATGAACGCGGAGGTCCGGCGTGGAGAAGCTTCGAGCGACACGCTCGCTGACCCTCCACACCGAAAACCAACCCATAGGTGAATCGAACTCGACGGTATAAGGTGCAATGATCTTGTTAAGCTGCTCAAGAACCTCGGCGGGGGTAATGGTATGGTCATCGATGCGAGTCTCGCCCACGGCCGAAGCATTGCGTCGTGCCTTTCGGTTCTCCTGCAATTTGCGTGCCCTTTCGCCGTTAACTTGAACGTAGAATCTAGATCCCAGTCAGCTTGTGCCGCAAATAAGTCCTCGTCCTACCTCGTGTAGCCCTGTTCTCGCGGTATGACAATAGTACCCCCGTGTTCAGCACTGATAATGACATTGAACCCCAGGATATGAGGATAATCAGTTTTGAACCGACAGTCCATAATCGCCCAGTAGAGATCCGTCGTTAACCCGTCAAACGGGACGCCAATCTGCTGGCGGATGGTGGACTGTGCCCCATCAGCACCGATCAAATGTCGCGCACGCACGACCTCCTCCTTGCCAGTATGGACATTCTGTACTCTCGCCTCGACTGGGTGTGAGCCACTGTCTAGATGCACAGCATACTCGCGGATAGTTGTTCCTCGCTCGACCAGAATTCTATGCCGCAGCAGGTCTCGAATATAGACGCGCTCGACTTGGCCCTGGGTGATAATGTGGATCCCCTTGTACCGCGAGTCACAGGTGGAACTGTGGTTATGGAAAAGCTTGACGCCGTTTCGGTAGAGAACCGTGGAATTTAGGATTGGCCCAACCTCGGCGACTTCGCTGGCTAGGCCCCAGGAATGGAGGATCTCCAGCGCACGTGGATGGACGCCATCTGCTCGGCCGGAAAGACAAGGGGAGTCGGCTTTGTCTGGTGATCCGCATGTTAGCGACTACCTGGAGAAAAATTGTATGATTCGCACCGAGGATGCGGAAAGTGATTCCTTGTCGGGCAAGGATACAGCCTAGAGCAAGTCCGAACGGTCCCGCTGTGACAAAGTTAGATACTATCGTAGCCAGGCGATTAGATGCGGAGAAGAGCTTACCTCCGCAGATCAACACGTCAACATCCTGAGCTGGCTGGAACCAATCAGGCCTGTCTGATGCAGTGCCATCGTAGATGGAGGGCCATGTTCGCAATTGAGCCACGCCCAGGGCATTGGACACCGTCGACGTAGGAGGCTCATCGTAAGCCGGGAGGGCGTAGTGGGCTCCTTGGTAGTTTGTCTCATCCTCCCACGAGGCGACAGGAGACGGACGGGCATAGCCGGACTCCCATGTCTGAGGTGGAACAGTGCTGGCCATGCTTACAGAGGCCAACCGCGATGACTTGCTCTTGCCGTCTCCATTGTCTCCATTGCGCAGACCATATTTACCTGTTTTCAGATCCTCGAATGCTGAATGCTGACCGATGACTCCGGTCCCCGAGACCTGGACCGAGTTCGTGCTGGATGTAACACAGAAGAGTCGGAGATACGGGCGGAGTACGTCGACTGCAGGAGAACAAAGACCGGATGACAAATTCAACGATACTCGCCTTGGGAGATTCTCGTGGTATTTAGGACCCCTATGGATGCGTGGAGGCTACTCTCAAACCCATCGTCAGCTCTACCCCAGTTAATAGGCTACCCTGACCACTGATCAGGCATCGCCACCAACAGAATGCCCAACGTCCTCATCCTCGGTGCCTCCGGCTACGTTGGCCTCGCCCTCTGCCAGTCACTCGTGAGCTCGGGAAACCACACCGTCTGGGGCACCGCGCGCTCCGCTGAAAAGGCCAAGCTCCTCTTGCAGAACGAGATAGCACCAATCACCGACGCCGACATCACCAAGCCAGAGACTCTGAGCACCATCATCGCCGAGAACAACATCGACATCGTTGTTGATACCACGTCTGCCTATGAACAGGCCGCTCAAATCCTGCAAGGCGTTGTCAAAGCCGCCACCGCTCGTCGTGATACCCTAGCGAAGGAGAATCTCGTTGGACCCAAGCTAGGCTTCGTCTACTGCTCCGGGACTTGGGTCTATGGGTCCCCCTCAGAGCGTATCACTGACCTAACTCCCGTTGGGAGCGCCAGTCTGTCGAAGGGAAAGCCGGCCACGGCCGTTGCATGGCGCCCAGCACACGAGCAAGCTGTTCTTGCCGCAAGAGATGTCCTCGACGTTGCGATTATGAGACCTTCTGCCATCTACGGCCGCGCTTCATGGATCTTCAGCACATGGTGGGGTGGGATCCTCAAAGCAAAGAAGGACAAAAACTGCACCGATACGATTACAATCCCTGCTGATAGCACGGCACGCACTGGAACAGTCCATGTTGACGATGTGGCGTCGGGCTTCCATGCAGCCATTGACCGGATTAATGGAGGACTCGGTAGCTGGCCTGTGTTTGATCTCGTGACAGAGACAATTGGTATTCAGGACATGACCGAGGGGGTCAAGGCCGCGCTTGGGGTAGACGCAAAGGTGGAGTATACGGGTACTCACGGAAACGCATTCCTGGAGGCGCTGAGCTTGGTTTGCAGAAATGAGGCTACGAGGGCGAGGACTGTGCTTGGCTGGGGACCGAACAGAAAAGCGTTTGTGCTGAATCTCCCTGTTTATGTTCGTGCTTGGGAGGCAGCTCAGTGAAGCCATGGGGGTGTACATACCACTCTTACTGACTCTGGTGCTGTTTCTGAGCGACTGCATTTATTGCTTGCTGCGGCTAAGACTATATATGTATGACTCAGTTCATGATATCCGGCTGCATGCGATGGACGTATTCGGGGCGGACTGAATAGACGAAAATATATCTCATGCTTAACACCCGGTGCCTCGGGCCAACCCCGAGTTTTGCGGAACGAAAAATGCATCAGGAGTCCCTGAGATAACGGTAAATATCTAGATTTATTATAGGCACACGTAGAAGGTCTTTTAAGATATGTATTAACCGAACATATGTTGCAAATCATGTTTGTTAGGGCTGGCTATTTCACCGATAAACGCGTACTTCAGCAGCGCTGCTTTTGCAAAGCTAGATAGAAGTAAATGCTTTAAATGTATATATCAACGAGGCCGGCTGGCCCAATTGGCAAGGCGTCTGACTACGAATCAGGAGATTGCAGGTTCGAGCCCTGCGTCGGTCATTCTTTTTGCCTTTTCTCCTACCGCACCAGAGGAAAAAAGCGTGTGTGTGCCTGTGTGAGTGGATAAGGTGGGCACTGGGCTGAGATTTTTTTTATCGTGCAGACCCACTCGGCATGCCGATCAATCAGTTAACGCTCGGGATCCCGACCGGGGCCGACTCCCGACTGGTTGCCTGTTACTCCGTAAGAACATAAGGCTCTGGCTAGGTCTCCCCGCAAGCGGGCGGTGAGACCGGCACTATCCAGAGATGGCGGGGCCGCGGGGGTTATAAGAAAAATACTGCACGTCATATTATCCTATTTCTTTGGTCTATCCCTGGCATTTTCGTCCGTCACAGGTGTACCGTTGCTCTAGACAGATACAAGCTTCCGACTGTATCATACCTAGTGGCAGTTTGTTTCCGCGACCATGCCGAAGCCAAAGTCCTTTCTCAAGGATGCTAAGTCCAAGAAGAAGTCCGGTCAGCAGCAGGTACTTTACCACCTCGCACCCTCGAGTCCCCCCACACTATCGCCAATGCGGTCTTAATTCCGGTCCCGAGGGTTCTCACTAACCAACTTGTCATTCGTAGGCCCCTCGAACGGCGGATGAATTCCTAGCTGGTACGATGTTGCGATTCAAGGCATGCAAACGAAGCACGAATACTGACATGATATGCTGTAGTTGGTGTCGAGCAAGAAGAGGCAGGCGAGAAATGGCGCGCTGGTGACGCTGCGAAATCCCTACGGTTTTTTATGCGCGCCATTGCGACTTACGACGAGGGGCTACAGAGGCATCCTTCTGCGTTTGATTTAGCGTACAATAAGTATGTTCCTATTATATCTTCAGCATTGGGACCTCAACGGCAAAGGAGGCGAGATATATGCTTGACATGACAGCTGACTGGTATTTATTTGCACAGGGCGAGAGTCCAGTATGAGATCACGCAGCACCCACGATTATCCGCGCAACTGTCAACTCCGCTAGGAGAAGCCCTGACCGTAGCGCTGCAATCCCACCGGGAGGCTCTGGTACTGGAACAGGACAATGCGGATGCGCTATTCAACACGGCGCAGGTGCTCACGAGTCTTGCCGAGATAATTACCGATACAAAACGCCCGGTTGAAGAACTACTTAACCAAGCAGTCAGATTCCTACAGGAAGCAATCGAGCTTTTCCAGCGGTGCCTTGTGCTTCAGGAACTGAAATACACCGAGATGCAGGAACAAATTAAGCAGATGGAGTATGGCGAGATAGGGCAGACGGAGCAGATGCAAGAACCAGACCAGATGCAAGAGTCTCCGGATGTTGAGCCGAAGGAGTCGGAGCAGGAGCAATGGGCTGCGGTTGTCGAGCCAGTGACACAGGATACACTTGTGGATACTGCCATCGCGCAACTAGACGCTCTCTCGACACTGTGCAACCTCCTAGCGTACGACCCGGGCGTTGGGCTAAACTGGGTCGAGGAGTATTCTACCGATTTACTCCAAAAAAAGGTCGCCACACTCGTCGAAGGCTCAAACCGGCACTATGAGGCGAATCTGTCCCGAGCAAGATTTAACGCTGCGCTGAACGAAGTCCTATACCGTAGCGGGCGAACAGATGTCGAGACATATCACGGGGCTGTGGTATCTTCATTCGCGGATTTGAATGTCTCAGCGGATCCCGAAGGGCTGTGTGCAAAAGCTGATGCGCTGGTATCATTCAACACGGCTACCGCAGAACAGCCGCCTTCTCACAGCGAAGAAGTCTTCAAGCAGTCCCTTGGCCTCAGATGGCAGGTGTTATCTACCGCCCTGGACGCCTTAACCAAAGCGTCCAAACTGCCCGATGCCGAAAACCTGCCCAAGATTCACCTAGCGAGAGGCGACGCCGAACTGAGCAGGTGGAGACTTGGTTTCGCACCGTGGGAGCATGCTATGGCCCAGCAACACGGGGCGACGCTCCTCAAGAACGCTCAAACCTACTATCGAGGTGCCGCCGCACTGGCCCGCAGAGATGGAGGTGTCGATGAAGTGCGAGATGGAACGTGCAAAGAGGCAATCGCAGCCGCAATTGAAGGCCAGAAGGATAAACTTGCTCAGCTCAAGGCCGCGGCCCCAAAGGAGCTATTGCAAGTTGCTGAGGACATGGTGGAGGAAGGATGGGTCAGCGGGCCTGACATGGAGGCACTGTTGTCGTAGATAGATACCCATAGTACTCAAAAGCACCTGAGAACCACGGTCGGACGCCATTATTGCTCCGACACGGCCTTGACTTCCTCGTCCATCTGCATAGCGTCTTTGCGAAGATTATTCTCACACCCGTATTCGGTTGCCGCGGCCGCAGCACCCTCCACGTCAGCAACAACAGTCTCTAAACCAGCCAGTAAACGTTCAATCTCAGCCCGCTGAGCCTGTACGCGCTGCGCGAGCTCCAGATTTTCAGTCTCCGTAATTTGTATTTTACCATCCAGAACAGCCTTCGTCTTCTCTAACTGCGGCGTCAGGTGAGCTCTAAACAATTCGTCCGGGGGTAATGTATGCGGCCTGTCAAATCCCACATAGTTAGCCTGTCAGTCCTGTCCCACTGAAAGATGACAGAGCAGTCAAAGACATACGGGATTTTCTCTCCCCCATCCATATCCGTGTCACCACCACCCGCTGTAGCCTCGGCCTCTCGTCGAGCCCTAGCCTCCCCGACCAAACGATCCAACTCATTCAATTGCGCAATCGCATCCCTCTCGACCAGAATCTCCTCAAATTCTGCCTTGGCGCTCTCCTCCAGCTTCGCATTCAGCTGGCGCCAGACATTCTCCAGACTAGCAGGGACATGTTTCGCGGGCGTCGGGAAACAAGCGGCGAAGTTGGCGTATGAGTTTGCGCGGAGCGTGCGGGCCAGTGCCTGCGCGTAGATCTCTTGCAGGCGAGTAACGCGGGGACCAGGCGTTTGAGCGATCGGGGGTTGAGGGGGTGGTGAGGGGGATTGGTCTTCTCTTGAGGGATTGTTGGTTTCTGAGGCCATTGCGGGGTTGGTTTAGGCTAAAGTTGGGTATTATAGTGATAAGTTGGGTGCGAGAAGCATAGAGGTGTGTTCGTTGTTCTGAGTTAGTTGGTGTGGTCCGTGGAATGTCAAGCCGCGGCGCGTAGAACGCTACTGATCACGTGCTTTGCATATCTACTTGTCGAAATAAGTTGAGTCTCTCATACACACTCATGATATTTAATAGCATGATCTATGTATTATAGCTACTCTGGGTATCTGATATAATTGCTATCCAGCCTCGGATCTAACCGTCAACCGACGCGTGCTGTCATGTGCACTCGACGGACGCCGGTGACCAGCACTGGAATATGGACGCCTAAATAGGCGATGACGAACTTCAGAAAGGGCAGGTCTAAAGCACTGCCACGATATAGATATATATATCAGGCCATTCCAGAATCCTTGCAGCGGGAGCACAAAAGATGATGCGTAATTTAGACCAAAGTTGGGTGCTTCAGGGCGAATGAATGCATATAAGCGGTTGATTGTTGATGGAACCTGTTCATATTAGTCAGGGCTCAAACATACACTGCGAAAGATGATAGTTTTACCCAGGTGACGAGTAACGCCACAAAAAATAGCATAGCATACTTGGTATATGCCCAAGCAGCGGAGTTTACCCCCGAAACCGTTCTAGAGTTGCGGTACTCGCGATTCGGAGGCTGATCGGTCGGCGGCTCGGGGCTGCGTATCGGTTCAAGCTCCAGATGATGGGAACCAGCCTGGACGTTGACGGAATATGGACGATGGGATTGTATACACGAGAAGCTAGAATCCGGTTCAACCGAGGGACCGGCCTCTGCGGCAGTTGCATCTTCTCTTGCGATTCGAATCTCGGTGATCTTTGAAAAAGGTGGGTCATCAGGAATAGACAGGTCAATTGTCGTGTCGAGACCACCGGCTTCCCTGAGCTGTCGCCTCCGTCGCCAAACAAGTTTGCCTATTCGCGCGTAGATGGATAACGTCAGAAAGATGACGAACCACACCGGACCGTAAAAGACTGCAATACGAAGAACATCCCATGTCGGGGCGACCCAGCACCAAAGCTGCAATGCGTCAGAGCATTGTCGAACCGGACAACAGTATACATATACATACTATAGCCGACCCGTACACCTTGCCGCGAGATTCGCTTCTTATGAAGAAATATGTAAATGCCGGAATGAATGGCAGGCCATAACATAACAGGACATACTTCCACTCCAGGCGGCGCAGTTGTTCAGAGTTGTATTTGCGGAAGAAGGTGAGGTAGACGTTGAAGGCCATGGCGAATGTCCATAAAGCGTCGGCGGGCATGAACCTGATTATGTCAGTCAAATAGTTTTGCGATACTGTAGCAGACAAACCATTGGATCAAGAAAGCTTGAATTTGACATAGATTACTATCCGCGCCCGCCCAGATACCAGACATGGAGATGAGAGTAGCGACATTGGCCATGATATTTCCAAACGAGGCGTAAAATACCAGGCGATTGATAGGCTTGCGAAATGACGGAGAAGAGAGGAAGGAGACAATTATGATGCCGGTCGCGACCAGCGAGATCGCGGAGCATGTCTGTTCTGTGGCCGAAATGGCGTGGAGCTGGGCCCCTGACAGAGACATGGCAACATGACTGATGTGAGATGGATGTTTTACATCTTGATTCTCAGTAGGAAGATTGCAAAGACGGGCAAAGGCAAGTGGAAAGAATCGCACAAGCATGAGTGGAGCGGCTGATCTAGGGTGAACTCCTTGTCACGCATGCAGGAGGGTCAATCAATAATAGATCATAATATTATCAGAGGGTATTACAGGTCTCGCCGCTGGACGCGGCGCTGTTCGTTTCAATTGATAGGCCTAGCCCAGCATAAAGAAGCGTTCAGCGTGCATTGTTGACATGGATCATGGCCAATGCAAACAAAGAGACCGCTCGAGGGACCGCTTGGGAGTTCCTGAATCGTCGACAACCTCAAATTCGAGCCTGGACTGCGGGGGTTACGGTATGTCCGCATGGCGAGCAGCGGCCAGCAATCAGTCCGAATCCTGAAAGGCGAACAAAAGAGGTGTTGGGAGCAGATTGAGACAGCTCCTGCTGCAGTGCTGCTACAACAGTTAGTCGGCGACCTGAAACACGGCGAGTTCCAGAACAAGGGCATTATAGACGAACCACTCCGAGGCCGTGGCTCAAAGGGTAAGGTTCGCAAGAACACTGGTGGTCAAGGAGATTGGTGACGGCTCAGAAGAGGGAGCGGAGGCCGGAGTAAAAGTGAGCCTGGCAGTGATCAATCACATCGTCAGCGGACGGATGTGTTGACCGTTTGTTGGATGAGGATGAGTTTCCCCGCAGATCGGATGGACAAAGGAATCAAGGATCCTGCCGTGTGCGTAAGCTCAGTTCAGTCAAGATGCTATCACGGGATTTGTGGAAAATAAAATCCTCTTTTGCGGGATTGGGAATAAGCAAGTTTCTTGGTGGCCCTAGCATGGACATTTTGATGGTCCATGCAAGCTGTAGGCATGGTCGATCTTAGTGCTTGAAGCGGGACTCCCATAGGACGGAGTACCTGTTTAAGAAAGTAGTTCATTACCTGTCGTGTCAACGCCGTGCTCTCCTATCTAAAACTAGCGCTCTTATGTCTTGCTACGAATAAAACAATCCCATGAATCGTGACGCAAAAGGAAAACAGATCAATAGAATGAACCAATTAATACGTCTGTTGTGGTGGCATCATCCCTCCGTACCCGGCGGCCATTTGTTGTTGCTGCTGTTGCTGCTGCAACTGTGCCTGCAGCTGGGGAAGGTCATGGAACCAAGGATGCTGCAGAGCGCCGTGGGCGTCGATTCGCAGTTCCGGACGTAGTTGAAGCATTCGGTTCAACAGATCAAGACCGAGCGGGTCAATCTGGGGAAGGATTAGGCCAAGGTCTTGTGTCGCGTATACATGGAAATTGGGCCTGTATTCCGGTAGCTGGGAGATACCAGGCCAGGAACGTTCGGAAGGCGTTCCCATAAGGCGGAAAATCTTCTGCAGTTGATCTTCATTGGTTGTTCCTGGGAATAAAGGGCGACCTGTATATAGCTCTGCCATGATGCAACCAGCTGACCAAATATCGATGCTTGTATTATATGTCCGGCTGCCGAGAAGGACGTCGGGAGCACGATACCAAAGTGTCACGACTTCGTTCGAGAATGTATTCACGGGAATGCCAAATGCGCGAGCAAGGCCAAAATCTCCCAACTTTAATTGCCCTTTCTTATTGATCAAAAGGTTCTGCGGCTTGAGATCTCGATGCAGAACTCGGTTATCGTGGCAAAAGGCAATGCCGCTCATGAGCTGGTGCATGAACGACTTGATGGTCGCTTGGTCCAACTGCCCCCGGTCACCCCGGGTGTCCATATATTTCTTCAGATCCTTGTCCATGTATTCGAATACAAGCATAAGCTTGTTCTCGGTGTGAATGACATCGTAGAGTGATACGATGCTCTCATGTTTCAGCTCCTTCATCAAGGAGATCTCGCGAATGGCGGTGGAGGGCGTTCCCTCTTCGGAATCAAGGTGAATTTCTTTTAGGGCGACAAGTTCGCCCGTCTGGCGGTTTCGTCCTTTGAAGACCTGTAGGATCCTGCTTAGCATGGATACCCCCAAACGTGGAAGAGATCGCTCAACGAGGAAGCTTGCAACGGATAGGCGTCAACGTACGGTGGCATATGTACCCTCTCCAAGCTGAGATTAAAACCACGATTAGTTTCCAAGAGCTATAGACGCAGAGCAATCCAGGTGTCACCTTTTCCAGCTGCTGAAAAGAGCTGGGTTGCTGCGACTTATCCATCGTCGGTGCGCGTTGGGACGGTAGGGAAGGCGGCGTTGCGTGCTGAGCGTTGAAAAGCAAGGATTTTGGCGAAACGAGATTCGAGACGATATCAAGCAAGGAGGAGGAGGAAGAGGTAGATGTTGGCTGTCGTGAAGTCATGTCAGTTTTGCGGTAATTATTTGATCGCGGGCGAGCCCCGCGACTCCAAAGTACGTAAAGCACGGGTCTCCCCGCCCGGCGCCTATCGCTCTACTATAATTATCTGCGCATTACCAAGTGGTACACTGTGATCCTCTAGATTCCTCAGCGCTTGTATGTGTTCATCTATTCTAAGAATAGTTCGGCTAAGAGTCTTAGAGCCATAATCTATATTCATGATATCGCCCTCGAAGTAAGAGCTTAGCGCGAAAGGCTAGGAAGTTGAGACGCGACAGACGGCAGAATGGCATCCGAGTGGAGGCTGCAGCGAGTGTAATGCGAGAACAGATCGCTGCTTTTGTCCGCTTCCTTGAGAAGGACGGCTTCATTGCGAACGCCTCCAAGGTTTATGATTCCGATGGGCATTCCTCTTTTGCACGCTCTTTCCACTAACCTCCATGCGGAGTATGTGGCGAGCGAGGTGCCGAGTACGAGTAACCGGCCTGCGTCGTCAATGGCCTCTTCAGCAGCCACTTTGACAGGCGGCTCAATGTTCTCTCCGAACATGATCACCGCAGGTTTCAGAATACCCGCCGTCGACGTTGGCAGCCAAGCACCATCTTTTTCGACCTCGACCCTGGCGGGCGTTCCATCTTGAAGTTGTGGAGGTTTCTCACGGCAAGTCGGGCATGACGGGTAGCGAAACGTGGAATACGGTGCTTCTGGCAGTTCAACGTCTCCGTCTGGGTTGAGTTTCAAGCCTCTACGCCGCTGCTCCTCAGGGTTATCTGTATCAAGTGCCCCGATAGCAACCATCTTCGCTAGAAACTCTGCCCAGGACGGGTTGAGTTTCTCGAGTGATTTTTGAAACTCAGCTCTTGGGACTTGGTTTCGACAGCTCAAGCAGACAACAGACCTCAAATATCCATGTAGTTCAATCGATGGGATCTCGGGATGAGCGATCGGATGGAAGGAATCGACGTTCTGAGTTATCACGGAGCTAATGTAGCCTTTGGCGCCGAGATCTCTGACGGCCCAGTGAGTCGTATTCGGCTTCGCTTTCAGAAGCCCGGGCCATCCGACAAAGCTGCGAGCCCAGTATCTCTTCCGCGATTCATGTCGCGCTGCGAACTCATTGAAATAAATCGGGCGATACGTCTTGTTCGTCATGTACGTGCCGTTCTCACCCCGGTAATCTGACAGTCCAGACGCCACAGATATTCCGGCCCCAGTCAGGAGGACCGTTTGAAGATTCCGCCCAACATCCACTCCGCGGAGGTAGGGCGACGGTGCAGCGGTCAGAAAGTTGAGGAAGGCATCGATTGCTCCGGACACTGAGCTGGCGGAAGGCGGAACAACTATCGGTGGGGGCAAGGGGCCGGTGAAGGGTATTCGAATTGCTGAGACCGTCATCGAGCGCACATGTTTGGCAATATGAGTACCGAAACAAGCGACGCTTTTAATACTCGATTGGCGTGGAACCGTCGGAGTTGCCGCTGATGGCGACGTCAGGCTGACTAAAGGATCACATGATGTCAATACGTATACTCCTTTTGAGTACTCATTGCTGGAATATGGCGGTGGTCATTCCAGTTAAAGACATATACGGATCATCGGACGGTAGTTGCTGCTACACGTGTCACGTACATAGGAGCAGCTGAGGTAGTGCAGTAGAAGAGCATAAACAACTCGGGTACGGTACCTACCTAAAGGTTACGTCATCAGCCCTAAGGAAGAGACTTTTTTCTTCAACCCCGGATTTCCTTTGTTTCGCAATTGCACTGTCAAGGATTCATGAGGTTCAAGTGGGATACCTTCCCAAGTCCCAATTGACATGTTTCCTCCTCAGAATCTCAATATCGACCTGGAAGCCTTGAGTGGAATCTGTGGGTGCGTACCATACCCAGCCTACCTGCACCCTGTATACACAGACACTGACATACGTCCAGCTCCATCTCAATCGCCTGCTGGGTCGTCGTATTCTCGCCCCAGATAATCGAGAACTTCCGCCGCGGGTCCGCAGAGGGCCTCTCGCTGCTCTTTCTCGCCGTCTGGCTGGCAGGTGATGTCTTCAATATTCTCGGTTCCATCCTGCAGGGCGTCCTGCCGACAATGATTATCCTGGCCGTCTACTATACCCTCGCCGACATCGTGCTGCTAGGGCAATGCCTTTACTATCGCGGGCTTACGTTCGGCGACGACGCCTCCACGGCTTCGGCGGCAGAAGAGCCCGATGAGATTGAGACACCGTCGCCCGTCATTTCCAGGAAAGCAAACGAGCGGACATCGCTCCTACCGACGCACGAAACGCACCAATACCACACGTACCATGCTGGGACGAGCGCATCGGCCTCCAGAAACCCTACTCCTCATGCGGATGTCGTCTCAGCACCCCTCCTCGCATCGTCGAATGACCGACGCCGCAGACACTCGGCCTCCGTGGACGGAACACACCTCTCCCCGGCAACGCCCTTCATTGAGCCCTCGTCATCGCGCAAAACGAAAGCCATTTCAACCCTTCAATCTGTCCTCTTCAACCTCTCAGCCGTCGCAATCGTCTGCGCAGCCGGGATCCTAGGCTGGTACGCCAGTCTTTCTGCACCAGTTAAGCACCACAAGCACACAACGCACCACCATGAAAAGCCCGACGCCGAACCCGTCTCTTTCGATAAATGGGGCCAAGTCTTTGGGTATCTCTGTGCAGTGCTATACCTCGGCTCGCGCCTCCCACAGATCATGCTCAACTACAAGCGGAAGTCCACGGATGGCGTGTCCCTGCTTTTCTTCCTTTTCGCCTGCATCGGGAATCTAACATACGTGCTTTCGATCCTGGCTTACTCTCCTGTCTGTGAGCGGCCTCGCCATTGTGAGCAGGGTGAGGTGGGCAAGCTGTATGCGCGGTATATCCTCGTGAACCTGTCTTGGCTGGTCGGGAGTTTTGGGACGTTGTTCTTGGACATGTGCATTTTTATCCAGTTCTTTATGTATAAGGATAATAATGCGCGGTCAACGATGGCTGTTTCTTGATTTGAGACTTTGAATCTTGGGGCCTATGAGGCATAAAAAATTCGGCGTTATGGGGATATGCATACTACGACTTCCATTACCTAGTTTATCTGGCGGCATATAGTACGCGAAGACGTATCAACTAGAAATAGCTAGAAATTACAGGTAGTATACGTGATTATCACCTCTACTTTCAGGGTTACTCGTTCCTCAGCTACTCATAACTCATGAGTCGTAAAATTTTGTCGAGAGTCGGAAAGAAGAAAAAACAAACGACCGTCGCAAAGACACCTGCGCTACCCCAAATTTAGATAAGAATGAACAACAGAGCGAAAGATCCTCGCGCGTAGACTCAATATTTCAGGCTTAGATGCCAGATTGAGTTCAGTCACTAGCTGGGTAAGGGTCTACCTTGCCCTTACCAACCTCACCCCAGTTGGTGCTCAATGAAGTACCGTTACTCTCAACGAAACTCTTCACCATCGCACGACGGGTGTCCTCGTCTGCCCCAGCATACAGCTTCTTGAAGAACCCATCAACAGGGTCACCGCCATACTCAGAATCGACAGACCCTTCGTTATCAGAATTTTCTTCTTCTTCACCTTCGGCCTTCTCCTTGGTTTTGTCGTCCTTCTTCGCGCGAGGATTCTTGGGTTTCTTTGCTGTGAGAGTAGAGGCAAGCTTGTCCCAGTCTTTGGCACCATGGCGCGAGGAAGTCGGGTAGGAGGGGCCAGATGCTGAGGCGGAAAGAGCAGGGGTAGAAGTGATAGTGGCAGACTTGATTTCTGTTGAGGAAGACTCAAGAGCGCTCCATTTTTGTCCCGGCGTTTTCTTGCGCAGAACGAGTTCGATTTTTGTTGAGGATGTGCTGACTTTGGACGCGGATTCGTCGATGGAGGCGTATAAGGGATCGAGGTTGAAGGCGTAATCTGAACCCGATGGGAGCGGAAATTGTATGGATACCTATGTTATAGTTAGCATGCATTTTGAATATTTATGCCGAGTAGATAAGCGTACCGAGTCGCTCTTGAGTTCCGTGTCAACCTTCTCCTTGTCCACGCCCTTGGCGTACACAGTCACCACGACAGAGTCGTTTTGTTGATACCACTCATGACGAATTTTCTCTGGTGTCTGGACAGGAGCAGGAGCTGAAGTAGCAGCCTTCTCATCCTTGGCAGCTTCTGCACTCGGTCCATCGGTCTTCTTCTCGCCCCCCAAAGAGCCATCAACAGCACTAGACTTATTACCGCTAATATTTCCATCCTTCATGGCCTCCGACTGTCTCCTCAGCTCCTTCTCCGATGGCACCTTCACACCAGTCGGGACTTCCTCAATGGTAACCTTCTTTTTCTCATCGCCTTCTTCCAGCGCCCCAAGCTTTGACTTGATCTTCACCAACCAGATTTGCAGTTCCTGGGCGACATTCTTCATCGGCCCTGACGACTTCGGCCCACTCATAACATGCTTCACCTTATCAGCCGCATCCCCACCCTCATTCTCATCCTTCAAGACCTTCTCCTCCAACAACCGAAACAGGTACCCCGCATCGCCGTACCTCTCCATGTGATAAAGCGCCACAGCCCTCCTCATCTGCGCCGAACAAATAAGATCGCGCTTTGCACGTTCCCGCGCAATAATGACGGCAATTTCGGCATCGCGTAGCGCGTCCTCGAGTTTTGGGCCGCCGTCTGCGGACTTGAGGCGAACGTATGCGGTCGAGCGTTTGATGTAATAGGCTGGGGCGCGTGGGAGTTCGCAGAGGGCTCGAGTGTAGTGCTTTAGGGCGCTGACAAAGTCAGAATTTGCGAGGGCAGCGTCGCCCTGGGATGCGGCGTTCATTTCGAATACGACCTTTCGAACTAGATATCTGGACAAGTGTGGGGTTTCGAGCAGGGATGTTGTGGTTTCTCGAGCGCCTGAGATGATTCGATTTATGGCAAAAGGCAAGAAAAAGCTTCTGGTGAGTTAGAAAGTTCAGAGAATCGAAGATACGAGGAGAAGGGAGAGTAAGGAACGTGCTTTTTGGAGTTCTTTGTGACTTGTGTTGCTGTTGGAACCTGATTCCATTACTTTCTCCGAATCTGGACCCCACACCTAGGCAGTCATACCGGTCATAGTACCTACCGCCGGGTGTGGGTCAGCCCTGACTTCTTCTCGACCCTCGTCCTGCATTAAATTTAATAGAGAGCTCTCTCTGTATAAGTGTATTGATTATATATTAGACGACATATATTGTACGGTATTACACGGATTCAAAGAGTCGAATGGGTTTTGTGCTCCGATCGCTGTTATTACCTAGTCCATGACAAAGAGTACCAGCTCATTGCAGCTCTTCGTTTCCGAACTTCTTGCTGTACAACCCAAGGGCACGAATGGGCCAGTAGAACTTGTAGTTGGGGTACGAGATCATACTAGTCAACAGTTAGCTGAACATTATATATGATATGGGAAAGAAAACTCACCAAGACTGGTTGAACACTCCCTCGATGGCCTCTTGCAACCATTCGCCATTGGGTTGTTGTCGAGACATCATGAGCTTCATCGCCTTCTGGAGTGGTTCTTGGTGGGGGTAACCTGCCTCCATCAGAGCAAGACACGCCCAAGCCGTCTGGCACACTTGTGATTTTTCATGTTGGACGTAAACATGTTTCTCACTGCTGAGGTATGACTCTCCCCAGCCTCCATCCTCCTTCTGCTTGGAGATCAGGAACTCGCAGCCACGGCGAGAATACTCACTGGTCTCATAGGTCTCTCCAATGCTTGCCAAGCTTTCGAGTGCGAACATGGCGGCATAGGTAAAGCAGATACCCCAAGATCCGTACCAGCTACCATCTGCTCTTTGCACGCGCTTGATGTATCTGACAGCTTTCTCTTTTGCTGCCCTGATCTCGTCGGCGCGGTAATTGGGGTAAAATTTGCTGAAGAGGGAGAGCGCAGTGACTGATGCGGTGGTGCACTCGGGGTAATCATAACCGATCATGATACCGCCAAAAACTTCCGCGGCATTGAGCCATTCAATCTTCGGGGAACCACGGGTCGTCTCATACTCGGTAAAGCCACCGGAAGGATTCTGCATCAACAACAAGCAATCGACACTGTCCTTGAGTCGCTCTTCTGAGATGACTTTCGGATATTTGTGCATTTCTTGGAGCTGAATGGTTGACCGTAAACCTTCAGCAGTGCAGTCACTGACGGTGTAGCCCTGAGTCTTGGTACTAAATGGCCACGCTCCCTTCCGGTGTTGACGGTAGCACTTTTCTTGGTCGGGGACGTTTTCTCGAATCTGGTGCGCGTCTAAAAATTCCAGGGCTTTGGTGAGCATCGGGCGCCATTTCGGATCATCAGCGAACCCGGCCACAACTATAGCCTGTGTAATAAATGCCGTATCCCAAACCTGAACACCATTGGTTCCATTCATCAACATGCCTTCATCCTTCATCCACATATAGTCATGCAAGCGTTCTCGATGTCGTCGCACGGAGTAACTATCCGGGCCATCGTGGACTAAACATGCAATCATATTCATTGGGCTGTTCACAGGTCCAAGGCCGGCATAGTCAGTATTCTCATCTTCCATGCGGATCAGCTCCCACGTCCAATCTTCTGCACGCTTGGCTATGGCCGACACTCGCAAGAAAGGGTTCCAGACATTCACGAGGAGCGAATTGAGAGAGTTCAGAAGCCACGTTTTAGGGTAGTAGTTGTCAGCTTTGTGGATTGAGTTGCGGTGACTGGCAAAGTCGATGGAGCCGTACGGTTGTGGGTACAGTTCCTGCCTCAACTGCTTCGTGAGAGCAGTCAAGGGGTATGTATACTTTTTAGACCATAGGTATGACATGGGCAAGAACACCTGGCGCATATGAATCCACCAGCGCCAGGGAGCGAAAGGAACCCAGTCAGGAAGTAGCCTACTCAACGTTAGTCCAGGCACTTAATAGCCAAAACGACAGCCATCACAAACCAGATCTCTGGAGGGACAGGGTTGACACAGTCCCATTCCATGACACCAAGAATACTAAGCCAGAACTTAGACCAATGCGGCCCATAAATAGCACCGCCAAAGCTATGCAACAGCCCACGAGCCTTGATCATCCTAGGATCATCTTCGCCGACGCCCAAGATACGCAGCACGACGTAGTTCATACTCGTACCAAAGACCGAGCTATGGGCCTCAATGTGCAGACCCCAGCCGCCATCCTCAGAATGTTGTCGCGCAAAGAGATATCTTATGATCTCAGTCGCATACTCCGGCGGGATAGGAGTATTTGTGACATAGTAAGTGATGATCAGCCCCGGGAGCAGAAACATGGGGCCTCCGTACTCGCAGGCCCAGTTCCCTGGAGGAAGCTGCAGCTTGGAAAAGAATTCTAGGCCATTTTCAGCACACTGCATGGGAGTCTTGGCTTTCGGCAGTTCTGGGAGGCCCTGGACGGATTGGAAATTAGGACTGAACATGCTAGTAGTTCAAAGGTAATACCGTAGGGAGCCCCAGAAAATACTTGTCCGCGATCGTTTGGGGCCATTCTTTATTCTCTTCGTCGGATTCGAGGTAATGCCATGTTTGGCGGCCATCATCGTCCAGCAATCGCCATCTTGAGTAGTCGGTCTTAGGATCGCCGTTAGCGTCAGGGGAAAGGTGCCCTGACCTCTTCCAGCGCCCAATGTGATTCAGCATGGCGTGCGACGTCGATACAAGTCGATCAATGCGTTCAAGGGCTGTAGAAGCCAGCCAAAAATCAGTGAAAAGAGGCGATGCAAGAGAAGCAAATTGAAGGAAATCTCGACTGTAGGGATCTACCCATCTATTGACCCCTTAGTCATCTATGCTGTGTCACTATAGTAGATCACCTGACGCCAAGCCTTCAGTATAGCATTTACTCTGTAGACAGCAACACGCCTGGCTGATCCTGGCTGGACACAGATGGAACAATGACAATAAATCCTATCTTCCCATGCTTCTATCCTGGTGATGACTGCCACTCGAGTTACTCTGCCAACACTGTTCCCGAGTACGTCTGTTGGTGGAAGCAAAAAGAGGAATTCCAAAAAGTGCTTTGACTGTAGCTAGCCCAAACTGCTCCAGGGATTCCCAATTTTCTGAACAGATCATACCAGAGGGATGCAGAATCCTGTCCAGAGCCGAGACCTATACTATAGCTCATGTGCCAAAATCACACTGAAGTTAATTCTCTGAGGTTCGGCCACCACACCAACCCGTCGGTTGGTTTTATCTGAGATACTGGGACCTCAATGAGCATTCAGTGTCTGATGAATATTCTTAGTTCCGTATTGGCCATGTACAAGAAGAAATGGACCGAAAAGTGAGTTGGCGAGTCTTGAGCCTTGCGTAAACATGTCGCTCCCCTTCTTTATTGTCTTCAAAAAACTGCCTCGGCCAGTCGGACTCGGACACTCAGTCCAAGGTGGTGGGTAAGTGTGACTGAGCACTAACTGTGTCACCTGTTGCATTGGTTCGGTTTTTCTCCGACTGCGCAATGTGGTGAGCATGTATCCGACTGACCAGGAACATTGAGATGCGCAGTAGCTGCACGGACATACCCGTGGCCTCTTTGCTAGCATACGGCAAGTGGTATGTCCTGGCAGTCAAATCACATACTGGCTAAAACAAGGTCTCAGTGTTGGGCATCGTAAAGTCTACGATACGTGGTGGAGAGCTGAGGAAAAAGAGGAATCGTGCAGTCATCAGAGGTGGTGCTCGCAAGGTCCATGACGTTTTGGTTGTTAGAAATGGGCTCACTTGCTTCTTCGTTCTCCTTCCCCCCCTCGCTTTACTAACCAGTCTATCATTCTAGACACTCAATGGACACCCAATTAGACATCATCAATGGCCCTCCCCAACCACAGTTGACTTCCAGACTTCGTGTGCAAAATTACATCGAAGACACTCTGTCAACCGTGATAAATCAACTCACCATAGACGACGGTGAAGGAGACATAAGCATCACACTCAAACGAAGAGCAACCAATCCGGCTACGACCACCTTCCGTATAGACGACACAACTGGTGCACTCCAAGCAGCTCGAGCAGAAACAACCATCACCTACTCATTTCCAGGAAGAGATGGATATGAAGCGTGGAGGTTCGGTACGCGAGATACTATGTTATCATTAGAACCAAGTCGATTGGCTGACGACTGATTCCTACTCCAAAGCTGTTGCTCTCCGGATTCTCTCTGCCATACGTGATGCCCTCGAAACTGGGCTACCTGTATCAATAAGGTGCATTTACCCGCTCAATGAACCGAAAGAGGGTTGTCACATCACTGACAACGAGAGCCGATGGACTCTTGCTATTCAGGGATATATACTACAGTGACCCCGAGTTCTTTGAATCTCAAAGCTTCGTTAGTCGATTCGTTGACGACCTCGCGCTCACGATAGGTGTCGAAAGGGCGGACTTGCACGTGGTACTTCACTTCAACCGTCCATGGTAGAACTATATTGACTATACATCGCATAGGAAGCAGCTGCAAAGGGGCTCGTGGCAGGCTATTATCGAATGACAACTGTGAGGAATGAAGTTATCGATGTCCGTGGATCAACGGAGGTGAGGAAAGCTTTTAAGGGCCCTTGTTACTATCGGCAGTCCTGATCCGCTCTATGATGCTAGGATTGCCTTATCCCAAGAGTACAGGACATAGCGGACCTGGATATTTCGGATGTCAGATGGATCCTAATCATCGAGAAGGAGGTATGCCAAAGCTCGAACCATATCACCGTCTCAGCTATATATATTAGCCTCAAGCACCCGTTACTAACCAGATGCATATCTAGGCCGTCTTCCGCCGCCTGGCTCGAAACAACTTCCACACGCACGCCGCAACAGGGAAAGGCATCCTAATCACAGTAAGCCCTAGGCCGACCCCTTAACCCGAACACAATAATGCTAACAAATGCCAGGGAAAGGGTTACCCAGACCTCGCAACGCGCTCTTTCACCAACAAGATCTTCAAAAGTGTAACAGCACAGCCAGCCTCGGCCCAATCGCCAACCTTCTACGCCCTCGTCGACGGCGACCCAGACGGCATGGCCATAATGTCAACATACAAATATGGCTCAATGGCACACGCGCAAGAAAATGAACGGCTGAACCTTCCTTCTCTGCGCTGGTTAGGACTGCGTACGTCGGAGGCTGTTGGCGGCTTAGGGCTTGATGGGGACGAGGCGCTGATGCCGCTAACGAAGAGGGATAGGAGAAAGATTGCTGCCATGTTGAGCAAAAGTCCGGTTTGGGCAGTCGAGGGGCCTGAGACCGAATGGCGAGTAGAGTTGCAGCGCATGCTGGTGTTGAATGTTAAGGCTGAGATTGAGATATTACATGATCGGGAGGGTGGGCTTGAAGGATGGCTTGAGCGAGAGATGAGAAGCCAGGGATTATGATTCTGCAATTCATGTTATTGTGCTGTGTTCCATGTCTAAAAAATCCTTAAAGGCGCAAAGAAATAATGATATCCACCAACGCCCCATACCAGCTCAAGGCGATGCACGCGATGCAAATTGCGAGCAGGCTATGCATGCACTGGGCAGCAGCAGCAGACGAAAAAGACGATGTGATACCAACCGAAACCTATGTACAGTACGACTCCCAAACAAGGCACCATGAAGCGGCATTGGCCATGACTCCGTATCCAACCAGTCCACAATGCATTCCCTGACTTGTATTGCCTTCCAGAGGAAGAGAAGCATGAGTTGGAGGGGCTCCCCCGGCATCACTTAGGACTCGTCACGGCTGTTACCCATGATCAAGTCTAAGTAGCGAGCTCGTCCCACTGGCTGATCCCTTCAAGAATAGTCACCCCAGACACTCACAAACCCAATCCCTTCCTGACCTCCTCTCGTACCTTTCGTTCATATTCGGGCCTCCGCTCCCTCCACATCTTCGCAGCCTCGACATTCGCCGGACTCTCATCATTCGGTTCCGCCAGCATACTCATCACCGAAATTAAAATCTTCTCCACACTCTGAATGGGAGACCACCGCTCCGAGGCATGCTCATAGTGGTTCGGGTCATCGCCGGGCGGGTGAAGAATAGAAATGCACACCGTGCCATTCGGGTAAACTGCGTAGAAGCACACATGTTAGCCCTAGCTCGCCCGACCAATGTTCGATTGTAGACTCACCATTGGGATGCCAAACCCCACCCCCGACGAACTTCATCGTCGGCGGACTCAACGGATAGTCTTTGGGAAATTTCAGCTCAGCAGCGAAGATCCCGCCCTCGTAGGGTGTGCCCTCGGGGCCCTGGATCAGGGCTTCCCAATGGAACATGTCGTCTTCGGAGACGGGACCCGCAGTGATCCCATCTGGAGGGCTTGTGGAGAGCGTTTTGTATTCGCGGAAGAGACGGTTCTGAGTCATGGTCGACATTGTGGCGGTTGTAGGTGTAGAAATAGCACTCTGAACTTCGTTGTAATATGTAAAGCCGCGCTGGAGTGCAATGTGTGTAGAGTGATAGTGGTGCGGAGAAGTCGGAGTGGGGGGAATTTGACCGGTGGAAGATAGATGGAGGGGAAGGAAGAACGGAGCAGGAGCAGGGCGCCAGATGGGATCTTTAAGATGAGGAGTCGGATGTACTCCGTAAAAGTGGAACCCCCGTAGTAGGTCCTGTGGCAAGAAGTGGACGGCGACAAAGTTGAGGAGAAAATAACAAAGGTCGGATATCTCTGGCTGACCTGGACGAGGTTGCCACTCGTCCATTCGGAGGAGCGAGTTTAATGCCTCAGGCATGAACTGGGATTGTAAGAATAGAAGTTTGATTCATTGTTGTGCCAGTGATCAGGTTAAAAGACCATATTTAACGTTGTGTCTCATAAAGTTTGTCATTTATAGTCCGATCTATCGTATCTAGTACGGCATTTCATAGTCTTTATTGAGGTCGGATGTAGATTTAGAAGAAATCAAACCAATCATTTCCGTCACCCCCATCACCCCCATCACCTCCATCCTCTCCGTCACTGTCAGACGATGGGTTTTTAGAAGACTGATCTTCGTGTTTTTCTTCCGGCGCCCAGGTGTCTCCATACGGGCCCGTCTGGGTGTTCCCCTGCGAGTGCTGACTAGGTGTATCACCTTGCGGTTGGTTTTGGGCCGCCTCACCTCTAGACCTCATGGCATCAACTCCTGCGATGGTACCGGCACCAACAGCACCGGCAGCAGCGCCTTCAGCCATGCTTCCAGCGGCTCCTCTACCGAGGGTTCCGGCGGCGGCTTCACCTACAGCTCCAGCCTCACCCGCGGCGGCACCACCAGCTGTAAGATCACCGCCGGGAAACCACATTGGGAAAAACCCGAGGCCCCCAGAGCCACTGTGACGGCTGAAGTAATCGAAATCAATGCTAACGGCGGTCGCCAGCATAACGGCACGCTGGTCAAGAGTCATGGCGGTAATCGAGGTGTTCTGTTCGGCTTCTTCGGCGGGCTTGAGGGCTGCAGAGTCCATCCGCAAAGCGTAGACACCGGTATCTGTGAAGATTTCCCGAGCAAATCCAACAAAGTCACGGTTGACGGAACCGATCAAGCGGCTATCAGCGGACCGCAGGGAAAAGTCCCATGATAGAAAGGGCTCATCGACATAGGCGAATTGGCTGTACGCGCCGAGATCTCGCCCTCCTTCTGACGCGCGGGCTAATTGCGCTTGCTGCGCATTCGACAGTCCGGTTTGCGCCAGAGGTATCTGCTGAGTTCCCATGTCGGTCGCGGGATCGGGCGAGTGTTGGTAAGTGAAGAGATTGTATTTCCGTCGCAGTGGCGCCCATTGTTGTTGTGCTTCTCCGATGACACGCATTTGGTCAAGTGCAAGCTGCGACAGTCTGGCATTGGCCGGGTCCGCAGCCTGAGCAAGAGCACTGGGGTTGTTATATTGGAGAGCAGCGGAGGCAGAATATGCGGTATGACTGGCAGCATCAACGGGGTCATAGACTCGAATCCGCGAGTTGATCCATGAAAATGGTCGATGAAACTGCCAAAGTCAGTAAGTCTGCCAGAGTATGTACCGGCGCGGAAGCCTTACACGGAGCACTTCATTCTCGTGCCTATCAAATACATGCGTCACGAAGCCACGGTGTGTACGGAACCATTGTCGCATCATCATGCTTGCAATCCCCTTCTCCTGTTCCGCCATGTATCCAACATGGTTACCTGCGGCATCGAGAATAACGTACTTATTCGCTTGTTCAAAGCCACTGATGAAATTAGCCTCAAACCCCAATGCACGGATATTCCAACTTACATCATCACATTCATCAACTCGAGCTGCCGTTGCACGACAAGTCCAGAATTCGCGAGGATCCCAGTGGCGGGATGCGATTCCTTGAGCACACCATTCGGGTCTTCAGGGATATAAACGGGTGAGAGCAGCGTGTTCTGTGCGGGATCGTAGTCTTCAACAGGCGCGCCGGTGTTTCCTGTCGGGGCATCTGAAGGTTCTGGGTCTCTTCGAATGGGCGGCGGCCTTCGAATGGTATTCCGGGGACCGCCAGACGGAGCGGGCGCGGCGCGTCGCCTCGCAAAGGAGCTGGCGGAAGCTGTAGTGCCTTGAAGACACCGTATAGCGGGTTGTCGGACTCTGGAGCTCCACATAACAAGAAGCGCTGTAGAATATAAGAGCAAGCTATATGAAAGAGTGTTTGTAGAAGGAAGAGGATGATATGTCGAGAGATGGATGAGATGAAGGCGGCGGAATTAACGGCGATAAGACTGAGAAAGGCCCAGAACATCGAACAGCTACTCCGTACAAATGGCTGTGATTTAACGGGGTGGGTATGTGTATTGATTTGTTTGATCCGTTTGATCTGGCCAGAACTTCAATAGCAACCTCGGCCAAAGAAGCTAGGATTGGCCTGCAGTGACTAAAATATTGGGAGATCTCATATAAAAACACTAGTTCAGCCATCCTTGGCTTCTTTATTAGAGTATTATTCGAAATCTCTGAAATCCAGCCACATTACATCTAAACTATCGACTTGGTAGTACTTGGCGGTGAGCCAAGGATTCGAACTTGGCTTCCAAGGTGGGTATATGGGTTGTTGAAGCTTTCATAGCAAGAATATTTGGTGGTATCTAGGTATTTTGAGTCGCAGTCACATTCATTTCGCATATACACTCCGGATCCTCACGTTTATAAACGGAACTGTGAATAAAGTGAAGCAGCAGTTCTCAAAATATTATAGAAGCCCTTTACGGGCCAACTCGACCTTGCGCGCAGCTTCCCCAGGTTTGTATCCCCCTTTCGACACGCAAACGGCACTTCCCTCGCCCAGCTCAAACTTCTCCTCAACGTTGGGATGCGGGCACGGACAATGGTGTGGAAAGTGGACACAGGCAAGCGTACCCGGGCATAGATATTTATCGCATCGTGCTTTAGCGACGTCAGTCATTTGTCTAGTGCAGAAGCGAAACAAATCCTAGCTGATGGTCAAGTCCTACCTCCTTCCCACATGCTCTGATACCGCGAACTATCACTGGGAACGTTCTGTTGACTAGCTTGTTGGCGTTCTTGGCCGCCGCCAAACATATGCTCGAAGAATTGGAACTGCGCGTGGGCCATAGAGACCAGGAGGAGTAGAGCTCCGAGGGTACGGATTAGGTTGAATAGCATTGTAGCGAGGTACCGGTAGCGACTGTACGCAGGGCTAGATATCGGGATGCAAAAGTCTGTTCAGTAAAACTGCTCTGCATAGAGGGAACAGCAGCTTGGAAACAAGATGATGGGGCGACTGTATTGAGTCGTATACTTCAAGATGCCACCTTCCAAGATACATGGCACGTGATAGTGCCAAGCCTCCCCATCTCCGAGAAAAAAGTCACTCCGGGTCTCAGCATCGTCCGACCGCAGCTATTACTCGAGAAACAATTACACCATGATGCTTCAACCCAGGATCTTAACGCCCCTCCGGGCTCTGGGCGGAGCAATTTCTCGGTCATCCGCACAAATAATCCGCCTCCCTCAACAATCAATACCTCAATCGCTCCTCCCCCAAACCCTCTCCGCTTCAACGACACCCTCAAACCTCACCACCAACCTCCCCCGATTCTCGCTATCTCTCTCCCAAGTCCGGTACGCCTCTCACTCCGCTCAGGGAGCCGCAAACAAACACTCGCGTGACCCCGCTGGGAAACGCCTCGGCGCGAAACGCACAGGCGGTGAATACGTCGTCCCGGGATGCATCATCTTCCGGCAACGCGGATCCAAATGGTGGCCTGGCGAGAACTGTGCCATGGGGCGTGACCACACCATTTACGCTACGGAAGCCGGATACGTGCGCTACTATCTTGACCCTGAGCGACACCCGGATCGGAAGTACATCGGAATTGTCTTTGAGAAGGACGGCAAGCTGCCCACGCCTCGGAATGCGCCGACGCGCCGCAAGCTGAACCGGGTTGCTGTGCCGATGGTGACTCCCGTCGAGGAGGCACAGTCGGATTTGACGGTTGTCACGGGCGAGAACACTGGGACGATCGTTGGAAGTGTTGGAACTGTGGATGCCGGCGCTGGCAAGCAGCTGCGTCCTGGATATATGTGGCGTGAGGCCAACTGGGTGATTGGTCGTGCTGCTGAGAAAGCTGGCATTACTGCTCTACCACATAAGCGGAAGAACCGGTGGTTGGCTTGGAGGAAGAGACAGGCTAGGGCTGAGAGGGCTGCCCAGATGAAGAGTCTGAAGAACAAGAAGAAGGCGTCCAAGAAGGCCAAGCGATGAATCTAGTTCTATTGGCTTGCCTTAATGCTCTTGTTCTGATTTGGGACCGGTGTTTTTTGTACTATAGGAAAGATTTATGTGATAGCCTTTGTTCAATATAGTTTCATTTCTCTTATCAGTTCCCCCAGGACGTAGCGAAGTCATAGCTAGCACAACCGAAAATGATATTGATACAAACAAAGGGGTATATCGTGATATGGAAGGTTGCTGCTTTTAAACGCCTTGTACCCCTACATAAAACACCAGATGACAAGCTTAGATTACATTATCCCCAACAGGGTTGACGGCGGAAAAGTCACTGATCAACTAGCCGGCCCAGAATCAAACTCTGGCAGACAAACTCATTGCCCACAATCCGGACATTGCTGTTCAAGCCCAGGTCGTCTCCGCTTAAGGCTTCTGTGAGCCGGGATTTTCTCCGCCTCTTCGAGGAGACCGCTCCGGAGCCAGTCGCTAAAGCTTTTGTTGCCTTGTCATCGTCGTCAATATAGACCCAATCCCAGGTGGATGTTTCCTGCCCAATCTGTAACTGAGTGTGAAGTGTAGCCCGGGCTGATTGTATGTCAGGAACACGTTCGATTTTTGACGCGCCCAGAGCATAAGTAAGGAAGATATAGGCTTTCCTTCGTTCCTCATCCGCTTTTCCGTTGCGACCCGTGATAAGCAATACAGATTGCCCGTCTAAGAGGTTCGGTCGCGCTGCAACCGTCTCAGAAAGTCGTGCGCCTGTGGCCGGGTAGGGCGAGAGGATCCTTGACCTTGTCGCCCCGTTGAGGTATGATGATTCGCCGGCGGGGAGAAGGTACAACTCCCAATCCATCACCCGGCCTTTAGCAACGCAATCCTCTACCCAGCGGTCTGAGAGGCAGGGAATGTTCAGAGCTAGCGCCTGCATATATTTCGGGCGACGTGAGTGTTTATCTGCAATTAGACACGCAAAACCAGCTTCTTCGACCCCGGGCTTGAGACGAAGATGATGATTGATGCCCGTTGGCTGTGCACCTGTTGTTTTTGTCGGCGTCGCAATTGGGGCATTCGATGGCAGATCGAATAATTCATTAAAGCCATCCTCTAGAATGCGCCCATCATTTTCTAGGATCATCTTGGTCACACGGTACTTGGCCTCGCTCTTATCACCATAAGACACTGCAAATATCATACCGGAAAACAGACCGGTTGAGGGACGGAAGCTGCGAGATAACCGCGTGCTTGGCGAGGTTGGTGTAATATGTCGGTCTGATGGAGTTTGGAGTCTGCTCTCTGAGCTTCCAGAGCCAGAACTATACGTATAAGGCCGATCTTTGATTCTGTTCCACAATATTGTGTCCAGGTAAATTCGCGAGACGGGAACATTGATAACATTGTCCGGGCCTGCGAAGGCACCACTTGGAAGGCTCTTGCGTTGTTTTTGTCCGACAACAAGAGTTGCGTGGCCATACACGTCTGTGACTGTCTTGGCAGCCTCTTCTGCGCTGAGTTTGTGGGCAAAGCCTTTGATGATGTGAGTGACCTTGGGAACATTCGGCATATCGACTTTCACGGCATCGCCAACACGCAATTCAAGCTGCTTAACAACACCTTTCGGAACTTCAACTGGAGCGCTGTCTTCGAACTTGACCATGTACTGATCCTGCGAGGTCCCAAAAGGTGCCCCTAAGCAGATTGCAGGATAATAGGCCCTCTTCTGCCCTCTCCAAGCTGCAAGGACTTGATTTGGCGCCACTATAGCGCTTTCAGGGACGGTCTGCTGGCCTATATCGGCCGGACTCTCTTCAACAACCAACTCGCTACTTGGTGCTTCATGGACTGGAGTGGAAGAGATCTCCACAGGAGCTTGAGCGCGGGCAGAGATAGGTTGTGGGATTTCCTTTGGCTCAGGCGCGAGAACCGGTGAAGGCTGACGTTCTCGGGCCTGTGAGCGAGCAAGTATTTGAGACCTTTCCTTACTGGATATCCGAAACTTAGGGAAATCTTCGGTGTCCCAAATAGATCCAGAGCGTCTTGGAGGCTTTGGGCGTCGCAGAAATGTATTTGGACGCTGGCTTGCTGGCTGCATAGGTTGTTTGGGTGGTGCCGCAGTCACCTCTTCTCCCTTATGAGGAGTGAGGTCAGATTCTGCATGTGGTGTGATTGGTATTATTGGATCTGACGCTGGGATGTTCCGGCCATCATTGCCACGTCGTTTCTTCCGTGGGGGAACGGGAGACAACGCAACGGCAGATCTAAATTCGTGGTCCTCGACCGACATGATATCCATATCAATATCAAAAGCGGCGCCTCCAATTTGGGGCGAAGCATCAGCCGCAATCTCAGTCAAAGCTCTCCGCTGCCTTCCACTCGGACTTGACAGGATTTTTGAATTTAGAAGATGCTTGATTGGGGATGAGGTTTCAGAGATGACTGGGAGTGGCTGATTAGCCTGCTCCAATGCCCTTGGGTATGGAGGAGGCAAATCATCGTCCTCTTGGTCTGCCGCTTCGTTGTTGACATCGCTCATCCAACCTTCATTGTTTAAGCGGGTTGGACTTGTTTCCGGGATGGTTGCAAACGGTGGCACTTCGTTAGCACTTCTCTGCCGCCGGTGGACAGGCGTTTCGGCGACACGTGATGGCATTGACGATGACTTGCCCTGAACATCAAAGACAGGCACTCGTTCTCCAATCTCAACCACATTCGTTGAATTCTTTGGAACGGCATGCGGACCCGCAGAGCTTTGTTGAGATGCATTGACTGACCTGGCAGAACCGGCAATTTCCGAGCGAGGTAGAGTGGCAGCAACATCTTGGGACTGTCCGCTATAGACCTGAGACCCTTGGGTGGACAGCTGGCCAGGAGATTGCTTAGCAGGTGACAATCTAGCTAGTCTATGGCCAGCCGTTGCGGCGCTTCGCGATTGAGAATCACGCAGACGTGTCTGGCTTCGATTACTTGGGCTTTCCACAATCGTCAGTTCAGCCTGCTCTACACCATCACGTTCAGGGGACCACTGCGAATCTCTCACGACCGAGATCGGTGAAGACCGGACAGCATCAACTGCTTCACGAACTGGGTTTACGTTTTGTGCAAATGGGCCCGCATCCGGGAACGTCTGGGCGGGATTTCTGCAAGTATCTGTCGGGCTTCCATGGAAGGAAAGGGCCTGGGAAAGCCGATCATGGGCCCTTTCAGTTTGGGATAAGACGACTGCCGACGCATCATCGAAATTTTCCTTGTCCTCCTCGGTAGAAGAATTGGGTACCTGAGATCGCGGGGTAGGCTTTGGGTACTCCTCTTCCTGTTCTGTCTCTTCTTCGCTGGCACCCACAGCTTGTAGATCAACAACAGGACCTTGCTGCCCCCGATGAACGGTCGTTGTCCTGCTCTCTTCTGACTCTCGCCGTTCTGAGGACCGTGATGACGAGGTTACTCGTCTCTCAGTTGGCGTTTCAAGATCGCTAGATTTTCTCGCAGGAGCCGAGAGCATGGCGAATTGTGGCGCGGCTTCCTCGTCAATCCTCCGTTGACGTTTTATACGCTCAAGGAAGCTAGGTTCCTGGTCGAACTCGCCGTCACTCTGGTCCTCAGAGTAGATATGATCTGCAGAACGCGTCATCCTTTCCCCGACTGTGCCATTTCTATTTGCTTGTGACTCCTTCATGGTGACATAATTTAGTTGTGTATCCGACGATTCGCGAGGAAAAGTCGCCGCAAGAGTATTGAACGGGGAGGAAAGAGAAGGGGCAAGCGGGCGAACTTGTATAGGGATGTTGGGCGAAGGACGGTCCGACACGAGGTCTGATTGCAGGCCATTCACCAGAGGAGAAGATGGCGCTTGGGTGGCCTTGAATACTTGACTCAATGCCATAACACCGCTTGCCGACTCGATATCAGATGCTAAGGGGTTCCGAGAGACAAGGGGAGAGATCCTAGAGACAGCCTCAACGCCATGCTGCTTTGTCGCCGTTAATGGAGTCTTTGCGAGGAACCGCTGGGACTCGGGGAAATGATTGCGTTCATACGGGAGAGGCGAGGATTCGCCTAACTTGGAGCTGCTCTGATCGTCATTTTCGTCGGTATTCGGGGCATGTATCTGAGCAGCATCAAAACCAGAGAGCAAGTCTATATGGACACTGTCGCCTTCGTGCAATGTCATGAGCGTATTTCCATCGAAGGCATTGCTGTCGAGGCCGTTGTTCCCAGCTTCTTTGTTCTTGCGAATGATTTCATCGTATACCGACTGGGAGATGACTTGGGTGTCAGAAGGCAGCGTCTCGGCTGAGCTCATTTTGGCCGCGGATGGTTCCGAGGGTGCAGGTCGTGTTGTATGTTCAGGAGACTCTTTATTTGTGTCTAGCAGCCATGTAGCATCATGATCCGGGTGTCGTGCCCTGAGGGCTCCATATATGGGGGATTTATCGATCACGTTTGGAGGAATGGAAGTCGAGACGGAGTCGACAGTGTGTGGCAGGGTTATCGAATTGTGGGTGACAGGCGAAGCACGATCCTCTCTTATGGCTTTAGGATCTCTAATGAAAGGCTGAGTTTCCTGGGACAAACGAGTAGTGTGGATTAGTTGCAGGGATCGTTGGCCGGAGATTGACCTGTAAGAGCTCACCAAACCCAACGCGTCGCGTTGCAGCTTCGCGATATCTAGGCTGTCGTCCTGGGTTTCCATTATCGCTTCAGCCATTCGATATTGGTATAGCGCTGCTAGATGCTTGCATTGTCCCTTCTTCTCTTATCGCCGCAGGAAACTTGAAGAATGCTCCGACTTTTGAGTTTCTATGTCGTCAGGAAAGAACGCGAAACCGCGCCCGTCACGTGCAATCTCATAAGTAATATTACCGTTTCGGGATTAGCCTCTAATACAATGCACCTCTATCAATCCAGGTCTTACTTCAGAGTAAGGAAGCCAACGATGAATGCAACAGGATCGTGGAGTAGTAACAGCAATGGTCACTTCTTATGGTGACTATCAATTAATTGCTAGCATGGGACAAGAATGTTAATCAGTCTTGAATGTTACGGGTTACACCAGCGTCAACACTCGATGGGTACCCCATCCAGTGAGGCACAGACAGCACACTCCAATCCTGTGACAGTCCTTCTATCAATCTCGACTGCGATTTGGTATCCAGCGCCTAATGATGAGCTCTCTCACCGAGTAGCGAGAAAGCAATGCCCCGATGTCTAGGCTGGCCGACGTAGCTCCCAAATCCTGGGTTGGCGGTGGTATTTCCACGTAGCAAACCACAAGAGTCTTCTGCACCTGGCCTTGAACACGGTTGACACAGTGAAACCACCACCAGCTGCGCGCCTGCTTAGCAGCACACTCGGTTTTGCGTTCATCAGTCTCAGACCAATATGGGTGGTCATACGATGGAATGACAACGACGGCGAACTCGGCATGAGAAAACACGGGACCGCGGTTGTAGAGAAGATAGTCCACTCCGAATTTTACACCGGATCGTACGACCCATCCCAGGGAGCGGAAATGGTGGTACACGACGTAGGAGACAAGGAAAGGGTCGTCTGTCTTCAGGTCCGTGGACGAATCCCGAGGAGGCGAGTATGAATGGTGACAGAGTTTCCGAAGTAGGAAAGTGGGAGACAGCACGGTTTGATGGTCCTGGTCAAAGATATGCAAGGCGCCTAACCCGTATACAAGGAAGAATGCTTCCTCGTTGGATAGCTGAAGGTGCTCCTCGTTGGTTATTGTCATTCCCTCAATAATGTCAGGTCCGCTAACTGTCGGTTCGGTAGGATGATTGTCCTCAGTCGTAGAAGATTGAACGGTTTTACCGGCATCCTCCCTATCTCGCTGCGCCAGTTGTTGCGCCTCAAGGATCTTAGCTTCCTTAGCCTTCCTCAAAGAGAGCTTCTCCGCAGTTGTGGCGATGCCATTTGTGGCACGGGCTGCTGACAGGTTGGCCTGGGGGTCCGGAATGGTGCGACCTTCTCTTGCAGCAGCTTCCGCCTGAAGTCGTTGCTCGATGATCAGCTTCTCTGACCTTGCTCTCTGTAGCTTCAAGTCACGCCGCTCCGCCCTGCGTTGCCGAGTAACCTCGTCAAGTGTAACGCCTCCAAGTAATCCTCTCCGCTTTTTCTCTTGTTCGATCCAAGTCGGCTCACTTCTGCTCAAGCTCCCTTTTCCAAAAAAGCCCATTTCCCACAAAGCACGAATCGTTTTCTCATCGGTAACATGAACCGACGACGTGTTTGAGTCGAAATAGGCGGAATGGATGGCATGGTGAGGTGGAGCAATGAAGTAGGTAAGGTACGACAGCAACACGCTGATAACGGATATTGGGTTATGCGGGATCAAAGGAGGAAGAGGGCGAACAGTGAGAGGCAGAGGAAAGCGGTGGATGTGCCTATAGTCTGGCCTTTGGTGTCGCTGTGGCCGGGGCTTTGTTGGGATAGGTTGTTGCTCCTGGGCAGAAGCGGCATTAAATGAAAATTGGGAAGCCATTGTGAAATGTTATTCAATTGAATTCTCTTGGTATCTACTACGAAATGAAGAATCAGCAAGGAGTTTCTTCATTACAGCGAAAGCCCCTGCCTCAATAAAGAAGTGTTGCGATATATGTTCCTCAGATACCGTTGTAGTCTAAATAAAGCAATCATCGGCAGCAGCGAAGAAATCAAGGTTGCCACTGCCTTAGCTTTGAAGGAGTCATCACCGGAACAAACGCGAACACTTCTTCTTGAGTTCAGCGCGATCCTAGGTCGAAGGCTTACCAGAAAAGCTGTGTTTCTGGGGTATCGAGCCCGGCGGGATAACCAGCACCGCGGAAGGGAAAAGGAAGGGCGATATGTTAGCGATGAGTAACATGCACTACATCAAGTGTCATGCTCAAGTCTGAATATGTATGAGCTTCATCAACCTCATCCGTTGTCTTCTGACACGGGCATTGTCCTCGAGCTTCGTGGGTTGCGGGAAAAAAAAAAATTCGAAGTGTCGGCGGGTATTAAAAGCCAATGATGACTCAGCCAAAATAAGTGGTCCGTGCACCGGCCTCTCCAAAAAAATTCGCTGCGCATCAAAGACAATCTTGTTTGGCAAAGCTCTACAGATAGCGCAATTTAATCCTCAAATTTATTCCAAAACTACCCTTCAAGTAAGTTCACCTGATTGATACCAAAGTTAAAACCACAGACCGCTGACAAAATTCATAGAATGCATCTTATGGTATGTTCCGAAGCCATTTCTTGAATTCGCCGGCATTATACCCTTCGCTTGTTATCCCCGTGCCGGCTTGTTACCATTTTCATGCGCGTACTAAGGCTTTGATTAGTACACTCTGGACCAGGATGGAAAGCGGGTTTACACCCTGAAGAAGGTCACCCCCGCCGGCGAGGTTACCAAGAGCGCTCACCCCGCTCGCTTCTCTCCGGACGACAAGTACTCTCGGTACGCTACACCTTTTACCACTCAACAGCATATTGTGCTTAATACTTGTGCTTGTAAATCCTTCAGACGCGCTAACCAGTTGCTTGTGAATATAGGCACCGTGTTACATTGAAGAAGAGATACGGTCTTCTGCTCACCCAGCAAGCTGGTTTGTTACAAGTTCCATGTGATGTGTTGACAACGGAGTCTGACGGTTTCATCATTATAGACAAGGAGGCTGCTCAGCTGTAAAAGGGCGAAGATATGATTCTGGAGTAATATCAAAACGGGTTCTGCTTCATTTGCTGGCGAATGGTGTTCAATATGGATTAAGATGACACGAGATTTCGGATTTCCCAATACCAATCACTTCGTTCAAGGCAACTCCCCTTGGTCAGTATACGTAAAGTAAACTGTTCGTTGCTTCCGACTATATAGTCCATGAATCATGCACATCATAATCATAACCCTATTTATACCCGGAAACTATCTTGACTTTTGTGCACCAAACTCCGATCCACATAATGCATTTAAGAAAAAGAGGTATTCATCGCTTTCGAGAGTTGACGTGCCTGCCGGCTCCAACCCTAATACGACCGGTCTGCTTATTACGTTCTCCAGTCAGGATACCAGGAAGGTAATCTTCATCCATCAAGTCTCGTTCCCGACGGAGCTTTCGGCTCTGTTCCGCAGTAGCTCTGACATACTCTTTTTGGTCTTCAGCGAGAATCAGCTCCGTGCCCCAGCCACCTTTACCGCCACCACCTTTCCACTTCCCGTTGGCGCTGCCATGAATAGGCTTGGGGACGCTGAACACATTGCCCCTGTTGTTCCATTGCATGTTCTTCTTCAGGTGCATTTTGAACTGCCCGCTGGAATCGGTGGTACATGACACACGGGTGAGAGTATCTCCACCACAGCGCGGGCAAAATTGTTTGTTCATGTCTTTGGTCGTCGAGAAGCACGCGTGGCAGCGTTTAATGAATGACTTTAGGTGTGAGATTCTTTGCAGGGTAGCTGTGGATAGGAGGTTCAGGTTCATTTGCAGCAGCACATTTTGGCACTATAGGAAGTTAGTCATGGGGTTCGCACTCATAATCCAACAAGGGTGCACCAACCGCAAAATCAGTCGTCATTGTAGCGACTTGCATGACCTTGACCTCTTGAGCGGCTGTTGCTGAGCCGGCCTCGTCACGGGCCTGCCGCTTCTTCAGGTTTGATGGGGTAATCCACTCTTCACCGTCTGATTCAGAAGCCGCCCCATCCTCCACTTCTCCGGTCACATCTTCATTCTGAGGATCTTGAGAAGCCGATACCTCTACCTGACTAGTTTCCGTCGCCTCAGGCTCTGTCTCCGTCGGGTTATCCGTCTTCGTTTCCTCCTCCTTGGTCTCAAGTGTCGTAGCTTTGAGATCCTCGGTAACCTCCTCTACGGACTTTTCTGCGTTTTCGTCCGTCTTCGCAGCATCTTCGGGGTGCTGTTCCTCTTGCTGTTCGGCTGGTTTAACAGGAGGCTTGCCGTTAACCCGCTTCTGCCCGGGCACGCTACGCAGTCTCCAGTCACCACCGTTCCTCTCGCACTCAAGTTCATATGCGAGAGCCAGGACTTCGACATCAACTTTACTCAGCACAGCCCGATCGCCAGTCTTTCTCGCAAACTCGCTCAGCACAGCGAAACTTTTCGGGGACGGGGTGCGTTGCTTGACGAACGGTAGATACATGGTTTCGAAGCGCTGGCGCGCATCGGGATCACGGATTTCACCGACAACTGACGGTGTGGTGACGAGTTCTTCGCATCGCGACAATAGGGTAGAAAGCGGGGGGTTGTTCTTCAGAATGGGACCGGCATCGAGGACGATCGTGTGGACGGGCTTCGAGGGAGTTGATTCCGCCATACTGAGTAGTCTGACGATGAGAAAAACCGAATACCTCCAGCGATACCAAATAAAGCGTGAGGACCGTGGTGTTGCGGGGTCGATCAAGTTTGCGGTGGGTTTGAAATTGTTGGATTTTTTAGTTGGTCCGTGCGTTTATCAAACCTTTATCTTATCTGTCGACTCCCATGCCTACGGCGGCCAATAGTAAGGACTCTGTTAAAATGGCCTAACTAGGTAAAGTGCGTATTTTGTGACGCTATTACTAGTCACGTGGTAATAAATTTACACTAAGCCCTTATAAAATTAAAGCCTAAATCTTAAGGCTATTGCAAAGCTAACCTATATTATTTATTAAAAATATATTAAACTTTTTTTTACATAACTAAATAAAAATAATATTATAATAAATATTTTTTTAGGTAATAAAAGCAAGAACAAAGCTATTATTTTTATAATATTACTTTAGGTTTAAAGCTATTTAGGGCTAGTAAATACTAAATTAATAACTTTTTTTAAATCTTGCTATTTATAGTCTAGTTCTTTCTTAATAAAATAGCTATATAAAAAAATAATAAATTTATTTTATAAATAGTAAACCTTAAAAATTAAGCGCCAGGAATAAAAAAATTATTATTTACTTAATTTAATTAAATTTATTTATTTATTATAAAAATATTTATATTTAAACCTAGTTAACTATTTTAAACTTTATTTTTTATTCCTATAATTTTTATAAAATACTTGCTAATATTAAACACGCGTTTTAAATAACTTATTTATTACTAATTATAGGTTATATAGCGTACCTTATATAAATTATTAATAATAATTAAAGCTATTTAAATTAATACAAGCCTTTAATACTTACCAGGCCCAAGACAAGATAAACCCTAAAATAAAATATACTATAAAATAACTAAAGTAATTTTAAACTAGCATATTTAAAAAAATTATAAAATTAATAAGTGGGTGGAGGGACCCTAGCTCGCACCTAGTAATAAAGGCTTTATAATAATAATTATTATTACTTAATTTTTATATTATATTTTTATTTTATAATTATGCCCTGGCCCTGGGCACGCTCTAGGATTTTAATATTTTAATTTTTATTAACTAGTTATATAATAATTTTTTTTATAAAATAGTAATATTTTAGGGCATTTTTTTAAGTAAATTTATAAAATACTAACTTATATAATAAATAGTAAGTAAAATATAGGCTTATAGTAATAATAATATATACTAAAAAATTTTTAGTATTAGCCTTATAGCTATTAAGCTTTTAAAAAAAATATAAACTAGGCTTACTAAAAGTAAAAAAGTAATAACTAAGTATAATAGCTAAGTATAATAGCTAAGCATGATTACTATAATAACTATATACTTTTTTAAGGTTATTAAGTAAGTATAAAGTTTTATACCTTAATATTATTTTAATAAGCTAGTAAAATTAATACCAAAGTAAATTATAATAGTAATAGCTATATTATAAAGGTAATATAAAAGTTAAATTTAAAATAGGACTTTAAAATATATTTTTACTTATAAGTTATATAAGCCGGCCTAATATATATATATTATAAAAATATAAATATAGTAAAAAATACTATAATTAAAACTTAATATTACTTATAAAAATATTAGTTATTTTTTAAATAACACTAGGGTATTAAATATTATATATATATATGCTTTATAAGTATTACGCAAGGTTAAAAAAAATAAGGCTATTTATAAACTACCTACTAGGTAATTACTTAGCATAATTTATAGTTTAATATTATTTAAGCCTTTAAAATTAAATATAGTTTAATATTATTTAAGCCAGGGCTAGATAAAGCTAGTTACCTATTATTATATTTATTAAAATTTCTTGTTAGCGCGCTATATATTTTAATATTATTTAAGTTTTTAAAATTACTAGGGCTAGATAAAGCTAGTTACCTATTATTATATTTATTAAAATTCCTTATTTTATTAGTATGTTATATATCTTAATATTATTTAAGCCTCTGGAACTACCAGGGCTAGATAAAGCTAGTTACCTATTATTATATTTATTAAAATTTCTTATTAGCGCGCTGTATATTTTAATATTATTTAAGCTACTAGGACCGCCAGGGCTAGATAAAGCTAGTTACTTATTATTATATTTACTAGGATACCTTGTAAGGTTTATAACTAGTTATTTAATAAAAGGGATACTAGCTAATTAAAAAGCTATTAAGGTTAAAGCTATTATTATATTTAATAAAGCTATAGTAATTTATTATATTTATTAAAATACTTTATAAGGTTTATAACCAGCTGTTTAGCGGGAGGAATACTAGCTAATTAAAAAGTTATTAAGGTTAAAGCTATTACTATATTTAGTAAAGCTATAGTAATTTACTATATTTATTAAAATACCCTGTAAGGTTTATAACTAGCTATTTAATAAAAAAAATACTAGCTAACTAAAAAGTTATTAAGGTTAAAGCTATTATTATACTTGGTAAAGCTATAGTAATTTACTATATTTATTAAAATACCCTATAAGGTTTATAACTAGTTATTTAACAGGAGAAATACTAGCTAACTAAAAAGCTATTAAAGTTAAAGCTATTATTATATTTAGCAAAGCTATAGTAATGCCTTTATAAAATTATATAAAAAAAGGTTATAATAAAAAAAGTATACCGGGGCTAATTTATAAAAATACTTATATTTTAGTTAATGCCTGGTTAGTTTATACTTTATAGGCGTGAAGGTATAAAAAAAAATATTACTTATTTTAGCCTTTTTTATTATTATTTATTTTATTTTAATTATAATAGCTAGGTTTAGATTTTAGTGTTTTTTTAATTTTTTTTAAAATTAAAGCTATTATTATGTTTAGCAAAGCTATAATAATACCTTTATAAAATTATATAAAAATTTTTTTAGTTTTTTTTAAAATTAAAGCTATTATTATATTTAGCAAAGCTATAGCAGTGCCTTTATAAAATCACGCAGAAATTTTCCTGGTTTTTTTTAAGGTTAAAGCTATTATTATATTTAATAAAATTATAGTAGTGCCTTTATAAAATCACGCGGGAATTTTTTTAGTTTTTTTTTTTTTATATTATACAAGGTTAGCGTAAACAGTAATGCTTAACCCTAGTAACCTTTAATAAATAAGATTTAATTAAGTATATTTAGCCGCAGGCATAATAATTATTTATTTTTTAATTTATATAGCTATTTATTTTTATACTATATAATTTATTTATTAGGCCGGTTAGGCCTAGCAACTTTTAATTATTAACTTTATTATAATATAAAGCCCGCGGGAGTTTTCCAGGGACTATAGTTTTTTTTAATTATAATTTTTTATATATAAAAAATAAAAAAGTTAGTATAAGTATTAAATCTTAAAGTATAAAAATAATAAAAATATAACTTACCTTTTAGTAAGGGTAATAAGCCTTTGGCCTTTATTACTTTATTTTAGGGCTTTACTATTTTTAATATTTAAGTATATTAACCTAAAAAAAGGCTTTAATATTAATAGTTACTATTACTTTAAGTATATTAGCTTTTTAAAAAAATCCTAGTTAAGGCATTGCTAGTTTTATTAATATTAAGTATGGTAAAATACTAGGTTTTAAATATAGGTAAGTACAAGCTTATTTATAATAAGTTAAATATAATAAAGTAAGGCACATAGGCGCTTTTACCTAAAATAAATATTAAGTATTTTAATTAATATATTAATTAAAAATATTATAAGGTATTTAAATAATATACCACGTATTTACTAGTAAAAAAGGTTAAATATAATAAGTATAATATAAGCTTAAAGTAAATTAGCTATTATTATAACCGTGCTAGCATTAAAAAAGGCGCTTTATTAAATAAATATAGGTAGTAATTAAAAATAAAAAATTAAAATAAAAATTAATAATAAGTATATAAGATTACTAAGCTCCGCGAAATAATTATAAAAATACCTACTTTTTTAAGTTAATTTAAAGTAAAATTTAATAAAGTTTACTTTTTTAATAATATTACCTATATCCGGACTAAGGCTTTTACCCATAAAATTATTATAAAAAATAAAAAAAGTATAGCCTAGTACCAGGTAATTTTAATTTTAATATTATTTTAAAAAAAATTAGCTAGTATAAAAAATAAAAAACTTTATAAATTTTTAATAAAAATAGGATTATTAAGGGTCCTGCTAATATTTATAAAAAGCTAAAAAACTTTATAAAAACTAAAACACCCGCAAAGCCTTTTTTTAATTTTTTTTTAAGCTAGTAGCTACACCACTTTTTTTAGTAACTTATTAAATAGTTTATTTATTAGGCTAAATAATAGCTAATATTAAATAATATTATCCCTTTTTTTTTAAGTATTACTATAACTAGGTTTAAAAAATAAGTACCTAAGGCCTACCGGTGCTAAATTAACACTAAAATTAAAAAAAAACAGGCGTTAATATTTAAAGTAGTTAAGAAAAAGTACTTAAATAACTTTAAAGGTAAATATTATAGCAAGCTAGGCCCTAATTAAGCTAATTTAAGTACTAAAAAAACTACTTTTTTTTATAAATCTAAATCCTATATTTTAAAGCTGGATAGCTCTTATATTTATTAAAATATAAGGTACTAAAGTTTATGGTGGTATAAAGGCAAAAATTAGGTATTTAAAAACACCACGCGTTTATTTATGTGTTTTTATATATTAATTTAATATTAATACTAGGGAAAGTTTATTAGCTATAAATTATTTTAAAATATATAGGGACTTATTTACTTATATTTTAGCTAAAAAATTATTATTTAAATAGCTTTAAGTACTTTAATTTATTATTATACCTGGATTTTTATTTAAAGCCAGGCAAGAATAAATTATCTAACTATAATATTACTAGTAAGCTTAGGATTTATATAATATATAATAAAGGCCTTTACAGGTCTTTTTTTATATTTTTTTATATAATTTAATAACTAAAGTATAGCTATTTAAAGCTAACCTATTAATTACTACTAGTT